ATGTCATATATGGGTCTTGTGTTCATAATTATAAATCGGTGTCATATCATAGCAAATACTATACTACAAAGATAAAACCTTGGTTGAAAGTATAGCAAATAAAAAGCTATTTATTTTGCATTTATTGTTAATAAAGTACAGATATTCTACTATTAAAAAAAGTCTTTACCAACTGTGCCATGTTTTATTCTGCTTTAAATAAAAGAGGTACCGGTTTATGGAGCAAACAAAACATCAAAAAATGGCACAGGGTAATAAAATAAAAAACGGTTCTCACAGGCAGTGCTGATAGTAATAAAAAAAATCTATATTTGGGCATCAGAAATATTTTATACCTGCTTTTTAGCACGGATGTTTTTTTTTTTTTTTTTTTTTTTTGGGTTTGAAACATATTTGGTACGGACAGACTAAAAAGTTAAAAAAAAGAGTTCAAGCAACCCTGACTGACTAATATTCTTCCATTGTCATTTGGATTGAGAAGAAGAACATGTTTTTGCTAGAAAAGATATTCTATAAGATGCAAGGCCTAGGAAACCCTTCAATAAAAGATTTTCACATAATGAAAGAGATGTTACAATGAGCACAATATTATTTAATACGCTTTTAAACTGTTTTTTGAACTTTTTAGCCTGTACACATCAATTGTTTCTTTTCCGAAAAAAAAATACTTTTAAAAACAGAAGATTATTCTGCTATCGATAGCAGTTTTTCACTACATAGTAAAATTCCGTGAGCACCTCTAGAGTCAGCTTAGGAAATATCACTTTGAGCTCAACTCGAAGCCAATACCGACGGCTAATAAAGTTTTGATCAATTATGCCAAGCTAACAAAAGTCACGCTCGATTGACTGAGCCAATTTGAATGTGATTCCTTAAAGCAAAGAAGACTTTAATAATCAAGCACGCCCAGCTTTCAATGTTCATTCTTGTAATATTCAATACATGAATTTGACATTGTATACAAAGTGTGTCTATGTGCTTCATTTATTATTAATAAACCAAACAATAATAAGAGTGGTGTTTAGTGAATTAGTGGACTAGTAAAGAAGAACCTCACTATATATAATATTTTTTTTAAAAAAATGAAAGAAAGAGTATACAGCCTTTACATGTTTGTACCAAAGGAGTCACGGACCTAAAAGTTCAATGTTTTGAACCACCGCTGATCTCCACATTCACACTGGTACGTAGCAAAGTAGGGAATAAGAAAAAAAAAGAACTACACAAATCTCATTACATCTTCAATCCTATTCCTTTTTTTTTTCGTAACACCAACAGTATGTCACTTGGTCTCGGGCAATTGTTCTACGTTCTTTTATGCTTCATCAATGCCGTCGCAGTTCTGAGTGAAGATAGATTCTTGGCCAAGAGTGAGTACAGCGAGATGCAAAAGTAACGCGCTCTAATAAAATAAAATAAAATGCAAATGAAATTCAAGTCGGATGGAATGCACAGTCAGATGCTGGCTTTGGAAGCGATCAGACGCAATCAATAAAATCCAAGATGGTGAATCTGATATCAGCTGTGCGGACGTTAATGAGAAGTAAGTTCAGGCTCAAGATGGATTCCAAAAAAAAGAGAAAAATGTTGAAACTAAATATTTTTGTTGTAGTTCCTCTCATCGCCATCAATATTATAGTCATTATATATGAGATAATCTTGGGGTAGTATGAATAATCGTGTAATACCAAATAAAAGCAACACAAACGCAAGGAGAAAGAGAAAAAGAAAGAAAGAAAGAAAGCAAACATCTTTTTTTACACCAATATATTTATGTTTATAAAAAAATAAGGGCTTTGATTTGTTGGAAAAAAAAGTATTTCTATGTGTCATGAAACAAGAAGAAGAAGAGAAAGAGGAGGAATAAGAAGAAGAAGATGAAGAAGGAAATTATGGGTGATTTTACTGTTTAATGATGAAAAGATTCACCAAGAGGTCTGTTTTCGGGATCTCCAGAAACCTGACCAAGTCCAATTAAACACCAGAAGGATAAACTCTTTGTACGATCATCGTCCATGCGGATAGATGAGTTTGCTTTTTTGGATCCACTGAAACTGTCATCAGGATCAATGTCATCCAGATCCATTTCTATGTCACCAGAAGATACATCCATTCGACCATCATCAGCCTTGTAGTGGTATGTAACAAGCAAAGGAAACTAAGCACGTCAAATGTTAATATCCTCTTTTATCCTCCTTTTCTCCTTCTTTTTAAACAAAAGTCTTCCTGTTTTATTTCCATTCTAGTACCAATCAATAATAACAGTAGTAATGTTAAAAATTCAAGGAGAAAAAAATCTTACCTTGAATTCACCATACTGTTCGGGAACAACTTCCACAACCACACTCGTGTAATTGTTACGCCTATCATATACACCACTACTCCATCCTGCAGATGCTCCTCCAGCAGACGCTCCTCCTCCGGACGAAATTCCAGCTGTTCCTCCGTAGCTTGCTTTACGTGTTGACCCATTCGAGTACAACTCATCATCGTATTCAATCGTTTCGTTGTAAGCACCAACAGTAAAATGAGGGGACAAGATTGTAACTTTTCCCATCATTTTGGTATTTGTCTTTTCTGGTATTTGTGGTCCTTCGGAATCTGTAGCAGATTTGCGACGCATTTGGGGTGTAGCCAATGTAATACTCATTTCTTCATAGAGGGGGTTGGTAAACTTTAATACAAATTGAGTTGGAACACCAAGTTGTAGAAGCCATGGTTTCCTTGGCATTTTGACAATAGTGATGTTTGGTATATAATTCCTATAATGATACTATTAGTTGTCTACATTATTTTTTTCATTATCATTTAAAGATCATTAGGTTCTTACATGGCCACTAGTTTTATTTTGAACCGAGTGGCCTGGGCTTTTTGCTCGGGTTTGATCAGGATGTGTCGACATGTACGGCATCGTTTTGATCTCTTAATGCAAAGGTGAATTCTTTGGGGGTGTATCTTGCTATACACACACATTCACACAGGATTTTATTATTCAGTGCCTTTATTTTTTTTAAAATAATAATAATAATACTAATACTAATACTAATACTAATACTAATGCTCATTTAATATTAACTGTAATTTACCTAAGTTGGTACGGTTGATCATGTAGCTGCGTGAATCTTTGACTTAGTGTAGATACTATCCAAAAACAAAAAACAAAATACATATGAAAGGATCAGCCACACTAAACATGTTTCCCCTATCTATCTTGCAAGCTTGCCTTGATCGACAGTTCGCAGACTGAACATGCTATTGAGTGTCTTTGTATCATCATCGAGGATCTGAACACTGGGTACATAAGGTTCAATGACATCTTTCTTTCCTTGTGCCTGTGTATCACCCGAGAATTGTCCACCCATCATCTTGTTGAATGCACCCGTGTTTGAAAACGACATGAAGCTCGTCGGCAAGGCAGGGGGTGCATTTGCACGCAAGTATTTTTCAAAATGTTCTTTCAAATGATCAAACTCTTTGGCATCTGGTAGGGCTTCTTCATTCTTTTGTAGCTGTACTATATGTAGATATACACAAACACGCATAAAAATGAATTTATGAGACTAATATAATATATTATAATAATTTATCTGAAAAAATAAACGAAATATAAATTGATCATACAATATATATATATATCCTTGATACTAAGACTAATAGTAATAAAAATATTGATTAAGAAACATAATTGAGAAAGTCCACTTGCATGCTAAACTGGTTGGTTTTTCGAATGTCATGCCAATTTCTTGTGAATTCCAGCGACAGACATTACAAGCTAAGAAATAAGGACCTGCTGCAGCCGGAACCGTGGCTGATTCCTGTGCAGCTACAACAGACAGTGTATTTTGGCAAATTGGGCACTGGAAACAGTTACGAGCACATCTATGGTAGTGTCAATCAATCGAAAAACTTTATTATATCTATCTCGATCTCCTCTCTCTCTCTCTCTTTCATCTTATTGACTTTATTTGTATGTATTATATATATATCTGTGTTTGTTTGTGTGTGTACATATTCACACTTATATACCTGTTTTTTTCACTCTTTACACTCGCAGTTGGTACCTCAAAAAGACAGTTTGGACAATAGTACGATACAATTTCGTCTTGAACGCAGGATGGGCACCGGATTTGATGACAGTCCTCGCAGAAATAGAGACGCGAGAGTGGATAAACATAGTTTGATGCCTGGGCTGAAAGAAGATGTTGGCCAGTTACTGTTGCTGTTGTTGATGATGCCCCGACATCAGTTCCTGTGGAGCTACTCCGAGATAGATGAATGGGATCATTTACAGTCAGGAACTGAGATTTCTCTTCAAATGAGGTGTCTTTTTTGACGGAAGGTTCGATCGATCGACGTCCATTGTGGCTGTCAGAGTAACTAGTGAAGTCTGGACAATCGCAATAGTAATGCACAAATGGAATCGGCTCAGGATTGGACATGATGCTCTTTCAACTCGACAAGACCCAAGCAAGAACCAAAAAAAAAAAAAAACCAAAAAAGAAAAATCGAGAGGAAAAGGGTCTTTTCTTGCTATATTTGGCGTGTGATTATGTCAATTTGAAATTCTAATATAGTAATTGTGACATGGACGGATTGTAGCTTTGAGTGACATCACAATATTCTAGAAAGATGTAAAAAAGAAGAAAAAGTAAGAAAGAAAGAATTGCCTTGAATGTAGCCCTCTGGTTTTGTTCTTTAGCTATTTTTTCTGGTACAGGTTATAAATGAGAGTTAATAATAACGCAAGTATGTAAAAAAAAAAAACAAAAAAAAAAGAATTTGACTTTATTGAGTTTTGGATTATTTTGTCAAAAATTAAATAAATCAATGAATATTACTTTTTAAACCAAGGAGGAAGAGGTTTGAATTTATATATATATATATACTTGAAATGAATTCCTCTTATTTCAACATATTGTATATGATATGTATCTATAGATTTATCAAGTAAAGAAAAGGAAAAGAGATATATAGGAGCATTGGCCTGTTTAGCAACTTATAAAAACATAGATACATACAAGATGGCTGTGATTAAGCCGACGATCTGGAAAGCCCAGATCATAGATAGGAAAGGTATGAAAGACGTTGGATTGTGGGTTAGGATACATTCATATATTTCTGATTAAAAAAGAATTATATGTGTGTGTGTGTGTGTATTTAAACCCTATTTATCAAATTGCCACAAAACAAGACATATAGGAGAAAGAAAGAAAGAGAGAGAGAGAGAGAGTTCAATAGTATAGAACAAATGGTGTGATTCCAGACCAGCAAATGAACACCACGTTCATAGCATTCTTCGCTATAGTCTTGGATAATCCTTGTAAAATACAAACACACACATACATACACACATATATATATATGTGTGTGTGTGTATTTGCTTAAACAGATTAAGATCACAAACTACAACAGCTTAGTTATGTAAATTTATATTGATTGGCCTTTAGTGTTCCCTTGAATAGACGAATTATCGGTTTTAAGCAGTTGTGGTTATATCAAGGAGAAATGGGATTAAATAATATGTGTGTACATACATATATATGACTCAATTTCTTTATTGAAATGACTTGGTAATTTATACCATTGTAAGTATATATCCAACTGAATACAATTGACTGTAATCGAATTGTATTATAATTATAATTATAATTACAATTACAATTACAATTACAATTACAATTACAATTACAATTACAGATTATTGTACAAATATATTTTAGTTACTCATAAGAATGTGTGGATGTGTATGAAAAAAGCAAGTCTCCGTGAATGGGATCTGTGTTACATAGGACAACCCAGTCTTTAAATAATCATTCAACGGCCGGAGAGCAGGGATGGTTCCGGTCAAAATGGGCCAAGGTGATAATAGTCATCATTACGAAAGCAATAGGATAAAATAAAGGATATTTCTTTTATTGCAGCAGAGTAAAGGAAGTCCAAAGCAAAAATCAGAACAGAGGCAAAGAAAAGTTAAGAGAATCCTTATACTGCTGAGGATATCACAGTTCCTGCATGCACATGCGCAGGGTAGAATTGGAAGTTTGTCTTGGAGAACTTTTAATGAAAGGAACATATTTTTGATTGTCTGGACCATCGCAATCGCACCTTATCCTTTGGGGACATGCTTTGTTGCCATTCAAGCTGGAACAGAAGCCAAAGCTACCCTTTCTTTTTTAGATCCATGCGTGGGCGCATGGTAAACATGTCGTTTGCACAAGTCATATAAATAAACAAAAAGGTAAACTAACCAACCAAGAAAGCAAGCAAGCCTGCCATGCAAACAAGTTTCGGAGGAAGGAAATAAAGTAGAAGAGAGTTAATTTGTATCTGTATTTGTATTTGTATTATAATTACTGTAATCATAATTATAATAGATACAAATTGACTCCTTGGAAAACCTTAACACATGCCTTGGAACCAAGCTTGAATGCCTCTTATTTCTTATATTTCTCTTTTGGTCAAGAGGTAGATAGCATATCGCTATATTTATGAAAGAACAAAAATATCAAAAAAAAATCAGCAAGGTCAATATTCTATATGAAATCTCTATGGCAGATGTCAAGAGGACTGGAATGCGAAATTGACTGAGTGGACTTCATTCTATCACTTTTTTTTTTTAATATTATTACTTTAAAGGCCCTTTTTTGTCTTTTTTTTTTGAGCACAGAATATATATAATAAAAAGGAGCCCCCACATATCAACCCCCCAGTCTTTCCTTTTACTACCCATGCCCTGTATATAGAAAGTGTACCCCCCCCCTCCCCCAGAATTCAGGCAATTAATAATGCCATCGTCTATATTAGATCTTCAAACAAACAAATATATAAACTCCCTCACACTTACACAGCCACTCTCTTCTTTTTTCTTCTCTTCTACTTCTACCTCTACTAATAATCTCCATGCCACCGCACCTCTTACATCCCAGACCTTCTCACTCCCAGACTAGATTCTGCCCGGGTGTCAAACTCGCTCCTCCAATTCACCATGTCACTATCATCGGCTTTGAAAGGCGTTCAGATCAGAAGATATGGTTCTTGATCGACGTAGATCCCCAGCAAGCTGACCCCCAAAACAACACAGCTGGCTCTCGAAATTTGGCTCGCAAGTCCTACACCATTGCCCGCCGCTACGAAGACTTTTCTCACTTTTCCCAAAGCCTGCAAACAACCTTCTCGCCTGCACGCCCTCCCTTGAGCAGTATCGGCCGCAACTCGCGTCAAAAATCAGCACAAAATCAAGACACACTGGTCTTACCAAAAATCAAGGGTCGTATCCAAATTCTTCCCAATAAACAAATCCATATCCAGCGCCGAGCAGAGCTCGAGCGCTTTGTAGATGCCCTGTTTCAACTTCCAACTTCTATCACCCAATCTCTTCTTGTTCTCGAGTTTTTTGGACTTCAAAAAGCAGATACCGAAGAGCAACTCTGGCGGGACCAGCAATCTTCAAAATTAACAAAGCCAACCCCCAAAGAACCAAAGCGTCGACTGGTACGATCTAGCTCTGTTGGCCAGGTTAAATCAGTCGCCTCTGGACTCCCCAAATCAGTTTCTCAACCCAATCTCAGACAACCTCCTATAACTCCAATCTCACTTGCCACACTACCTGTAAAGTCAGCGACTCACCCACTACACTCACTTCACCCCTTATCCTTACCTTTGCCTTTACCCTCGCGGTGGAAACGTCTGCGATGTCCTTCAATTCGTGGTCCAATGCCTGTTTCCACTACCTCGACCACCTCAACATCTTCCGTCGCCTCCACATCTTCTCTGTCCTTATTTTGCACCCAGGCAGCAACAGTAATTCTGCCATGGAATAACCGCGCTACGCCTTCAATTGTTCCATTATCAACGCCGGCCATGGCAAGCAGCACAAGCACAAGCAGTAGCTGTGCCAGTATACATACTTCCTGCAGCACAAATACATGCAGCACAGTCAACACTAGCGCATCTCCAAGTCCTTCACACAGCACCAACGGATCTCCATCTTTAAGGACCATCAAGATCAAAGTGGTATATGATGCCGATAATATTATCGTCATTCAAGTACCACGTTCTATCGATCTAAAGGAGCTTCAGCAGCGTATTTCCCAAAAGTTGGCCGACCCTGGCATGGGAGGCATAGTGCTGGACAAGGACCCTCACCTGTTGTTTAATCACACACGGTCATCAGCTTCTTCTACTTATCAGGAAGACATTTCTGGCACAGATACTATCATTGGTGACCAAAGTGATTGGACTTTGGCTATGCATACCCAATGGCATGACCTGGACAAGGTTACACTGCGTTGTGTATAGACGCAATGTACATATTTCAACTTCTATTGTACATAACATTTTCGCCCATTCATTCATTCATTCATTCATTCATTCATTCATTCTCTTTATTATCATTTTTATTATCATTTCATATTTCGATCCATGTCTTCTTCTTTCTTTCTTCTTCTTTTTCTTCTTTTTTTTTCTTTTTTTTTTCGATCTGAAATTTAGATGATCTATTTATTTCTGGACAAATAAAACCTTTGATTGAGACAATTTCTACCTTCTAATTAAGACGATTTCTTTTTTGCACAGCGTAACTCAAACAAATTAACAGAAACATATTAGACACTTGATGCAAATTATCAGTTTTTATTCCTTCCTTTCTGTCAATGATATTTTGATTACACTATATTAACAAGACACTCAATATACGTGCATTTGTTTTTGATAATTTCATTGAAAAAAAAGGACTATACTGATAATTTATTTGGTCATTAATGAGACCCTGCTGATTTTTATTGTCGTTGTTGTTGTTGTACTAACATTGGAACAAGACTCTTCTTCTTCTTTTACGCTATCACAAGCTTTGGAAATACTTGTAGATCCGATAGATCTATCTATCTAATTAATTAATATGTTTCCCTTGTTAGGAAATCAATCGCAGTCATCTAAAGTATTTGAAGTGCAATATTAATATCGCTGGTGCGGGTACCTATTGTCATCATAGTTAGTAATGGTCCAGATTGTGTTTGGTCGTGCCGTCAAAGTGTTTATCAGAAGATACCTAGAGATCTGCAGGGCAAAATGGATGCTTAAAACATCGAACTTTGAACATATTTGTCTTAACTGGGACATGCCGTTATGTGTATAATAATACTAATAATACTGATAGTAATAAAGCCATTGATTTAATACTCTGCCAACTGTGCAATGTAGACACTAAATTAAATGCCAATATTTCTTTCCTTTTTTTCTCGAGTGTTGGAGGGCAGGTGATAGGCTGAAGCGTGCTAGGTCAAAACTCAGGTCCAAAATATCTGTTAATTAATATACTACTACTGTAGACCTTTTTTATGCTTTAATGCAAGCCAAAAGCATACGATTTATTATTGTATGCTTTGAACACATAAGCAATTTTGGTATACAAACAGTTAAAGTATAATAAGAATAATTAATCGAGTTAAATCCCTCAATATGAACATGAAGACTAGGTAACTTAGAGTGTAAGTTTATTCAATTTACATAAATCATTTAATGTCTTTCTAATAGAAAGTACTCTATTTAGCATTGATGGTCCAAATAAATCACTGCTAGTTAATCATTCGAAAAATAATAACAATTTCACCAAATTACAGCTCTTCTTTTTTCTCGGAAACCTGAAATTATATAGCATACCTTAGTTGGCCATGTTAATATTAAAAGTGAAAGTAAAAAAGCATGTGATAATTAGTACCAATGTCAAAGTTGTCATATATATAAATGGTAGACTTCTCTAGGACAGGCATTAAGCAAGACGTACATTTTTTCTTAAAAAAAAAAACTTTAAAAGTCAGAGCAGACAGGACCACTATCAGACGTTAAGAGTATGTTTCCCGCTTTATCTTGTGTAAATCAAACAACATAAGAAAGAGGCTCATATTACCTGTTTAGAGCAGAGAATACGTAATTTTTTTTTTACTACAACTTACTTCCATTTCGATAGTAGTATTTCTATGAAAGGTTGTCATTAGGGATATATTGCGCACAAGTCAACTGGAAGACTTATTGTTCCAGACATGAATTCATCGTGAGATCTTCAGTCAACGTAACCAAATTACACCTAAGTTTAACATATGCCCAACATTTGTATACTTATTATTATTATCCTTATTTGCAATATAACTTTCTTTAAGATTTCCAAAGAGTTACATTCACTAGCTACTATAAAACTAGACGTGGTTTATGTTATATTATCGAGTTTAATGAATGAAGATTACTCGTTGTCCTAGTAACAAACCTTCAGGCACATTTCACAAAATCATCCGTCAAAACCAAAAGATAGCACTTAAAAAAATATAGAGATTTAACATATTTTTGGTGGAATTTTAAAAGCTTACGTTTATATATATAAAGGAGAGTATGTCGTTAATAATTTATGCATTGAATTTACTCTTATTTTTTCATACAGGCATAAGAACAGGAGAGTTCCTCAAAAAGGTCTGGTAAGTGGCCAATAAATTTAGATTTTCACGTTAGTTTGAGCCTCGTTAAAAACTACTACTACTCCTATAGATATGGTCACACTAAATTATATATATATAGTGTAAAACTGTTAGTTCACAAGGGTATCAGTATATGGTAATCACGTACATAATATCACATAGTCACAAGGAGCGTTTTTCTCCTTTTCTCTTTCTCTCTCTTTCGTATTTCACCAACTTCTTTAAAGAAGTACATTTGATTTTTAAAACATACTTAAAACATACTGTGCCCCATTTTTAAAAGCTAAAGAGGTGTTTGTTTTTTGAAGCGTCGATATAATTTTTGAATGTTTTATCAATGAATATGAGGCTGGTTTGGTACAGTCATACTTGTGAAAATTGGCGGGTTTTAAAAGACACTGTCGATTACTAAAAAAGCAATCGTCGGTAACTAAAATAAGAATCGAAAAAATAAAATCTATCTGTCGGTTCTACACTGAGATAATTGTCGGTTTTTTATACCAACTTGTCGACATAAGGACATGTTATTTTTTTTAAAGATAGTTGTATTGTTATTAAAATGGAGTTTTATTATAACAGTTTATTATCTGACGTTTAGAATGGCTGGCGAAGCCATAAAGGTCACTGATAAGAACTTCATTACAAGCGTCAGCAATTCTACACGATAGATTCTCTTCAGTCCTCAATCGGTGGCGTTTCAATTTGCCCTTCACGATTGCCCAAAACTGCTCAATAGGATTTAGCTTAGGAGAGTACGAGGAAGGTACATCACACGGTAACGTCTGCTTTCAACCTCTCTTTTCATTGAATCCAATTTATGTATGGAAGCATTGTCCATAACAATATAACTTCCCTTTAAGCTATGATCAAAGTCCATTACATCTAGCAGTTCATTAATAAACTTGATGAAGTGGGCGGTATTTGTACCTTTTGATACGGGTTTAGCATTGTCGTCAATATTCTCATCCTCTTCTACATTTGTTTTTTCATTAACAATATCTGAGAATGCTCGTTTCTTGCCATTATTGATCTTTTTAATCTTTTTATTCTGAGAGCTTCTATCGGATTTAAGTGGCGGCTTTTTCAATACTACATGAAGTACACTAGAGGCATGAATTGGGACAATTATTGTATGGGATGGTGGCCTTGATTTTGGCACATGGGACAATGGCAAGAGTTTCTCTCACTGATCTTGCCCAACTGTTTCGCATGTTAATACTGAAACCTGTCTCGTCTATAAACACACAATTATTTGTGTAATCTAGATTTGTATCTTTCCATTCCATAAACCACTGTTTCCTTGTATTCAAATTCTCAATAGAATTTCTTTTTTTCGGCCTCACATGTAGGTCTATTTACACTGATATGCATGTTGTTCTTCAAATAGTGGTTTATTCGTGATACAGAGATCGAAAAGGCTTCAAGCTGCGTAGTCAAGCCATCTATGATATCCTCAGTAACGACTTGAGGGTCTTGTTAAATTAAACGTTCTATATGCTCTTCTTGTTTGGCAGTGATGAAGCTTTTTGGGCCAATGTTGGCCGTCTTTCTATATGGAACTTCCCACTCGTTTGGTAGCTCTTCTACCATCTTTCCGCCGTGCGTGGATTGATGGCGAGCTACTTTGAAAACTTGGCAATATTGCCTCGTTCTTCAGGTGCTTCTATCATTAGGTCTATAAAATTTTCTCATTCTTTGTCGGTATAGATATTGTACTTTTTAGTCGATTGAACGACATTTATTTCCTTAGAATTTTTCTCTTGAATGGCTCTTTCAATAAGCTTTAGAGCTAGATATTCCCTTTGATTTGTAATCGTCTCAAGAACAATGTTGGGATCTGCAATTTCAGTTAAGATGCCCTCCATTGGATAAAAAAAATTTTCTCTTTGTTCATTAAAGTCGCTATCTTGCCCATCTTCATAAAAAATAGACTTTGTCATTTGTAGGTCTTAAAAAAAAGAAATAAAACTTCGCAAAGCTGCTATGCCTTTCAAAAAATTACATGAACTCATATGATTAAATGAGTTAAAAAAACCGATAATTATCTCAGTGTAGAACCGACAAATACAGGATTTTAACCTAAAACGAGACGGCTGCAAAATTCTTTAGAGACCATTGCAAATTTCCCAAGAGACATCCGTAAATTTTTACTAGACCATTTCCATAACCATATTGGGCATTTTTCATTAGATTATTACATATAAAAGGTTAATATTTTCATAGGAAGAATGGATTGCACAAATTATCAACCCATAATTGAATTTTATCCTGAAAGTGAAGCTGAGGATATGTATTTAGGTTATTAATACGGCGAGATTACTACATTAAAATGAACGAGAACTTAGAGGAGATCACTACTAATCTAGCTGCGGTTTCTCTTTCAGACGATACGAAAAGAAAGGATATGTATTGACCTGAGCGAATACGCCGCTTTATTTAAATTTCGCAGGAAGAAGGGGTGTCAATTCCTATAGCTACAAAGATATGCATAATCTTGATATTCACTACACCCATGACAGAGATTGTCCCTAGAATGATGTGAGATACTGCACGAGTCGATGGTGTAGTAAACATGACTGAAGTTCCTTTTGCAGATCTTCCCGTCAAAGGTCTTTATTTTGATATCGAATGCAACCTCATTAAAGAAGACGTTACTTAGATAATCCATATCTGTCTGAGATATTTCTCGACCCACCATTTCCTCTTGATGCGTGGTTTTTACAGAGTCTTTAGCCACAGGACGACAAGTGATCTGCTTGACTTTCAAGTTGTATTGATCTTTTATGAAAGTGCCTACGTACTTGAGACTCTTTCAAGCTGAAATCCTCGCATTTTGCGGTAAGGATATAAACGACATTCGTTCTTGTTACTTGAGGTTGCTCATTGAAAAGATGAATCAGGGAATACTTATGCTCTTCATGTAGTTGAGATTCACCACGATTGGCTTTGTTCATAAACTTGCCGTATATATCCCATTCTGGATCATCGTCCATTCGCTTTACCCATCCCTGAGCTGTTCTTATGTTGATTCCTGCTCGTTCTGAAGCAGGATTGGAAAGCAACATGGCTCGCTCAAGAAAAACGTACAGCTTTTATATATTTGCTCAGATCCAAGTTTTTGGAAGGAAAAACCTGTCATGATAACATCTACTTTTTCCGGATCATGATCATTTTGTTCAAAAATTAACTATTGTGTACGCTATATAATTATTTATTATCAAAGGTATAGCAGCGTTTTATTACCACATAAATGCGTGTTGTAGATATTTACAACTATTTAAAAGCAATTGATGAACGTAACTTTTTTGGTTTCTTTAAATTCAAAATATTACGAGTAGTTTGTTGTTGAATAGACATTCTCTTCCTTGATTCCTTGTGAATTCTGTTTGCTAAGACACAGTTTTCTTGGTAACAAACCATTATTTTTATTTCATCAAAACGCATGACGAACTGGGGTAATTCAGATATAGATTTCGGGACATTAAAAGAGTATAGTTCTGTAAGCAAATTGAGTCCAGTGGCTTCAAGAGAGAACAGATAAATTGTAACGTAATATCCTTTATCATAAAAAAAGGAATAGTAAACAAAATTGTAGAAAAATTGGTATTTGACTTCAGGCTTACCTACTTCTTGCACAGCAATCATTGACTTCACATCTTTTTTGTCAAGAGTGTCTTTACAGAAATTTACTAATCTCAAAAGGTCCTCATGTGTCTTCAATGTGTCAGAACGACTTTTACCGAGCTTCATCTCAACATATTCAGTAGAAAACGTTATCCTCCGTTGTTCTAATTCAAACACATTAGCATCAGGTCTTAGAGATTCAGTATCTTCAACACCAGTGTTAAGTCTAATTTGGGAAATAAATCGTCAATAAATGGTGTATAAAAAGCATCGGATTTTCAATTACCATCGAAACAATCTGTACTTCTCGACATCATGAAATATAGGATTTAGAATTGGATCAAGAAAAGTACCAGTAAGCTCTGCTTCTCTTATATCATCCTCAAGTCGTTCTTGATTTGGTAGTTTATTTAGGTTATTAGATGTAATAATTGAGTATATCAAACGAATTCTAAGAATTAGTTTTATTTGATCAGTTATTAATTGATTAAAATATCGATCCTTTTGTAATCATTGTTGGCAAATTTGGCAATATCATTTATTCGTTCTTCTTAGGGAGGTTTATGCAATTTTGCTTTATCAATCTCTTTTACAATGTACTAATATGGACAGATATGTCTTAAAAATTTTCTGAAGCTTCATTTTGGGGAACCTTACGGACAGCCTGGCAGGACAGCCTGGACAGCATGTACCCTAAGTTTAGGGGGACGGCATTTCTTGGTGAGGGCCAACATTTTTATTCTACCGGACCACAAATAGTGGCCTTTTTGCCGGCACGGAATAAGTCTATCTAGTTCCTGATAATATATAATATTCGTATAAAGACTTTCTTGTGCTTTTCAAAAAAAAAGGAGGCGGGTGGGGGTTACTTACCAGCTGGTGCTGTCGAACTCTGGGAATATGTAGGTGAAAGAAAGAAAGACATGATACGCGTAAGCAGATCAATAAATAGTAAGATATCAAACAAGATTGGATCACAATCTAATGACAGCAACTCCTTATAGTCCTTTGCATAACTGGTTACCGATATAGTGTATTTGCGATTAGCTCTTTTTTCTTTGTTGTCAAGTCTATATTTAGGGTTACTAATTGAATATACAGAATTTGCTTTTCGTATGAGACAGCATCTTATTATTAAGTTGCTCAAATACATGCTGTGGCTCTTAAAATAATGAAAGTTAGGTGCCTGGCGAGAGATTAATGAATACAAAGTGTAGGGACAAAGTAGTAAAGCTAATGCATACAATGAATATATTGTATTTCTTTGAGGGCACACCGTTTTGCCCTGAAGGATTAGAGAAAGACGCCAGTCTCCGGACATGTAGTCAGAATTGATTAGTCCGGTTAGATAGAAATATTGTACCCCACCGGGAAACGTGGTTACCGTAAGATTGATACAAAGTCTGACCCCAGCCCAAAAATATGTATATCCATTAAACTCCTTATTATGAGTGATATCGCATACTTTCAGGCTGTCCAGGCTGTCCAGGCTGTCCGTAAGGTTTCCCTTCATTTTCATATTGGAGTGTACGTTATGGTCGTGAAATGTAATGAAGCTAAACTAACGAACATTGATTCGTATTAATGGTTAAGTTAATAGTTTGATAATGCTTGATCAAACAATTGGCATAAGCTATATTATTAACTGCAGATTCTGTAATAGAGCGCGTAATATATATAATTTAAATAGTTAAATTTTAAAGAATGACATAGAAGAAGTCATGCTAATATAGTATTTACATCTTTAAAAGTATATTTTTAACATATTTTATTTCTATATCTTCCTTTGAATATATCGTTATCTTAGCAGTTCAAAAAAATAGGAAATTATTGGCTAAAAGTGCTTTGTAAAACCCGAATTGGGCTTACAAAGTCTTTTTTAGAAGTATGAAACAAACTATTCTTTTTTAGACAAAAAAATTTCCTTTTTAATTTTGATACAAAATTTGCACAAACCTCCCTATTATTATTTTTCTTATTCGAAATTTTGACAAAGTTGTTTTATATGCTGAAAATCGTTGCCTTTGCCGAATTTTAACAGAATTATTTTTTTATTGCTCAATACAACCTCCGAATTTTCTTAATCAATACTTTGTCTTACTTCAACAGCTTTTTGTTTTGATTAAAAAGGTTTGAAGTAGGACCAAACCTTTTTTCCTCCTTTATTTGGAAGAAAAAATATTCAACTTACGAAATTGCACAAAGAAAAATTCTCTAGGCCAATCATATTTCTTGAGTACCATACGCTACCATATTTAGCTTCTAATTTCTGTGGTGGTGATATGGTGCAACTATCACCACGGGAGATTTTCGATATCAAATTTGGAAATATTTTACTTACATACATTTTGATTGGTCTATATAACCCAGATTAATCGGGATATCGAATTTGACCCATTTTATGAGACTTGTCAACTACATAAGGCAATTTTAAAAGGGCAAGTATCCATAAATGGACCCTCTCAATATTTTGGCAAAACCGAAAAATGACTTGGTGAAAATCACAATTTTTTTTTATTGAATAATTTTTTTTATTAATAAAGATAAAAAAAAATTAATACTGTCGATTCGAAAACAAGGAAACAAAGAACCAGTAGGAGCCAAATTTACTGAGATTGATGACAAGCTTGTTGTTAAATTCTGTGTGCATATCAAGCTTACATACAATCTTCAGCTGATCGAGTGTAGTAGATGCATCATTGGAAACCTTTTGCGCGAGGAGGTAGTTGTTAACTTGAGCGTGGGGACTACTCTCAACTCGATAGTGTTCTACTCTCAAAGAGGAGACCTTTCCAATAAATGGATGGGCATGTTGGTCTCTACTCTCCTTGAGCATGAACACCACAAAGGTATTGTCACAGAGTGCTTTTGCTGTAATGTCATCAGTGTCGTTATTATCAGCAAAGTCTCTTGATCCACTAAACAGGATATTCTTAACATTGTCGTTAAAGTTTTCTTTAAGAAATTCTGCCGTGGAATTACCATACTTCTCTCTCATTTTGTCTTTGCTCACCCATGAACCACCATCAATGATGTGTCTCATTGCAGATTGCTTGGCGAACTTGAGACATACATCTCTTGAGGTGTTTAACCTATTGGTATGCATTAGGTGTTCACGGATGTGTTTGTTAAACTGCTCACCTTTTTCGGTCTCGTAGTGTAGAGCAGTTCCAAATCTTCGTAGATCGTCGGGCAGATGTGTGAGCAGGTGAACCTTGGGCTTCGAGGAATACGGATTATGTCCTTCGATTTCACAGGTAATGACATAATGATGCAGTTCTTGGATAAGGCTTGTAACTGCCTTTTCAACTTCGTCGATGTACATATTATAATCATACCTTACTGCTCTAACAAACACCAAGGAGCAAAGACGGCCAAGACGGACAAAAGATGGAGTTATGAGAGAGAGTATACTATCATTTGCAAATTCTGTAACTAAGATAGCGGGTAGAATTTGCAGAAGAACTTTGTAATCCCTCCCAAGGAATGAGCCACAGTGTCGTAACTCTCGAGTGAACTTTCTTGACATTCCTTGAGAGTTTTCATAATCCTTGAGGGCTTTGGACAATCTAGCCATTTGGTTAGGATTTTTCTTTAGTACAACCTTTACCAAATCATTGACTAGATACTTAGCAACTCCAAGAAGTATGTTATGCAGAACTTCAACTGGAGTATCTGTCGATGGATCGAATGACTGTAGTTCCAACAATGCATCTGTTGCCCTATTTGCGAAGCATAGGTCGCTTGCTGTCAGAGCATTTCCAGTCAAAGGAGCATCTGGAATAGTCGATCCACGTCCCGAGGTAGACGCAGCAGCAAGATAGTGTGCCTTTGTTCTTGCTGTGTGTCTACCAGTATAATACGAAGAGCTTTGGAGGTTGGGCATGGATCTTTGTAAACGGACATAACATTTGCGGCATGGGTACAGACTTGTCGGCGCGCGCAAACCACATAGTTCAGAATGGCATGGAGTGTCTGCCTCGATCCAAAGGAGTGGTGATGCTACTAAGACGTTTTCGTTGTCTTTGGCAGAGAACATCACCAGTCCGTTTTCGAGCCTTTTGAAATCTTCAACGATTTTAGGCAACAAGGACATCCCACTTGCCCCCTTTTTCTTGGGAATAGCAGAGAGAAAGTGGATGTTTTCAATTGAAGACCTCTCTTCGTAGGAGAGAGCAGCAAACTTCATTGACCAGCTTTCGTACGGGTTATATTGCTTTGATCGGTTTCCGGAGGTGTCGTCGGTGAAGAGTATAATGGGCGATATCCTCACCTTGTAAAACAACTTTGGATCGATCGGCTTTCCGGTTTCGTCTAGTACGTGCCGTTTTAAGAAATGAGGCTCTTCCAGCAAGGACTTGTGCCTGGGAATCAAATGAAAGACTTTCCCAGGTGAGACGCTGTAGCATAGGGCAACATCAACAGGGGTCGAGTCAACACCGAGAAGAGTTTCAAGCTTTATGCTAGTAGATTCAACTTCGATGCCAATGAACTGACCGCCTTCCAGAATATAAACCATGTAGCCTTGAACAAAAACGGCTGAGTTATCCATGGTATGGAATGATTCTACTAGGAAACGGGCTGGAGTGGAACCATTCATAAAGTTAACAATATCACCAGACCAAAAATCTACGCCGTTGTGGGTGAACATAGGTTGTTGATAGTACCAATGTGTTCTCCACTTTTCGCCTTGTTGTAGACAAATGGACTGGTTAGGAGTGCGGTCAGGGAGGGAAAACATGTTTCTTGCTTTCTTGGGGTTGGCAGCAAGAAACCGGACGTGGTCTGAAGGCAAGTTGATATAAGCAGACGTGGTATTGTTTTTCGGCAACTAGATATCGACTTTTGTGGATGGAAATACAGGAATCTTGGACTTTTTCCTGGTCTGACAGTTCAAGAGGGCATCCAAACGAGGTAACTTGAACGGGGACTTCTTTCGGATAGCTTCCTCGTGAAGCTTAAGGACAAGACTTATGGTAAACAGGATCTTTTTCAAGATCCTGCGAGATACCATGTCTTTATCGCCATCAACAAAGGCAAGCAGTACCATAGACTGGAGATCCGGGAACGGGTGGGTGTCTGATGTATACTGGTTCCATGTCGTATGCGATCCAGTTGCTTCTCTCAGTAAATCGAGATCTGCATCCAACGATGAGCTGGTATTGGATGCAGAAGACAACATACTATTTCTTATATGCATGTATAGGTGGTTACCTGGACTTGGACTTTCAAAGGGGCTGGTGTCCTCATCCATCTCGATAATACTTTCACCGGCATCGAGTTCAATCTCGCTAACATTATCGTCGCCATCGCTGTTCATGTCGTCAACATCGCTGCTGTCGTCATCCTCCAAATCGGATTCAACGTGTAGGTCTTCGTTAACGGAATCGTCATTGTGATCAGGGGCGGTCGGCTCGGCAGTGTTCGTGGTCTGTCTTTGTGACGCTAAATTTCTATCGGCATATTGAGGGCTAATATCGTTAGCAATATGAGTTGCTAACTTATGATATTTGGTAAGGTGGCGTCGTAGATTCCATACGCGATCGAAATCTTTTCCACAAAGTGAGCAGGTCTTTCCGATATCGTCAAAGGCAAAATTGTGTTGACCTGGTCCTTTGGGAGCAGAAACTACCACCCTAGAATTTTTTGGGTAATTAATAATACGCTGCATCACAGAGCTTTCGTGATGTAACATATTGTCTAACGTGATAAAGGAGTATAGACGACCACCATATATTTATTTATTTCTGCATCTTGAAACAACAAGTCGATTTCTTTCAGGAACCAATGAAAAGTGTTATTCATGTAACCAGTAATAAGCGTATAATGGTCTTCAAAAACCAATGAAATTCATTAATTTGTTACAGTTTGACACAAAAAATAAACATTGAGTGCCTTTTTTTGTTTCATACAATTTTTTTCATTTTTCTAAAGATCAGGCAACAAATGGCACATGATCATGCTACTCATTAGCTAATTATACTACAGATCAACTCTGATCCTCTCACATGATTAAGATCTTAAAAGGTATTGCTAATGATGTGATTCTATTACGAGTTCTGATTAATAAAATCTAATTGAAGTATAATAGGGCATGTGAATTCTTGACATAAAAAGGTATGTAAAAAATCTTGCTCGTATACTGATTTTATCCATACTAACATAAACATATGTCTTCTTCTTTTTTGCTTTGTTTTTTTTTGTTTTTGTTTTTGTTTTAGATTCAATTAATATGTGGTAAGTCATCTAAAACATAGTAATCTTCATCAAAAGTCCATGTACTAATGACCTTTGTTTTTTTTGCAGGTTTGACATTTTCGCTCAGATTTGAAACGTGTCCTTCCAATAGCTTCTTTGCTTTTATTTTAAAAGCATTAATATGGTTTTTGCTTTCAAACATGCAATTGGGTTTTTCAAAATTCTACTTGCTTTTGTTTCTGGAAACATTTTCAGAATAGCTATTAAATATTTCTAGCTGCTAGTGCAAGCATACCTACCCTACAGTAGCAGCTACTGCAGGGTAGGTATGGGAAGCCTAAAATTATCTACCCCCAATATTTTCAACCCATAAAAATAAATAAAATCGTATTTTACCAGCCAATTTTTTTTTTTTGCGATCCCATTTATCAATTTTGCGATTCTTTCGGACCTGAAACTTCAATGAAAAAGCTATTCCCAAAATGGTAACATAAACTCACGGGCTGAATTACAAAATTGTTACACGAAAAAATCTGCCGTGGTGATATATGCCACGAAAAGGTCAAGAAGTTTTGGGGGCAGCTGTTTGTGACCTTTATCTTCTATACTACTTTAACCACTTTCTTATATATATTATCTTACTGGAATTTGATCAACTTGTATTAAAGCTTAACTCCACCATCTATTATATGTGATGCCCTTTAATATTATTGGCCATCTTAAAATCTGCTATTTTATTTCCGTGATATACCACTTCTTTTGATCATTATTCGAGAAAAGAATTTTTTGTTTGTTTGTATGGAGCTGTGACAGGTTCAGATTTATTAAAGTTCTCTGAATGAGTAGGGCAAAAGAGAAAATTACAACATTTGTTTTGAGGGTTTATGGGGGTTATTTGATGTTTTTGGCTTTTTGGTTTTTGACTTGTTTTTGTGTGATTTAAACTTTTTTTTTTTTTTGTTAAAATGTTAATGTGGTGTTATGCGAGGGAAGAGTCAGCGGAGTCAAGCTCGAGCTCTGAGCAGATGCGGGAGATTGATTTCCTAGCAGTGGCAAGAACCAAGGAAGGTAAAAAAGGAGCAGACTTAAAGTGGAGTGCCCAATGGTGGTCCCAGATAGCAAGGATGGTCAGTCCGAAAACCGAGGCGGCTGGAATACTGGGGTTCAGCGTGGGAGGGAAGAGAAAGGATGTGAATGCCGAGGAAAGTGCAGAAGGTGGTGGGACGGTGCCGAAAAATTCTAACCAAATGCCTAACCACACCGCAGATTTCAAAGGACAAGAAAGAAGAAAATGCTCTTGCGTCTCGATTGACATCTGGCAGATATTGCAGAGAGGTGAAGAAACAGTGAAGGGCATAATGTGGTGCAGAAGAGCTCGGCAAGATAGTTTGTTGTGTAAGCCGCGAAACCAAACATTACGGGCCCGGTGAGGAAGTGCGAAAGACCAGAAAGAGTGCAGTTGGCGAGAGCTAAGATGGGGGCTAAGTGGTTGAGCATTAGCATGATGATGAGAACAGGTCAGCCAGTAAGAGCGCGTGGACAAGCGTGACTAAGGTTTGCCGAGGACCAATTCGAGAAAAGAAAATTCACCTATGGTCTAATGCTGATCAATTATTACACCCAGTGTCGTAATATTCTAAATTCGGGTCATTTGTAAGAGATTATTCATAAGAACTCCACTCGCTGACAAAGACCGATTTCTTTCGGCGTCCATATATAAAAACACGCGCCCAAGTCTATTTTTCTTTTATTTCATGCTCTCTTGCAAACTTTCTGCTATTCCACGCATAACATCTATTCGCTTAATGTCTACTAAACCAGCTATTCTCAACTGGGCCTCGAAAGATGGCGAGTTCAAGAGACAGCAATCTGTATTCCGTAATCACATTGAGGCTGATAAGAACGCGACTTTTGCAGCTGAAAAGTAAATTCATTTACTTTGACTTCTTCTTTTTCTCTCTTACGTGGATTTCTCTTTGTTAACACGTATACACCTTTTTATCAGAGATCGTTATCACCTCTACGTGTCATGGGCTTGTCCTTGGGTAAGTTTTTTGCTAACTTGAAAAAAATAAAAAACAGATTATTTATGCATGTTATTATCGCCAGGCACACAGAACAGCAATAGTTCGCAAACTCAAAGGCCTTGAAGATATCATCAGCATTTCTGCAGTACATTACCTGTTAGGGGAGAAGGGGTGGTAAGTGGGACAAAAGTGTATTAAGAGTACAAAAGTAGTTAATGTATTTTTTTTTGCTTTTTGGAATTTTTAAAGGAAATTCGCAAGTGCTGAAGAGTGTCCAGGTGCTATTCCAGACACAGTCAACAATGCACAGTTTATTCGCGAGATTTACTTCAAGGCCAACCCAGACTATGAAGGTCGCTTCACCGTACCTGTTCTGTGGGACAAGAAACATAATACTATCGGTAGGTTGTTGTGGTTTGTGTATAAGGGCCAAAAGAACTTATTTGCGTGTGTGTTTGGTAGTCAACAATGAAAGTTCAGAGATTATCAGAATGTTCAATACTGCCTTTAATCACTTTTTGCCCGCTGAAAAGGCCAAGTTGAACTATTATCCTGAAGAACTCCAGAGTGATATTGATAGTACCAATGAATGGGTTTATGACACAGTTAACAACGGCGTGTATAAGTCCGGATTCGCTACTACCCAGACCGCATGTAAGTACATAAGTTACCTTGTCGTTATTTTATTTTTTCATCTCTCTTTAGTATCAAAAAAAAATGCTTACGACCTTGTTTTCTAGATGAGAACCATGTATTCCCTCTCTTCAAATCTCTTGATCGACTAGAGAAAATCTTGTCTGAGAATAAGTTTTTGGTAAAAAATACCTTTACCGAAGCAGACATTCGCCTGTGGACCACTATAATCAGGTAAGATAAGAGTTACAAAAGCAAGAAAACAACCAAGTACTATATAATATATCAAAGCTTAAATAAATATTTGACATTTTAGATTCGATCCTGTCTACCATGGGCACTTTAAGTGTAACATCAAATCTATTCAGCACGACTACCCGCACATTTTGGCGTGGGCCCGTCGCATCTATCAAATGGAAGGAGTCTCTGACACAGTGAACATGGTTCATATCAAACGTCATTACTACATGTCACACCTTCAGATTAATCCTACCGGGATAGTTCCAGTCGGAAATGGACCTGACCTTACAATAGTTCCCTCATAAAAGCAAATATATACGCATATGTATATACAAACACACAAAACCATTAAAAACTACAATGAAATAAAGCATTTTTTGATTTTTTTGACGGGTATTGATTTCATTTTTCGAATGGCTTGAGATTATATGTATGAAGTAAAATAAAAAAAAGTATGTATATTCTTAAACTTCCAACTGTCCTTCGAGCTCATCCATCTCTGCCTTGGAAGCCAAGTACTTCTCCTCAATATCATCACACTTCTTGTCCCAGATCTTAATCTCCTGCTCAAGCTTGACTGCCTTCTTGTCGAGTTGCTCAACACGCAAATCTGCCTCACGGTAGCTAAAGGAAGGAAGGAAGGAAGAAGAATAAAAAAGGGTTTGGTCAGTACCTTTTGAAAGAAGAAGATTCGTGACTAGTAGGAACTCCTGACAAGTCTTTGGGTTTGATTTCTTTTTATATCACTAATCTCTTTTAGCTTACTTTTTGGTGGTATCTTTGAGGTCATCTTCAGCCTTCTCGAGCTGTTCCTCAAGAACCTTGACACGGTTCTGCAACTCAGTCACTTGGTTATCCTTCTGCTCATGCTCTTCCTCGAGGAGCTTGACCTTTTCATCGAGATCATCTGCGCGCTTGGTGGCAGTATCGAGCTCAGCGTGAATGCTAGTAAGTTTCTATTTGAAATTTAACAGAAATACGTGGTGTTTTAGTTGTTATTTCCTTTGAATTTGCGGTAATCCCAGTACATAATGTATATGTAAAATATCGCCCATAGCTCAAATTTTACCTCTCTGAATTTGTCCATGATGTGATGTGATGTGATGTGATGAAGGAAAAAAGGCTGACGGTCAAAAGCACACCAGCTAGTTTTATAGCACAGGGCTGGACACGCATGCGGAGAGCGGAGTGGTCAGGGAATGTGACCATTTCCTATTTTAGTCATCCGCCACACCGTAGTTTTTTGAAAAGAAACATCCACATGGCAAGGTCCGGCTTTCAAGTCTGGCAAGTAAAAAAGAGGAGCCAAACACATTATATTTATCACCAAGGGAATCCTTAAAATCAATGACTGCGAAAAACCATTGTCCTTATTACAATTAGTATTCTCAAAACTGTCTATTCTTCTTTTAACGCGTTTCTTAGGCTGTCTCTTTTTTATTTGCTTTGCTTTGCTTTGCTTTGGTTGTTTCTCAGTTTGACTGTAAACAAGACAAGATCATGCCGAGTCAGTGTAACGGTTACCAATCTCAACTTGAGGCTGCCGAGACCTGTATCTACGCGTGTGTATGCCTTCTTACTATATAAACAAAGCATATAAAAATATATGCTATTTCTTTTTATTTTAGATAATAGGGGGAGTTCCGGGTATATTATTGTAGTAACCCCCTTTGTCTTGGCATCTAGACACTTCTTTATCAAATTTCAACAGGCTTAGCTGTAACTTGTCGAATATCTATTTATTCCAGATGATATGATTGGATAAGTTAAATAATAAAACCCCGCATGCAAGGTGTAAATAGTTGTGTGATGACGCAGACAAGAACACCAGTGGGCGCAGTCAATTCCATCCCAACAAGCTTCCCTTCTCAAAGTCAGGTGAGTAAAGGGTCAAAAACGTCACAAAGTCACGAGAAGCAAAGAGGTAGAAAAAGAAGTCGGAGGGTCTGAAGAACCGACACGCAAAAAAAGGGGTGGGGAAGCCATTGGCGATGCGCACGTACACGAGGATGCTAATGTTCAATGTGTCAGGCCGTCATTCTCTCTTTTTTTCTAGACCGAGAAATTAGTTTAATACTTTGTAACCTTGCATAAAGATATCATCATGGACCAAAAGACAGACCACGAACAAAACGTATGAGTACCTCTATTTGCTTATGACTTAGTGCTTTATATTAATTGGCAATTAATTGACTCTCATGTGATGTTCAGGTAGATAGAAAGGATAAAGCCAAGTCCAAGGTATCGCCTGATTACCCCGCGGCCGTCACTTCACACATTTGGTAAAACAGACTTGGTACCATTACGCTGAAAAGGAATTTGGTAACTGACAGACAGTTTGCAAATCAAATCCATTGCAATCCAGGCCAGGAATGACACCATCACAGTCAGCTTCACTCGAGGCACTGCATCAATCGATACAGAATGCTGGAATGAACCCACTTAGCGCGCTCACGGCAGTTGCTCAACAGCACCAGCAACATCAGCACCAAGAGCACTCATCTCAAGAGCAAGCATCCCATACTCAACAGTCGCCACAACCAAATTCTTCCCGAACAGATCGTGATGTCAATCAAGACGACTCAAAGCCACCAGTTGGCTCTGACGAGTGGCATCGGATTCGTCGTGAGAACCACAAGCAGGTCGAACGACGTCGTCGCGAAACTATCAATGACGGTATAAACGAGATTGCTCGAATTGTACCTGGCTGCGAGAAGAACAAAGGATCGATTCTTCAAAGGGCAGCAGCCTATATTCGTCAGCTTAAAGAGAATGAAGCATCTACTCTCGAAAAATGGACGCTTGAGAAGCTTCTCACAGACCAAGCTATTAACGAGCTAAATCGCCAGGTTGAGGTACTCAAAGTTGAGCTTGATAGAACTAGACAAGACCTTAGTCGTCAAAATGAAGTTCTCAAGGCCGAGCTTGAGCGGTCTCACCAAGAACAACAGTACATTAAACGTGAATATGAAGCACTTGAAGCCAACACAAACAAGCGACAAAAGAGCGACATTTTTGGACTTCCCAAGGATCGCAATGATTCTCCTCGTCTAGCACACGCACAAGTGGAAAAAAAGAGCCAGTAAATCAAGCAAGAATAAGAAGAATTCATTTCCATCGTTTTCTTCTTGTATTAGTACCTGGCATCTTTATCTTTCTCACTCACTCACTCACCCACTCACCCACTCGCATTAAAGCAAGAATCACGCCAAACCAAAGCCTTGTCACTTATTGTCTCTTTCTCTCTCTTTTCTTTTCTTTCTCTTTCAATTCCTTTTTTATTTTCTCATAACATATATATTAAACATCTTATTTACAAATGGCAGTTACATTGGCCGGGTTCGTTTATGGAAAGCTTGGGAGCTAGAAGAGTGCATGTCATCATCTACATCTCTAGAGGAACGCTTAGTAGAAAATGACTGGGTTCCATGGTGGCTAATATATAAATATATTAATAAGAAAAAGCTGGTGAACAAAATGATTTCAATTTTAACTATACTCGTACTTACGCTTGCATTGAAAATCCATCAAACATACTATCGTCCATAAACTTGGACTTTAGACGCAATTGTGTTAGCGTCAATTATATATTATTATTATTCTTATTATTTCGTTTTGTTTTTTGGATTACCTCTTTAATTCGTGTAATGTGTTCTGCCAAACGAGAAAGGTTGAAATGAGAAGCGATCTTAATCGCAGCATCAATTGATCGTGCTGAGCTAAGAGCAGACGAAAGATCCAGGACTCTGTCATGTTTCTCTGCCTTACATGCCAATTGAATTAATTGGAGCAATGTTTTATCCATCTCAAGATCCATCTTCTTGATAGCGTTTTCATCACCACCATCCAGTATGATTTCTTCTTTCTCATGAGTTGCGATTATCTTAGTACGCAAGAACCTAATGATTTGTGTTATTTTAATTGCTTACACATCAATAGTACTAACTTTTCTTCCAATCGGCCAGTCTCTGTATCCAGCTGAGTAGTTGGCATCATGAGTTCAGCACTATTGACCTGAGGACGAGGGAAATAAGGAAACATATTCTTGCCCTAAAGAAAACAAACCAATTTATATATATTAATTATACGATGTTGCAAACTAACATGTTTTTTGTTATTTTTGCTATGATATATTACCCTAAGTATCAAACACATCAACTCTTCTTTCAGCAATCCAATAGGCCAGTATCTTTCTGTTCGTTCACGCCTGACTGCAGTTGCAGGACCATCAAATACAGGCACCCAAAGAGCTTGACCCAAGCGTCTAGGTTGATGGAGTATAAACACGACACCAGCAGAGTCGCATACTGCTGGTTGCTACAACCACAAAAAGAAGAAGAAAAAAGCTACAATCAGTACTATGAAAACCCACGGATAATTTTATGATCTTACCAAGTTCTCAGAGAATCCGGCCCAAGTCAATTTCTTTTTTGAATTAAGAGGTAAAGAACCAACTTGAATTGTCTCAAAGGTATCAGTGTTCATAAGACGATATTCGATATGATGAATATCTAACAAAAAGAAACAAATTAGCCCAAAGCTCAGTCACGATCGACTTTTCAAGCTGTTCTTCTTATGCTTATCCTTTCTTTCACATACTGTTTGCGCTTTGGTTAGGTGAGTGCATTAACATTAGCATATCAGCAGAGGCTACTGAAGACACAACTTGCTTAAGGTGGAACAAATGAGTTTGAGTACCAGAAAGCGAAAAGATACGGACAAATCCAGCGGTAGTGGTTGCAATCACAGAGAAATCGTTGATTGCCACAGTCTCTATTTCTTCTCCATCCGGAAGAGGGACTGTCCACTCTAGTCTGTTGGCACCTTTATCTAAAGGTCTATAATGAACTGTCGAAGGTACCCTCTTCTCTTCATCATTATCCTCCTCATCATCATCGTCTTCTTTTTCATCTTTGCGGCTTTTGGAGCCAAAAGCAGCTCCCTTTCTACCCAAGGCTGCAATATGGTGATGGTCAAAGTCGCGGAAATGAAAGTTCTTGTGATCAGTCAAATCATGGAACTCTACATTTACAATCGAATATGCGCCATGGAAAATAGTATATATAACACCAAACATGTCGAACGCCAGATAGCGCCTATCGCCAACTTCTGGTACATTGTCCTTATTACCACTAGTTTTATGGAATGGTGTTTCTCCAGGATGTACGATTGGATGGGGCGTGAAATCAACACGAGGAGCTCTTGGAGCTTTACTTGATAATTAGTAAAGCCCTCTCTTTCTCTCTTTCACACACACACACACATATATATATATACCTTCGGGTCGTTTTCTTAATGGCTCTAGTTTCTTTTGAACCATTTCTTTTTCAGCATTATGTTCTGTGTATCCCGCTCCATCATCGTCTACCACAAAATCATCAGCAGTATCGAGCAGGTCCATCATATCGATATCGTCATTGTCATTATCGTCGTCGTCAGCAACATCATCGTCATTAAACAATTTTTCCAAGGCTTCTTCTATTCCGGTAGGATTCTCGGATACAAATAAACCGTTTTTCTTGGGAGGTCCACGTATGTTGGGGTTGACGGTACCAGCATTATCCACTGTCAAAACTTGGCCGTATTTATCTGCCTAGCCAAGGATAATAAATAAATAAAACATTATATAAATTAATACATATAATACACAAGAACTAAAGAGAAATCCCACCAAATTATTATCTTATATCCTTATTTACCAAACTCAATTCGTTTTTAGTAGGGCTCCATTCCAAACAGGACGGCTCCATTGATACCGTGTATTTTGTGATGACCTTTAGTGTGCTAACGTCCCAAATAATAATCTGACAATCGGCAGAGCTAGTGGCAATACAGTCCCCAACTTTGGACCATGTAAGGCATGTAACAGGCTATGATGGTGATAAATACAATTTCAGGAACCATATCATTTTTGAAACAAGAGTACTAAAGCTTTACCTCGACATGAGCACCTGATAAAACACCCTTTTGTTTCCAAGTAGTTCGCTCATAGATAATTACATCTATCCATTAAAAAATAGTTAGTTAGTCTTTCTTTCTTTCTGTCCATTTATACAAGTCATTTAACATAAACTCTTACCGCAGTCTTTTCCAGGAGCAGCAAAGTAAGAGCCATCCAGACTCCATGCAAGGATACCGTTCATAGTGTCATCTTCATGAGTTGGCTTCACAGCACCAGGATAATGCTTAATACATTTTGGTTCTGATGTTTCTGGACTTATATCCCAAACACGCAAATCACCTTCGCATCCTAGAGACAACTATCAAAGAAAACACATACACATACACACACACATACACACACACACACATATATATATATATATATATATCAGTACATATGCTTACACGTGCACAACATTATCTCGGCTTCTATGCATTATTATTTTCTGAATGGTTTACCAATAAAGTGCCTCTGGGATCAAATATTATACATTTAACACCTTTGGTATGACCACGAATATTAACAGTGCGGGAGATATCTGTCAAAAGAACCATCCGAATAGCATTTTCACTAGTTTTTTTTTTTTTTAAAAAAAATCAATGCCTCTTTGAGATTTTACATAATTCTTGTGTGTATTCGATAACACTAAGCTCTTACTCTGTTGCCACAGCCAGCTTAGTTCCACTGACATTAAAGGCAAGACATCTAACCGGTACGGTGCTACGGAAAAGTGGTTTCAGGATCTTATTGGTTTTCGCATCTCCCAAGATAACTTGACCCTTCTCTCCAGATGCAGCAAAATGGTCTTTCTATTATAATATATACATATATATTTACGGGTAAAGCTTAATATTTATTTCTCTATATTTCTCTTTGTCTATCTTGTGCATAATAGACATAGTTTTCTTTGTCATCTGTTTTTTTTTAAATATATATATATATATATATCTGTCTTACGTTGGCTACTACTGTCTCAAGGTTGCCTGAGATATAATTGATCTCAATTGGGTCACCATAACGTTCTTCTGGAGATGTCTTGAAGATACGAATTGTGCTGTCTGATCCAACCGAGACAAATTCGCTTTATTTTGTTTTATTTCGTATAATGAAAAGAATTGTTGATTATTTAATTGTCGCTTGTCATTGATGAGTTGTCATGAATTTATTTATTGAACTTTTTTTTTAAAGTGTTGGAAGCTCACCTTCCATCCGCTTTGTATGCAAGCGATGTATATCCAGGATCATGTGCATCCCGAGGAACAATGTCTAAATTACTCATTTGGATCAACTAATTTCTTTCTCTAAAAGTAACAGGATAGAATCTATATATACATATATATATATTTCTGCTTCTTTCAATTCCCTAGTATGGTCATAAAAAAATCGCGTTCTGGATATGTGACTTCTAAACCAAACATTTGGTACAATTTCACTTGTAACCTCATACAGGAACAAGAATACATATAAAATAAAATAAAATAAAATAAAAATAGACTGTAACATAGGATGACTGGAAAAACCAATTTACCTAGTTTCGTCAATTTGACAGCATTAGGTCCTACGTCAAGATATAAGTTACTGATTCGGATTAAATATAAATTTTCCTTTTTGATAAAAGCAAAATAAAACTTAATTTTGTAAAATGTATATAAAGCGTCTACGATTCGAACAAAATAAAGAAATGAATCAGAAGAACCCAAGAAACCATTCTTTTTAAAATTAACTGCTTGTCTCATGTTGGGGATGAAGTTGGTCCAATCGACCAAATCGCTGTTTGTTGGAAAAAAAGAACTTTGGAAGAAAATAATCAAATGCACTATAGCCTATGAAATTGGAACTATCCTGGTACTCATTCCACGAGTCAGCCCTCATTTAGGGGCCGTACCTTACCTATTACCTCTCGGTACTCTATTCTTCAACCCAAGTGGAACTACCGGTAATCAATGTATTGAAATGCTTCTCAACATCGGAATGATGATCATTCCTGCGATCTGGTCTGCCGTTCTGGTTTATCTTTGCACACTCTATAACAGAGCTCGCCTAAATGGCCACGAAGAACTATACAGCAATGGTGCAGGCGTGATAGCCGGTATAGGATTTGGTATCAGTATGATGGGTGTTGCATACTATCGTCTCAAGTATCCACGGCTATATATCCCGGCCTTTCAAGGATTTACCACCCCGATGTTTGCATTGACAAAAGGGATTTACGAAACCTCTTTTAATATAATGTCTATTGTCGGTATCTTTTATCCTATAATTATGGGAGGTGCCCTAGCTCTGCTTATCAACATTGTTCTCTGGCCTGCAACAGCATCAAAATCGTTTGAGTAAGTTGATAGATTTCTTTCTTTCTTTTGCGGCATATTTAATCATTAACGGCATTAAAACCTGTTATATTATTGTTACCAATTCACAGAACATCTCTTGAAGACGTCCTGTGTTCGATTAATCAGATTCTTGATTTTGTACACACTGATATGTTAAAGAATGACGACACAGGAATCATGGCAGGTGATCTAGAGCTGGCCAGAAAACTTTCGACAATGAGTAGCAAACTTCAAGCAGAGATGACAAAAATGAATAAAGCCTGGTCCGAAGCAAAGTACGAGGTAGTCGTATCTCACTTCTACCCTCGATGGTATAAAGAGACAGTTCATTCCGTCGAAGCCCTTTGTCAAAACATGCTAGGTTTCTCATTAGCAATCGAAAAAGAAGCCCGGATTATGTTGGATATCAAGATTTCCCGTCAACTGGAAGAGTCCTACAGAGGTATAGACGACGAGAAAATAGCTGAATATAATACTCTACGCCAACGTCAGCCTGGAGTCAATAATTTGAATGCTTACTCTACTCATATGACGAACTCATTATCTGCATCCCACCCGATCAAGTACCTTCATATCATACATCTTCAAAATCTAATCCAGCCAGAACTCAAGCAATTTCTTCGGGCGTGCAAAAATATTATGGAAGACATCAGAGTTAAGATGGCAGAGCGCAAGGCTATACCAGGATATCGTACACAATCAAAGAACTCTCTATCTGCACGCACTTCGCCAGAATTCCTTCAAGGGACCGAAAGCGTTTGTAGTCTTGACAAAGCCTTGGGAGATATCAAGGCAACTTATATATTGTTACATCGCGAGTTCAAAGATCGCAGTATGACACCAATGGAAGAACATTACTTGGTATACACCATTGTATTTACTTTAATAGAATTTGGTAAAGAAATGAAAAATTTGGAAGTTTTTGTGGATGAACTACTGGGACACAGAAAACCGGGAAGCTGGTCTCGTTTATTTTTTCCGAGAGTTCCACTAAAAAAATGGCTTTCCAGGGGAGGCAATGACAACAAGGGTGAGCATGATCCAAGCGAACAGACTTTATTCAGCAAAGAGCTCGAGCGTGTAGAGACAAGGCCAGGGTTACGGTCAGAGGCCTCTAGTACTTCAGAACTTAGAGATACTTTAGATCTTACCAATCGAAGAGAATCGAACTCATCACTAGAGAGCAACTATGGAGATTTCGCAGATGAAGAATACCCACTTCAGAATGCACCTGGAAAGCATGTGTGGAATCAATGGTTGCGCTCGCTTTTTGATTTCTTTGAATCTGGACCTACACGCTACGCCATAAAATATGGCCTGGTCACTGAAATACTGGCTTTAATGGCATGGTTGCCAATACCAGGTGTTAACCAGCTTTATAATGTAGGCTACAGTTATTTTCTTACCAGTTAACATTAAACTGACATGACATATAAAAGGAAAACCACGGTCAATGGGCACTTTTATCGGCCATGGTAGTATTCAATTATACAGTAGGGTCAACAATGCAGCAGTGCTTTTATAGAATTATTGCCACTATTCTTGGGGCAGTCTGTGGATATATTGCTCTGTTGGCCGGAAATCGCAATGAGAACCCGTATGTTATTGCTGTCCTCGTGCTCGTCTTCCAAATTCCGCTTTGGTACTTCTTACTTGGATCAGCCTATCCGCGCATTGGTTTCATATCATTACTCACATTGAGCGTCATTGTGTCCACAGGGTATTCCAACAATACAAACGAGTCACTATTTGATCCGGTGTGGAAGAGAACTGTTACTTCTATTATTGCCGTTTTGGTTGTCATGATCGTTGATAATTTGTTCTGGCCTGTTTGGGCACGTGAAGTTATGCGCAAACAACTGGCTGCCCTCCTTAACGAGACGGGAATTCAGTACTCCAAAGTAGCTTCACTTGTGTGCCAAGAAAATACGTCTTCTTATCGCTACCAATCAACCCTGGCCGACACCACTACACAAAGCAAACGTCTTTGGGCACAACTTCAATCAGCGCGAGCAATGCTTCAGTTGTCTTGTACGGAGCCCCGAGTAAGCAAGGCTCCGTTCCCGATAGAATCTTATCAAAAGATTATCGAACATGAACAGAAGATACTCTACTGGATCAACCATATGATGAGAGCTCAAGTAAGTTGATTTTAGAAATGTGTTCTTGATCCAACAAAATAATCTCATTTTTTTTTCACACAGAAACTCATTAGACCTGAAGTACGAAAAGGGATAATGAATCCTATGAATCCTCATCGCAAGATAATGGCATCTATAGTCCATTTATATTTATTCACTCTTTCTGGATCTTTGGGTACAAAGTCAGCTTTGCCAGCTTCGCTTCCATCTGCAGAAGAAGCAAGACGGAAGTTACAACAGCGTCAGGCGGAACTGTGGAAGGAGCAGTATGATACACTTTATTCTATGGATACTCCAAAATCACATACTGAGTGTGATATGATGGTCTATTGGCATACATATGCAGCTGGATCTGTAGAAGTTGTAATGGAACAAGAAGCTATCGGTTCTGTGGTAGCGAAGCTGATGGGTCAGCACATATTCAGGGCAGCTACCAAGGATTGGATAGAAACATAATACTATAATAGTTAAGAAAAAAGAATAGATAAACTAATTGAGTATCTAAAAGACTATCTAATCAAACACTATACCATATACCTTTTACCCTTCATATTTAATTACCTTATCATATATAAACCCATTGTTTTTTCATATATAATTATTTTTTTAAAAAAAAGGTTGTGAGATTTGTATCACTTGAGGTACATCAAGCAATAATTACATAATTTGTGAACATGTTAAGCACACATTGTTTACTATCCATGGAAAGTAAATGGATTAGAGTGCGGGTGCTACGTGATACAGCTCGGTTACTCTAACCAACTTGGTTATTTTGACTATGTGATCATATACTATTCTGCTAAATTAATTGTATCAATGCTAAACATCCGTCTATGCAGTATATAATCTAGTTTTCAATTCATTGTAAAATAGATGACTACACATATTATAAAGCAAATGCCTTATAGACTCTTTAAAGCATCATTGTTTTCATATAGTTGGTCTGAACCCTGCCTTCGTTGGATTCCTTTGGTACACTAACCTAAACAAAATAAAGTTCGTTTACAGGAAGAGCTTCCGCGATATTGGAGTATATTTCGGTTGGGATTGTTACATCCAGTCATTAATGCGAATATGTTTACCCGTTTAAATGTAAACGGCTTATTATATTTATTATTATCTCTATCTTGTAGTTCGAATACTCCACTGGGTGTTCATCTCACCGTGTTCAAGACGATAGCAAGAATCAATTATACCCATTATATATGCATATATATTTATACAGCGAACGAAAAGTAATCTAATATTTTAAATACGAGAGGGAAGAGAAACCAAAAGGAAATGTCATTAAATATTGTTTATAAAGTGTGTACCCAACTTTAGCTCAGGAGTAAAATAAAAATATAATAGAATGCGAAGATTATGCCATGTACCTTAACATTTAAGAAGTCCAAATATTTACTCAGTACGGAATATGTCTATATTTGATTTCTTATGGACAGTTATTAGAGTGTTGTGTATCGTCAGACTACACCACACTTCATGTACATATTAATAATTACTGCTTTTTATTCTTGTCTCCATAAGAAGAAATTGGAAAGAGCCATATACACATACCAAAGTAATTCTTCTGATAGCTTCCTCTACGTATCTTAAAACTTTACATAATATTTTGAAACTATTGACTTTAATATATATATATATTTGTAAACGATATCTGCCTCTGAGAGTAAGAAGCTTTGTTGTATATTTTGTATGTGCTGTATAAAATTTGCAAAGGATTTTAATAATAAGAACCAATGTTATATCTATATAAGCAAAAGTCTATTGTATTTTTCAATTTTTTTATATTTTAAATACCCTTTTATCTACAAAAAATGTCTTGTCCTTAAAAAATGAGTCTCGTAGTAAGCCAATTTTTTGGTCAATTATTGTTTATTGATATTTATGAAAAAGAAAGATACAAATATGTATTGCTGTAATTTGTGAAGCTCCAATTCTATTGAATCCGAATATCACACGTCACTCATTGAAGAGGATGTATTTAATGCCAAAGAAGAAGAGATATTGATTTGTAGACAATCCTGCCAGTATTGGATGATTTACGATTTAACAAAAAAATATTAAAAATAATGTTTGAGATTTTCAGTTCTTGAAAAAACCAAAAACGGCCAAAACGGCCGTGCGTACCTCTTGTAGTGTAACTCCTTTAAATGGATTTTAAATAGGAGCCGTTTAAAAAAGCATAAATACTTGGATTTATATTCTCTTTTTAAAAAAATAATCGTTTAAAGAAGTTCGTTTTACTTTGGGCAGCAAACGGCCGTGTACGCTTTAGATACTATGCAATCACCAAATTACTCACACACTGAATATTTTCTTTCTCATAGAACCTTATAGAACAATAGACGTCACCTAAAAATAATAAGTCACGTATCCAATATCCTTCCTAACACTATGAGCCATTTTTGCGGTGACTTTTCTTTTTAGCCGCCTCGGTTTTCTCTCTCTGATGTGACTTTTTTATTTTACCCCCAAGGACTCTTTTTTTCATATGGCGTCACAATTTTAAAAGCCAATCAAAATGATTTAAAAGTCATTGACTCATTTTTCAAACACCAATCATTTTAATTTTCACGTTCCGTGACTTTCTTTCAATTGCAAAAGGTCGTACAAGAATTGAACCATTTTGTCTATAAAAAGGGGCCAAAAGTTTGCAAATTTTTCAGATCTTTATTGTGGCGGTTATCTACGTAGTCTGCTCATAGATGTGGCCTTAGTAAACCGGTCGAAAGACTTTCACAGTTGAAGACCTATAAACCAAACTATATAAACCACGCGATGTCTATGCAGGTGTAGAATGCTGATAACCTATCTGTTGCCCACTGCGAGTTTTTTGAAAATTTTCTCGTCCAACAGGGAGATCCCACATTCATCATTGGCTGGCCACCAATGGTAAATAAATTCAATAAAATAAATGAAAATGAACCAATCAAAATCTATATAAATTGATTTTCTCAAATCATTTTATATAGATTTTGATTTTTTTTTTGTTTTTTCAATTTTTGTTTTGTGTTTTTTTTTGTGTTTTTTCAATTTTTTTTTATAAATTAAAAATAAAAAATTAAAATTAAAATTAAAAAATAAATCAAATAAAAAGAAATTAAAATAAAATACACACACGCTGAAAAAAATATCAACCTGCACCCAAAATCAACCAAAAGAAATTAATAAAATAAAAAATAAAAACGCTTTTTTTTTAACTCTTTTATTCGAATACAACATGCAGGATCAAATCTCATCAACTATTGCTTGCATTTAAAATGAGAAAGACAATCCTTGTAAATACGGATGTGTCATGTGTATGCATTTGTGTAAATTAAGGCGCAAACATTTACGCCACTGTTGACACGAGTCTGCCGATAGTCAAATTCAGCATTAAGAGAGTCAAAGAAACAGAGTCAGCCTGAGCCAAGTAAAATAATCCGGAAGAATATACACATTGAAGATAGGATTGGAAGCCATAGTAGTTCGACGCCTTACGCATTTAAGCTTTGTTTCATATATCGCAGCACATAAGCCAAGCCTTGGCAGAAAACCGCAAGAAGAAAAAGACGACCAGAATGGGTTCATGCTCATGTTAATTTGTCAAATGACCAATGGAAAGGTGTTGCATGGTCCAATGAATCAAGACTTACAGCCAAAGGAGGTCATACAAAATATTAATCTTTTTATATATATATCAACAATAAACATGTATATTATCTTTTATTTGAAGCTTGAAGGCTTTAACTATTAACACTGATGAGCAGTTGCATATTGAATATATGCCATGATTTTTCATGAATTTTTGTGCTTAGAGGCTGAAACATTTTCTTTCCAGTCAATGCACTATAACTTTTGTGTCATGATTTATGAACGAAAGTCATCTTTTTCTTTATTTATTTTAAATATAAGACCCTGTCAAGAAGGGTAATATTAAGAGCAACTCCAGCAGTATCTTTAAATGTAAAGATATTGATCCTAACTTTATAGAGTCTTAGATTCTTTTAAAGGTACTACTAAAGACTATCTTTTGGGAGAAAATAAACTTTCAGCTTTTATCTAAATTTAGAGATAAACTAATTGTTAAAGATAGTGTGCAAGTTGCTTTCGGCTACCTTAATCCCTTCCGGGAATATGATTACCCCCAGAAAAAAAACCCTGCACTGGTAAAAGAATCCTGGTATGAGTACACCAAGACAATGATACTGAACCTAAAAAGTGGCTTGCTTACTTATACTTTAGACGACAAATGAGCACTAAAAATATCTAGATTGAAAATAGCCCAGGAAAAAAGGAATAGATCAAAATGTGAAGGAATGTCAGAACTAAGTAAAGTCTCCATATGCACAATTACCTTAAATCAACTACTTCAATACCATAATACCTATGTGTTTTGGTGGCTCTCCAAAAGCAGAGAAAGCTCTTTCATTTCAAACAATTTCTTCTATATGCCTAAACTATTTAGCCAAGATCACCTTTTCATTAATATAGCAAATAATAATATAATTATTTCTTTAACATAGCTACATCATAACTCTTTGCTTTAGATGGAATATTCTCCTAAGACTACTTTATTTATTTTTAAAAGGAAGCAAACATTATATTCTACATCAAAGCCAAGCATTTACCAGATGTACCATGGCGCTACAGAGCCTACTAATATGAGCTTTGCTTTAGCTTAAAGCCCAAACTTTCCAAAAGACTACCGTGTAGAGATACTTTACAAAATAAGGTTTGTAGACAGATACTTATCCAACTGACGTATGCGAGCAATTATTTAGTAGACAAGCTCAATATGGGCTGTTGATTAATCATTTAATATATCATTTTAAAATAGCATTTTTCCGGGAAGCTTATTAAGCATCAAGTAGCTTTGTCATATATATAAGCCCTAGAAAAAACAAAATATCTTCCTTTTATACTATCAAAACACTTGTCTTGCAATGTCTTTAAACACTCAAGTTATTTACACAAAACCTCCCACAGGATTCCCAGTGGTTGGAGAAACTGTCAAGACATCGAAATCCACCATTGACCTTGATGCTCCTCTCCAGAAAGGCGACATCCTCTTGAAAAATCTTGTGCTTTCTATTGACCCTTATATCCGTGGGTGTATGCGTGACCCTGCAATTGCGTCTTATGCTCCAGCTTTTGAGTATAACAGTGTCCTGGCAGGCGATACTGTGGCTGTGGTACTTAAATCTGACAACCCAAAATTCAACCAAGGCGACCTGGTTTGCGGCAGAACAGGCCTCGGATATTTTGAAGAATACTCGCACGTCAAAGGAACCTATGCAGATAGCAACTATGTGGTGCGCAATGACTCCAAAACCAATGGTCTTCCATTGTCTTACTATGTGGGTATTTTGGGTATGCCTGGCCTCACCGCATACGTTGGGTAAGCCTATAATGATCTATTATAAAAAAAAACACACACCTTTATTAACCTGTTTATCATTCACATATCCAGCCTTAATAAATACGGCAGACCACAAAAAGGTGAGACTCTCTTTGTATCGGCAGCCTCAGGTGCAGTCGGTCAAATCGTTGGTCAGATTGGCAAGACACTTGGACTCTATGTGGTTGGATCAGCCGGCTCCGATGACAAGGTCGAATACCTCAAAGAGCTCGGATTTGATGGTGCTTTCAATTACAAGACTGAGAACATTGATTCAAAGTTAACAGAGCTTTGTCCCAATGGTATTGATATCTACTTTGATAATGTGGGAGGTACTATGCTTGAGCATGCTCTTGATCATGCCAACAACTTTGGGCGTATCATTGGATGTGGCATGATATCTCAGTACAATACCCAGGGCCAATATGGAATACGCAATCTTATCTATGTTGTGTCAAAGCGCTTGTCATTTGATGGGTTCGTTGTTCTGGACAAGGAGAACATGGCATACGAAGAAGAATTCATAAAAACATGCACACAGTGGGTTCTGGAGGGCAAAGTTAAGTATAGAGAGACAATTGTTGACGGGATCGAAAACACTCCTCAGGCAATACTGGATGTTTTCAAAGGTAGAAACTTTGGAAAGCAAATAGTCAATGTCGCAAATTTGTAAGCAGTTGAGTAGCTGGAAGTATTGAGAATAAATAAAAATTGCTTTTTTACACTTATTTCTCGTATAGACTCCCATAGCTCTATTTCTTAGCTCTTTTTGATTACAAAAGTATTCGATTTTTATTTATTTTATGCTGCCAATATGTTCTGGAGTTACATTGAACCTTTGATTCGATTAAATATGTGAGCTAGACAGGGTTTTCAGAAAAAGAAAGCTCTAAGGAATTATTCTAATATACATAAAGAACTTTACTTTCTGTTTTAGTTTGTTCGGTCACCTACTATGCTTGACTACATAGACGATGACTTGGAAAAGGTCTAGAGCAAGTTTACTAAAGAATATACCACCTATAAAAACCTTGGAGTTTTTCATTATAAACGGTTGCTATAGCTGGATAATATGCAGAGAAAGTGTGTATCCTGGTGGTATTCAAATTTGAGCATTAAAAATTGAATACAAGAGGAGCATAAAGGGTACAAAGTCAAGATTGTGTTATACGACATTTATTTGCACCATGGTGTAAATAAGGAGCCAGTCTTTATTCAAAAGCTAAAAATTCAGAAAAATATACTACCAATAACAAGAGTAAATATGCCGTATATCAAGACTAGCTCTTTCAAATAGAGTCTTATTGTAGAGATGATACTCAGTAAAACGCTTGACCAGTTATATATATGTATATATATTATCAAAATTAACTTTTTTTTTAATTACCCTTTATTTCCACCATATGTCTTTGTTATTTCTTCAAATGTTTGGTGGCAATTTTTTGACAATCTTCTATAAATGGTGCTTGTTTCTGATGAAAGAAAATGCGAAAAAGCCTTTGGCCTTTCTTGAGCGAATTATATTTTTGATACACATGTGTTTTGGTGTCATTTGATGTTAATGATGGGAATTCCATAGTCTTGTACATTCCAACCGTCCTTGATATTTTCATTAGACAAAAATTTCTTGTATATAAATATTTTGACAGTCAAATGTATTTTACTCTATAATTAGCAGGTTCTTTTTTGCTGCTGAATCTGTTGTTGGAATCTTGTCCTGGAATAACCAAAACTTTAATACAGTCAATGGATCGAGAAGTACGCCACTTTCAAGATCTTGTACTGTCTACCTGATACATGAATTAATTAGCCAATTTTTTTTTTCTTTTAGAAAATTATGTACCAATATATTATATATACTTTTTAAAAGGTGCATATATGTATGCATGTATGCGTTTATGTGGATTTCTTATTTGTAATCATACATTCACGTCAATTGTCAAAGCAAAAATAATAATTATAATAATAATAATTCAAATCTGGACAGAAATTAAGAACAGACACATACACACATGTTTGTATAAAATAATAATAATAAATAACCCAAAAAGAAATAAGCCTAAACGTAAATAATAATAGAATACTTTTGAGCCAAAGCCAAAAAGTCAAAAAAAAAAACAGAAACAAAAAAGAGGGGTAGTTAATTGTGAAGAGAAAAAGGAGAAGGGTTTTAGTTGGCCAGTAAGAGTATTTGTCCTCTTTAGCTTTCTTTCCTTCTTTCCTTCCTTCCTTTCACTTGATTCTTGTTTTCTTATTCCTTTTGGTCTACAAGAATATATCGTTTGTATATATATTGTATAAATATACATAAACATCATTCAATATAACAATCTCCAAAGTCATTCCTCACAATGTGCGACTTGTCTGATCCCAACATCGCCATTGCTTATGAAGCTGTCACTGAAGGACACCCGACCAACTGGTAACCCTCCAAAAAAAAACAGACTATTATTAAAATTAAGCAAAATAAAGAAATAATTATATCAAAACTATTATTTATTTATTTATTTATTTATTTTTTAAAAAAAAGGTTTTTGTTAGGATATAACGATACTCGAGACGTTCTTTCAGTTGTAGCAAATGGTACCAAAGGTCTAGAGTACGTCTTATGATATGTGTGTATGTACACAAATGTACATTTAGCAATATCAACTTTATATATATATATATATATATATATATAGAAAAAGGGGTAGTCAAACTGAAGGGGAAAAGAAGAAGAAGAAGAAGAAAAAGAGGAATTCTAAGCATTGACCAGTGTGTATGATTTGTGTGCCTATTTGTACATAATCCATTGTAATCAATAGAGAGTTACGGAATCAATTGAGAAACGAGATATTCTATGGATTTCTCCGGGTTGAGAACAAGTGTATATTGATCACTTGGATTTCAGATCAAGTCAGGTAAGTCAAGACTGAATTCCAAAGTAACATACTGGTTAAATTAAACTCTTTCTTCTATATCCCCTTTAGTGGTGTCCGTCGAGGTAATATATATATATAAATATATATTTAAAATATCTACATACACATCTATACACACTCACATACATAATTACACAAACGCGCACCCCTTTTCAACCCCCCCCCCCCCCCCCCCTTCCCTTTACCAACTCTCTCTCTCTCTCTCTCTCTTGTTTTTTCTATATATCTCTATCGTTCTCCTTCCTATGCGTATTACTGACATGCCTTGAAACTTCAATACATATACCTCTTTTATGTTTATTTGCTCTTACATGTACATGAAATTCATCTAGCTCGTGCTTTGGTTCATGGCCGATCTGTGGCTGCGTATCTATCATTGTACCAGGCCCAAATGACTGTCTCTTCTCTATCTGAACTGACCGAAGCTAATATTCGAACTCGACTCAAGCTAGACCAAGACTCCTCTCCATCTGCACGTCGTGCTCCCCCTTCTGTGCGCAAAAGACCTTCAGTTTCCCCTAATATTAGCAGGTCCCTAAATGGACTAGAAGATTCTGCTTCTGCTTCTGCTTCTGCTTCTACTTCTGCATCCATATCTGCGTTTGCGTCTGCTTCTGCGTCTGCGTCTTCTTCTGCTTCATTGTCTTCTGCTTCTTCTTCTGCCTATCCTGCTCCTGCTGTTGTTATTTCTGCATCACCATCACCATCATTGTCACCACCACCACAACATCAACAACAACCAGTTACCCCTGTACATGTATACAAAGTACCTGAAGACAATGATGATATATTTGTCGATGCCCGAGAAACATTTGCTGCCAAAGAAAAAGAAGCTGCCCGTCTTGAAAGCGAGCGTAGAAGACTACTGGAGATCGAAGAAAAAAAGCGTCTCGAGGAACTGGCTCTGGAACGTGAACGGGAAAATGAACGCAAGAGGCGCATTGCTGAGGTTGAACAGCGCCGTCTGGCCGAAAAATTAGAGCGTGAGCGCCACCTTGCGCAACAAGCTGAAGAGGCCCGGCAGCGTGCGGCAGAAGAAGCCCGGCAGCGTGCAATCGAAGAGGCCAAGGTGCGGGCCGCAAAAGAGGAAGCCAAGAGACGTGCAGAAGAGGAGGCCCGAGTCCGTGCTTTGGAAGAAGAAAACAGACTAAAAGAGCAACGAGAACAAGCAGCTCTTCAAGCCAGGTTGAGAGAAGCCGAACGCAATGAAGGTGTAAGTAAGACAAGGTTTTGAATACAAACAAAAAAAGAAAAAATAAAGAATAAGAAATTCATAACCTTTTATTTTATTTTATTGAATAAAGGTTATCTTGGTTGGATTTGCTTCATTCCAACCACACACAAGTCCAGTAAGTAGCTTGTATAAATTGAATCTTGTGGGCCTCTAAATGATCCCTTTTTTTTTCTTGACAGTTCTGGAGACGTCGATTCTTTGTAGTTCGCAATCAGGCTTTGTTGCTGTATCGTGATGAGTTGGTAATACTAAACTTAACTTGTTGATATGGCGCACAAATATACAAGAAACAGATATCTAAAAAAAATCTTATAGGCTGTCACCCCATCCGTAATTGTGGATCTGAAGGGAGCCTCTCAATTGCGCACACTCGAGAAAGAAGAAGACATCTGTTTACCAAACACCTTTGCGATCAATGCACGTCAAGGTGTATACCACATTCTGGGTGACACTGGCAAAGAGGCATACACTATCATGTCAGCTCTATCAACAGCCGTTGGTGGTCATGCCTAGTCATTTATCATTATATCTTTCTCTCTCTCTCTCTCTAATATATATATATATATATATTCTTTTCACTTTTCTTCTTCTTCTTCTTCTTCTTCTTCTTCTTCTTCTTTACTTTCACTCTATATATATATTATATGTGCAGGCGTAAGTTTGTTTTTTTTTATAAACAAAAAAAAAAAACTCTTTCTATATCTCAAATATAATACCAAAAAACACACTCACACATACAAGCCCACAGAAAGGCACACACACACACACATACGCAGAAATAATCTTGCTTTTTCTTTTAAGAAAAAAAAACCTATTGAATTGAGCTTTTTTTTTTTGGTTTTTGGGTTTTTTTTTTGTGCTTTTTGGTTTTTTTGTTTGGTTTGGTTTAACTTGGTTCGGTTACTGGCGTGCGTTATCATAAGGATCATCATGATCAATCAAGCCTTTCCATTCGTCTGAATCTCGTTTCTTAAGACCTAGCCTATGGGTCGTAAAAGGATCCATGTGTTCCTGTGCTCGGTGAGACTTTGAAGGTGAGTCGGTGACAGACTTGTTGGTAAATGCAGACATTGGAGGTGCAATTGTTGGAAGAGTAGGAGTGTAGTCCATAGGAGACGATACAATGGTACTTTGTTGATGAGAATGCAACCCATTGTCAGTTTCCTTGCCTAAATCATAAATAACAAGAAAAGTTAAGATGTATTTACATAATAATAATAATAATAATAATAATAATAATAATAATAATAAAATAATAAAGGGAAACTTACTGATTGGATCCATTTCAAGAACAAGGGTTTTTTGATCAAATGCATTGTCATTATCGGTTTGTTTCCATCTGTTTTCTCTACCATAGCCATCTTCTCCGGAAACGGTGTTTCCAATTCCGATTGTATTTGAATGTGATTGTCTGGTGGTTGGTGATGTTGGTGATGTTGGTGATTCTAGATTATCATTTGTGGTTGTTTTACGATAGTGGGCAATAGTATGACTGCGTCTGGTAGTACTGGCATAGCGGTGGATTCCTGCAAACGGTGCGGGTATAATATCTGCGGGTCCTGGGCCGTTGGTGCCAACCCGATCGCCAGACATGCCTTCCTGAAGAGGCTGTTCTTTGGCCGTAAAGATGTCCATCATTGTTCCGGTGTCGTCGTCGTCAGGCTGGCTCTTTGAGTTGTGAAGAAGGGCGACACCCGAGCAGATGATCACAAAGCCAAGGACGCAGGTTCCAATGTCCGTACCAGACGCATGGAATCCCTGGTGCAACACACTTGAGCTGACGATAGTGAGAGTAGTGAAGATGACATAGTATGTAGGTGTTACAAGAGCAGTATTGAAAAGATTCAGTGCCTTGTTGAGATAGACGATTTCGACAATGAGGGTGATGATAAATACGATCAGGACAATGTAAATAAACCAATTTGTGAACTGGTTGCTGATGCTAATCGAGTGAACTACGGCCGCACCGAAGCCTTGAGTGAAAACGACAGAAAGAGATCCGATAAGAGAGCATATGGTGATGTAGACAAGCATATTCTTTTTTCCCCATCGAGGTCCACAGTAAAATACCAATATAAGTGATATAAGAACAGCTATACCAACATACACCAAGAAGCCTTTTTTTGTATGGTATGTATGTGTTTTATAAGAATAATTAATGATAATAGTAATAAAGATGAGTATATCTTTTTTTGTTGCTGTTGGTCGGCATACAAAGGATCCTTAAATAATGTACTAACCGACAGATAATACGAGACCCTTAAAAGTAGCAATAGAAGAGTCACTGGAATCTTCTACTGGTGCATGTAATACAATGACAACAGCACCCACAAGGCACTGTAGACATCCAATCTTGCCTTGAAAGGTCAGTCGTTCTTTGAGAAAGATCGAAGACAACACGGCACTGTGGACAATGTGCATATTAATACAGATTGTTTATCATTTTATCTTCTAATGTACCTAATTACAACGCTCAGGGCACCCAGCGGTGTTACCAAGATTGCTTGAGTAAATGCATAGGCAACAAAATTGCATAGCTCACCGACAATCACTAGAGGTAATAATATTGTAGTTATTGTAATTGTATTAGTTGGTTAAGCTAATCATTATAATTCGTAAAATAGACTATGGTTTTTCTAAAGTTAAATTAGAGGCTTAAAAAAAAGAAGAGTGAAAAAAAAGCCTTGTCTTACTCAAGATCATCCCAGCCCACCACATAAATGATTTTAGATATCCATAGCCTTCACCAGCCACACCACCTTGTAGAGTGTAGGGAAATAATAAGACTGCGTGTATTAATATCAAATGTATATGCAGATATAATTTTTATATACACATTACCAGCCTTTTCTACGGATTGCAAGAGTCCTTTCTTTTTGAATACAAAACTACTTCCAATAAATATGCCTGTGTTGTATAATATAATAAAGTTACTTTTATATATATATATATATTTGGAAAAGTAAAAGAAATAAAAAAAAAGGGACCTCATTACTGCTCATTAACAAAGAAGCAGTCATTTCGGTTTAGACAATTTACCACTTGCTACAGCTAATGAGACACCAATTGCTTTATACAGTGATCCCTGAGCATCTCCTGATCCAATAAGAGAATTCACTGTTTCGTTTGAACTCATTATTTAAAGCAGAAAGGTGTCAGAGTAATAAGATATGTATATAAATAAAATAAAATAAGAAAAGAGAAGAGAAGAGAAGGAAAGAAGAGTAGTCTACAAGTGGAAGAGAGAAAGAGAATATAAAATTATATATACAAGCTAATTTGACTTGAAATATATATATACATATTATATATATATGTATTATAGAAAGAAAGAGAGAGAGAGAGAGAGAGAGATAGGCAGACGCGCGCACGCACATTCACTCACTGACTCAATCAATCAATCAATCAATCACTCCTTTATACTAATATAGACACATTCACACATTAACTATGTGCATGAACGCTTTATATGTACATTACTTTATTTAAAAAGTATATATATTATATATATGAAAATGAAAGCCTCCCCTTATTTTTTATTTTTTATTTTATTTTTTGACCTGTTCGCCACCCAAAGGACCTTCCCAATCGCAAGTAACCAAAAAAGGAAATATTTATTTATAGTTTCTTAAAACATATTAAAGATTCGCTTGGTTTTTTCCCTGGGAACCAGTCAAAATCCGATGATATGTCTAGATCAAGAAAGACCAATAAATCAACCAGCAAACATACATACATAAAATAACAATAGACCTATTTGTTCACAATATATTTGACAATTATTTATAAAGAGTGAATATATATATATATATATATGTAAAAATAAGAACGATTCTAATAATGAAAGAAACAAGCCACACACACACACATATATATGTATGTATGTATGTATGTATGTATGTATGTATGTTAATTGATAATCTAAGGACAGCACAACATGGCAATAAGAGCACCACCTATACTTCCACCATCTCTAGCAACCTCGAGTCTGATCCGGTCAGAGATCTCGACGCCAAACCACTCACGGAGTGTCCGGTGAATACGCTCCTCCATAAATGGATAGAATTCATATGTGGATCCATTGACTCCTACAATGATGTCTTGGTCACCTTTGATGAGATTCTGTTGTTGGATCATTGAAGCAATAGCAACCGAAGCAAGTGATGCACTACGGGTAGACACTGTTCGGCAGATGCGGGTCAGGATGGCGATATCTTGAAGTGTGGGAGTGTTTACAAAATGATAGCCACTCAGGGTCTCTAGACTCTTTTCATGACCTACAGTAGAATCTCTAATCCAACAAAGAAAAAAAGAAAGAAAGGGTATCAATACACAAGCAATAGTATTAATAAAAAGATGTTTACCTTTCAAGGGTACTCATGTACATTGTGGGGAATGACCATGGTTCTTCAAGACCCTCTGGAACAACACCTTCAAATAAAGATCCCTCTTTGATGAAATCAAGCGCAACCAGCCGAGTCAATTCTCCAAGATAAGCCCCAGACATCATCTTCTCATATAGTTGAAATCGTGGCTGATTGTGGCTGTTGTCCAGTACAAGGTCGTACTTATTCAAGGGTAGATAGGAATCGTTTCCAAAGATATCGATTTCGGTATTAATGAGCATTTCAGTCCCGGGCTTATAGGCATCTCTGATACTGGCACTCAGTTTTTGGATCGCAGACACCTTTTCAGGGTACGCACCATTTATACCTGTAGCATAGATCAATCCTATGCGAGTACGAGGGTTCGAATAGGCATGGGCAACCAGAGTACCTACAGTATCATTCAGAATGGCACTCACTCTAATGTTGAGACCCTAGATAATTTTATAAAATCATTAATACACTTATTATTACTATTATCCTACTAATAGTACCCTATTCTTTCTTTCTTTCTTTAATGAAAGCACTCTTTTCTTTATTTTATATATATTACCTTGCGTTCAAATGCTTTGTGGAACATGTCACCAAGATCATTTCCTTCTGTGTTTTCAAGTGTGAATCCTTTGCCCATTCTCAATATAGTGCCACGATCTACTGCTGTCTGACTATGTAAGTAAAAATGTATAAAAACATATATATATATATATATAAATAAAAAGAAAAATTGAGTGTGAGAATGATAATTGGAAACTGTTATTCTGTTCCTTTTATATATATGATCTTACTTACTCTACAGGGAAACTCCAGCATACACCTAGCAATAACGTCTCCTTTCCACTGACTTGGTCTGGTGTGAAAAGATGACTGGCTTTGACTGTAACAAGCTCCTTGACTGCATCCGCAATCCAATCAAAGAAGACCGAACCTTTACCAGTCTTGAGTTGTGTGTCTGGACAGCGCTTCAACTCAAGGACCTGAACCTGTCCGTTTCCAAGTAACTCGACCGCAGAGATGCGGAGGTTGGTTCCACCTAGGTCAAGTGATAGAAAAGTACCGGTCTCATTGCCATTCGGTAATCGGGTTACGAATGACGGAATCATCGTGGCTAATCCCTTGGAGGGCGTCTTTAGACCTGTCTTGAATTCTTCCATAAAACCTTGGATAATAGGGCTAAGTTTGTCTTTGGGTAACAAGAACTGTTGTTCGAGAGTCTTGAAGAGAATGTCAGTATTGGTCATTTTGGTAACGCAAGGTGAATATGAAATAGAATATAAAGAGGTTGAGAAATAAGAATAAAAAGAATAAAAAGAAGAAGAAGAAGAAGAAAAGGATTCCTTAAAATAGTAGAGGCAAACAATACAATTCAATTGAATTTAATCTAATTCTAGTTCTAGTTCTAGTTCTAGTTCTAGTTCTAGTTCTATTCATATTACAATTTTATTTAAAAATATATACAGATATTTATAAGGGTTCCAATGGTAGAGTCAATACAAGTTTCAGTATCAGAATTTGGGGGAGAAGAAAATGAAAAAAAAGGGGGGGGGGGGGGGATGAGGAAAGGAGAAAGGGAATTTTTTTTTGAAGTTGCGAGAGTCTTGTAGTACAAGAGTTGTATTGATCTTTATTGATTTTAATGCTTCTTTTAAATAAAAAACATATATATATATATATATTCTTTATACAAATGAAAGCATTAATCAATAGTAAATACAATTCAAAGATGCTCTTTAAGTATATAATTTATTTGTTGATTTTGATGACCAAAATTATATACACTTGTCATATGTGTGTACTTGTTAGGTTGATATACTTGATGCTAATAATGTAGTCTACTTTGGTTGGAAAGCCAAGTAGGAGAGGACCCTGAATTAGGTGTATTGAACTCCGTTGGGTTTTCATTCAATCTTTGTGGCACAGTTTACAGGTGAGGTTAACATGACCACACCAATAAGAAACAAACCATGTCACTCAAAATCCAGCAAAACAAATGCAAATCTGAATAGCCAAACAAAAATTGTTGCTATAGATTTACTTGGTGACATCACAAAAATGATATAGAGTAAAGCACAACAAAGTAAAGTAAGGCAAATGAATGTGTGGGTTACGGGGAAGAGGAAAAACTAGGGCTATGATACGCTGATTGGATTAGGAATAGGAAAAAAAAGAAGAAGAAAAGTATTGGACTCTTGTTTTCCTGCTTACATAACCAATCCCTGTCTGGGTACCTGACGTAGCCACAGGACCCTGTTCACCCTTCCATCTACACACCATATCTCTGTGGCTGCATTATTGTTATGTACATGGCACATATTAAATCCATAATAAAATTCCTTAAAGGAAAAAAGTACTGCCTTTCATATCTTGTTAAAAAAGAACTACAGCAGCTATTTTTTTTTGGTTGTTGTTCTTTTATGTATATTTTTTTATTGCTACTATAATCGGAGCTACAGAAGCAAAGTATTATATTTATCTGTATATTTGAGGAGAATAAATATATATCATATCAACTATATATCAGGGTTCAATGCTGACCAACCTATATTTTATATATATATATTCTTTCGAACAATATTGTGACTATCATTAGTACGCTTTTTTTTTTTAAAAAAAAAAAGACTGTATAGACACACAGAAAGAGAGAGAATACATAATACCTCTTTATATTCATAACAGAAAAAATAAGATAAAGGAAAACCCTTTGGTTGGAGTCAAATATTAATGACGGGCCTCGAAAGCTAGTATTTCCCTTTGGTCCCTGGGGTAAAAATTAAGGAAAAAAAAAACCAACCAGGGTCCGGGGTACACAAGAAAAAGATACAGGATAAAATAAGAAATACAAAAGAAATTATTAGACCAAGCAGACATGGCCAAATTCACGGTAAATCTTTAGCCTTTCTTCAAACAAAGCCGCTCTTTCAAGTTTACTCGGCCTTAAAATATCAACACCTTTGTTCTTTATACCTCGAGCTTATCTCTTTTTCATTTAATATACATATATATATGTATATATATGTATATATATAATTCTTGCTTTGTTCGTGATCACAAACCTCAAAATTTAAGGTTGTTTGTACTGCATTCAATAGAATGCAAAGCCAGCTCAACTATAATAATCCTCTACACCAAAAGAAGAAGAAAATATGATTTACTCGGGCATGGTACCCGACATATGAATATTTAAGGCTGTCAGTCAGTCATTCAGTCAGTCGGTCGGTCGGTTGGTTAATCAGTGGGTCAATGGGTCAGTTGGTCACAAGATAGTCAATCTTTTCACTGACCCATCTTTTATCTATTTTAGACTTTAGAAAACAAATATAAATCTTCGGTTACAGTTCCCATGCTTGTGCATCCCAAATAATAAACAAGTCAAAGAAATCACAGATCTTCTCGATTCCTTCATTTTGCTTGTGATTACATCCATCTTACTACGCTTGATTATATCAGATGTCCAAAAACCCAGTCAAAATTCTAGTCGCTTGCACTCTCATCTCACACAGTTAGTATAGCTGATATCTTATCTATCTAACCAGGTCCTATGGACATCTGTACAATAATTTGGTGTTTCAAGAGAAAAAATAAATATTATTTACTTACAACATTATCTACAAGCTTAGGTTAGTGTTATGGTACTCAAAAGAAAAGAAATATTAATCACAATTTGTATGTATAAGCCAACCACCAGTTTTAAACAAAACACAAACACAAACAAATTAAGATATGAATTTTAGAGATACATATAATACGCAGCTATTAATTCTTTCGTATAAATTGATCAATTCACTTGTCAGCACAAGATATTATGATGATAAGTAGGATTTTACCTTTAGTTCAATGATATCCTCATAGCTTACTATTATTATAGTTTATTTGTAGAAGAAGAAGATTTTTTTCTTACAAGCTAGGAGTATTATATTTGTGCTTTTACCTTTTTGTTTATGTTTCGGTAGAAGAATAGTAGCGGCAAAATACAGGCTCGACAAAGTAAATAAAGGTAATGATAATAATACATTATTTATAAGCAAGCATTGCTAGGATAATAAATATCAGCTATAACCAGCTCGCTAAACATAATATTCATAATTTACTTGTGCATTTTGTGCTTTAAATTTATTGTTCTCCACAGGTGTATAATTTGTATTTAAATAAGAATATCCCTTTATTGTGGACCGACAATACATTTTAGACAATGGAAAATATTTTTTGCAAGGTAATAGAAAGAAAAATTGATTCAAGCCTTCTAAAGCCCGCGCATGTTTTTAATCCACAAACCTCTTTTGTCCTTTACTTGCTTTCTCTCTCTTTGATCCTTATCAAATGTATACTATACTTAAAACCAGGTGTGCCAAAAGGCCAAAGGCTTTTTCGCATTTTCTTTCATCAGAAACAAGCATCATTTATAGAAGATTGTCAAAAAATTGCCACCAAAAATTTGAAGAAATAACAAAGACATATGGTGGAAATAAAGGGTAATTAAAAAAAAAAGTTAATTTTGATAATATATATACATATATATAACTGGTCAAGCGTTTTACTGAGTATCATCTCTACAATAAGACTCTATTTGAAAGAGCTAGTCTTGATATACGGCATATTTACTCTTGTTATTGGTAGTATATTTTTCTGAATTTTTAGCTTTTGAATAAAGACTGGCTCCTTATTTACACCATGGTGCAAATAAATGTCGTATAACACAATCTTGACTTTGTACCCTTTATGCTCCTCTTGTATTCAATTTCTAATGCTCAAATTTGAATACCACCAGGATACACACTTTCTCTGCATATTATCCAGCTATAGCAACCGTTTATAATGAAAAACTCCAAGGTTTTTATAGGTGGTATATTCTTTAGTAAACTTGCTCTAGACCTTTTCCAAGTCATCGTCTATGTAGTCAAGCATAGTAGGTGACCGAACAAACTAAAACAGAAAGTAAAGTTCTTTATGTATATTAGAATAATTCCCTAGAGCTTTCTTTTTCTGAAAACCCTGTCTAGCTCACATATTTAATCGGATCAAAGGTTCAATGTAACTCCAGAACATATTGGCAGCATAAAATAAATAAAAATCGAATACTTTTGTAATCAAAAAGAGCTAAGAAATAGAGCTATGGGAGTCTATACGAGAAATAAGTGTAAAAAAGCAATTTTTATTTATTCTCAATACTTCCAGCTAAACTGCTTACAAATTTGCGACATTGACTATTTGCTTTCCAAAGTTTCTACCTTTGAAAACATCCAGTACTGCCTGAGGAGTGTTTTCGATTCCGTCAACAATTGTCTCTCTATACTTAACTTTGCCCTCCAGAACCCACTGTGTGCATGTTTTTATGAATTCTTCTTCGTATGCCATGTTCTCCTTGTCCAGAACAACGAACCCATCAAATGACAAGCGCTTTGACACAACATAGATAAGATTGCGTATTCCATATTGGTCCTGGGTATTGTACTGAGATATCATGCCACATCCAATGATACGCCCAAAGTTGTTGGCATGATCAAGAGCATGCTCAAGCATAGTACCTCCCACATTATCAAAGTAGATATCAATACCATTGGGACAAAGCTCTGTTAACTTTGAATCAATGTTCTCAGTCTTGTAATTGAAAGCACCATCAAATCCGAGCTCTTTGAGGTATTCGACCTTGTCATCGGAGCCGGCTGATCCAACCACATAGAGTCCAAGTGTCTTGCCAATCTGACCAACGATTTGACCGACTGCACCTGAGGCTGCCGATACAAAGAGAGTCTCACCTTTTTGTGGTCTGCCATATTTATTAAGGCTGGATATGTGAATGATAAACAGGTTAATAAAGGTGTGTGTTTTTTTTTATAATAGATCATTATAGGCTTACCCAACGTATGCGGTGAGGCCAGGCATACCCAAAATACCCACATAGTAAGACAATGGAAGACCATTGGTTTTGGAGTCATTGCGCACCACATAGTTGCTATCTGCATAGGTTCCTTTGACGTGCGAGTATTCTTCAAAATATCCGAGGCCTGTTCTGCCGCAAACCAGGTCGCCTTGGTTGAATTTTGGGTTGTCAGATTTAAGTACCACAGCCACAGTATCGCCTGCCAGGACACTGTTATACTCAAAGGCTGGAGCATAAGACGCAATTGCAGGGTCACGCATACACCCACGGATATAAGGGTCAATAGAAAGCACAAGATTTTTCAAGAGGATGTCGCCTTTCTGGAGAGGAGCATCAAGGTCAATGGTGGATTTCGATGTCTTGACAGTTTCTCCAACCACTGGGAATCCTGTGGGAGGTTTTGTGTAAATAACTTGAGTGTTTAAAGACATTGCAAGACAAGTGTTTTGATAGTATAAAAGGAAGATTTTTGTTTTTTCTAGGGCTTATATATATGACAAAGCTACTTGATGCTTAATAAGCTTCCCGGAAAAATGCTATTTTAAAATGATATATTAAATGATTACTCAGCCGGCTATATTGAATTTATCCACTAGATAATAGTATATATACGTCAGTTGGATAAGTATTTGTTTAAAAACCTTATTCTGTAAAGGATTTCTACAGGACAATTTTCTGGAAATTTTGGCTTTACAGCTAAACCAAAGCTCATATTAGTAAGCCCTGTAGTGCCATAATATATTTGGTAAATGTTTAAATTCAATGTAGAAATTAATGCTTGCTTTGTTTAAAAAATAAATAAAATAAAAATAGAATAAAATAAAATAAAATAAAATGTAGTCTTAGGAGAACATTTCATCTAAAGCAAAGAGTTATGGAGTAGCCATATTGAAGAAATAATTATATTATTGTTTGTTGTATCAGTGAAAAGATTTTTGGCTAAATAATTCAAACACATAGGACAAATAGCTTGAAGTGAAACTGTTTTTCCTGCTTTTGGAGAGTCAGCAAAACTTCTGGGTGTGATGGTATTGAAGTAGTTGATGTGAGGTAATTGTGTATAAGAGAGCTGTATTCGGTTCTGGTCTTCATCCACATTTCGACCTGTTATCCTTTTCCTAGCCTATTCTCGATCCAGACATTTTACCTGTCCGTTTGTCGTCTAAATTATACGTAGGAAAACCCCTTTTTAGGATCAGGATCGCTAAATTGGTGTAGTCATACCAGGATTCTTTCACCACCGCAGAAGAAGGTTTTTTTTTGCGTAAGCATATTCCAAAAACGGACCATGGTAGCTGAGAGTAACTTGAGTACTATCTTTAAGAATTAGCTTGTCTCTAAATTTAGACATAATATGAAAGTGTTTTTCTCTCTCTCCCAAAAAATAGTATTTAGCAGTATCTGTAAAGAAATATAAAAACAATATTTAAATCTAGGATCTAGATCTTTACATTTAAAGATACTGAAGAGTTTCTCTTAATATCACACTTCTTTACAGGGTTTATTTTATTTAAAACATATAAATAAAAAGCATGCCTTTGGTCCATATAACATAATACCAAGGCTATAGTATACCATTGCATAAAAAGTATTATTTACTAGACTTTTAAAGCAGTGCTCAAGAGAGTAATACAAAAAGAGATCATGTATATTAAACAAATCTTGTGTTTTTATTTGAACTGGGTATAAGTTCTATGATGTTGTATACAAGTTATAGATGCACTAGAGTCATTAAAATCAATTGTGATTGTGGAGAGAATAAAAATAAGTTATTTATTGAATAGATAAAAATAATGGTTAAAGATATACTTCAGAGTTAAATAAACACTCTGGAATGTACAAAAAATATCAAATATTTATAGACAGAGTCCAGTGTTGATACCAAAGTACCTAGTGAAAATATCAACTGTAAGCTGTGTAAAAATAGGATAATCTATCGATTGAACTTACGATAGATGATCTGTTGCGCTAGTAAAAGGAACGATCGAATTGGAGCATTTGATAGACTCAAAGTCGGTGCAAATTTCTATTAAAAAATAACGATAAATAATTAGTTCGTATATCATCCTATTGATCCGAATCATAAACAAATTTTCTAAAATACTTACTGACTGGTCCAGTCTCGGTTTCCCAGTATTCAGTACCAACATGCATGTAATCGACTGAAAGGGGGGGAAGATGGGGGATCACTATAAATTTGGACAGATAATAATAATCATTAAATTCTATAGAAATCAGGCTGTATAATTAACTATGGGCTTACTATTGTGATCATGAACTGTACGCTTGTATTCAATTCCAGTTCCAGTAAAGTAGCTTCCAAGGATAGAGTTTCCAGTACGAGGTTGACCTTGGGGGGTTTTTTTTTAAAAAAAAAAACAAGTTAACTACTTATCCCTTACTATAATAGTCGGTAAATACACATAATCTTATATACCATATGTGTGGAGTACTATATTTGTGGAATTGAAACGAGTGTCGCGTTGGTAAAGATCCATAGCAGCAATCTCAGCAAGAGAGCCGCCAAGCGAATGTCTAACAGTAAGTGGTAGATACTTGGTTAATATATATTGGTCCTAAAAATTATACTTTTTGGGTTTTTTTCTTACCCAGAGACTGCAACCTTGTAGTTAGGATACTCAGTTATCTGCTCAATCATCTTAGAAATAACAGGCTCTTGAACATCCAAGTAAGCTTTATAAAATCCTTTATAAAAATGTATAAAAAAAAACACATTAGGAATTCTTGAAAGCTTGATTCCTTATAAATAAACGTTTCGTTTGTTTCTGTCTTGAATTTACCGCCATGAATCTTGGCATTTTTTACAGGAGAGTAATCTACAGTGATAAAGTCAAAGTCCTAAAAGATAAAAATTGAGTGTATCTTATTACTTTGCATTCAGCAGGCACAGAGTAAAACAGATATATCTCACAGTGTAGAAATTCTAGAATGAGTTTGATCCTATATATTAAAAGTACATTAGTCCCAATAATATATAAATTTGCATATATGTATGTACCTCTAAAGACAAGACTGATAGTCTTTGATTTATCATTTCTGGTAATAAAGCCGTTTGTATCAATTAATACAGTAAAAAATGTACTAACAAGAGTCTCATCCTTAGAACAATGAGCACAAGCCCACTGGTTAAGAGGGACGACGACGCGGCAGTAGACATTGGCAGATAATTGAGTGAAAACTTTAAGGTCTTGGACTTGAACTTCGGTAGCAATGCTGACTGAATTACCAATGGCTGCCAAGGTCTGAGCTTGAGATGGACCTGAGGTTGCATTGACAGCAATACCATCGGTCGTTTGAACATTTTCAGGAAGAGGTCCATTATTGGCTTTTGCAGTAGCCTCGGCAGTAAGGTCGACCTTTGGAAATTTTCCCAAGATATTTGCGCGGCTTTTGATTATAGGAGGAAGACTATAATCTCTGGATACAAGGGCTGCACGACCCTCATTTACCGGGGCGGCCATCGACACATTAAGAAAGGCCAGGGTAATAGAGATGGAAAGAACGGACAATTGAGTAATCTTCATGGCTAGTATTGCGTATTATTAAGGAGAATATGTTTATAATGAAGTAGATATAGATCAAATTAACTAGGAGTATATATACTTTTTTTTATGTAAAGAACACCATACTCATTTCATTTAACTTGAAATCTTAGTAACATTACTGTATTACCACATCCAAGTCATGCAGTATGTACATACACATTATTCAATTCTCAAATGCTTGGTAATCGTTTACTTTGTTAGAATAAATCATGTTCTAGGTATATTAAGGTTGTCATTGGAATCAGTGTGCTACGTACGTTTTGAAAAATCTACTCTCGGATTAATGTGAAGCTCATTTTAAATTCACAGTGTCTAATATGTGTATCCAGATGAAATACACACGATCAGTACAATGTTAGCTAATAGAAATTTGCTTTAGTAAGTTGGTATTCATTGTTTTTTTGTATCTGTGAAATAAAGTACATGTTTTTTGAACTATTGTGTAATATGAATATGATATTCCTCTTCTTTTTGGACCAGTATCTAACTTTGATATTTTGAGCAACTAATAAATATTACCTTGATACAAGTAACAAGCTCTCTAATATATCAGTACAGCCTTTCAAAATTAATACGGAAAATATTCCTGAGTTGAAAAGACAATTATAGGTGAAATAGAATATTATTATGCAATAAACTGAATATAACTGTAATTTTCTTTAACAGCAAAAACTTTAAATCTATTCAAGACAATATCTAAGCCACCTTGGTAATATATTACTATCCAAATATATATCTTATACACATTAGTGCTTAATATTTGCACATATATAGATGACATTGGTTAAAATACAACCATTTGGGATCATGTTTTGCTTATGTGAAAAAGAACGGTGTTAGGAAGAAAAAATAAATCTTAATTTGAGTTCACAAATGCAAGCACCACAATTGATGTTATAATTTTTATATACAAATATATAAATTGATTTTCTGGTATATAATAAAGAGTTAACAAAGCACAGACGTCGGTAGCATTATATTAATAGACTTGAAGTTCGATCGTAAGCTATGTTATAAAAAAAGCATACTCAATTAAACTATATGAGCTGTACAACTTTCGGTTTATATTTCATTTACATATATTTGAAAATAGGTCTCCATTAAAAGTCCTTTAGCTGTCATATATGGGTATTTTTTTTTTATATGCTCACCTTATTTTATTTTTTATTTTGTGGTACAAATTTACACTTGTAAACCAAAAGATATTTCTACACATAGTTTAAATATATTAGGTAATTCTACTGGGGGTTTTATACTATGTACGAGACAAGCTACTTTTTTTTTGGAACTTACATATTCGCTGAATATTCGATACCTTGAGATTTAAGAAATAAAATAGCCAAAGAACAAATACATTTGTCTTTAAAAGATATGTATATAAAAATCTGAGTGTATAGAGCTCATCTAAATGCTTATTAGATTATGGCTTGAAGGTATTCAGACTTTTTAATTAACAAACTATCAAGAGTCAGTATGTGGGTAAAACAGTTATTAAGGATGATTAATGAAATATCTGCCTTGACACATAGTTGCTTAGACATACAAACTCGATTTACCAAGATAGTTATGTACTACAAAGGCTATTTTGTGATTTATTGTTATACATATACAGTCATTTCAGAAAGTAAAGTTGCTGATTTTGAGTTTGATGTCGTGCAAAAAAATTGCGTGTTCAACAATGATGTCGACTGATCCAAAAATAAAGTCGTGCTCACATTACAAACTTCATTTATTTTCACTTGTTGCTTAGTCAATTGCCCAATAGAATTTCTTGGCATGAATTGGGTATTCATGTCCGAGCAGCACAGAGATGGGTTAAACGTTATTACGAAGACCCTGGAAGCATCTTCGAAAAGAAGAGAAAGTCAAGTCGGCGTCGTATTCTTGGAGAAGATCATAAGCAGTTTCTTTTAAATTACATTGATGAGAATCCCTCTGCTCTTGTAATTGAAGTGACAGAAAGTTTGACACAAATTTTTGCGGGTCTTAACGCTTCTCGCAGCACTATTTATAGCTTTATGGCAACTGAGCGCAATCTATCTATTAAGCAGGCACAATTCCAGCCTGTAGAAAGAAACAGCGAAGAAAAGATTCAACAAAGGTACCATTGGGTACAAAAGTGGCAGCAAACCGACTTGGATTTCACAACAAATTGAGTCTTTCTTGATGAGTCAGTCTTTCATATCAATTTGAAACGAGGTATTACCTGGTCAAAGAAGGGAACTCGCGCTGTAGTTACAGTGCCTACAACTAAAGCGAACACAACATCGATTTTAGGTGCAATATCTGCAACTGGTTTAATCAATGTCAGTTTGAGAGTTCCAAAACGCATTAAAAAGAGAAAGATTGGACGTTAAACTGATGGCTGTAGCATAGGAACAGTGACAGGGCATCATCTGAGCTTTTTAAAGGCTACTCTTGATGAAATGGACAAGTATCCCAATATGAAGGGACATTACCTTGTCATGGATAACGCTCCTATCCACAGCTCAAGTGATATAGGTAAGTATATCTTCCTCCGTATTCTCCCGAACTAAATCCGATTGAGCAGTTCTGGTCAGTCGTCAAGAGTAAAGTTAAGCGAAATAAGTTTTTGGAAAAAGATACGCTCATGACAAGGATTAGTGAAGCATGTATGGTGCTATCGGACTTAAGTATCTATGTATAACGGTATTTTTCAAAAGATTCAACTTTTGCAAAAATAAATTTAATAAAAAATCCTTGAATAGAATTATTAAGCATGGTCTTCTCTATAATTATATTGAAGCGTTTTGTATTAAATTCATTTTTGCAAAAGATGATACCTCTTCAAGGAACGCCTTATTTTCTGCCTGCTCAAATTTGAAATTGACCTTTTGAGGCTTTTTGAAAAAGTTAATTTTCTATTGGGGGTTTTTTTATTCCTTCTCTTTTCCTTCTCTTTATTTCGAATACAAATTAAACCCCAATCTCAACATGTCCAACCCCATTATTTACGATATTTCAAACATTCAAAATGTTTAAATCAACACGTCTTTAGAGGGGATTAAGATGCTTCCTTTTAAAGTAGTCGTACCTGTAAAAGCTAGTGAATGGAGTCGTTGTCTTGACCGAATCAATACTCTTTGTTCAACGAAATGGAAAAAAAAGACGTCTTGATTCAAAAGAATATATTTTTGGAGAAACACGTCAGTGTTATCGTGCAAGCATATATATACCAGAGCGAGATTCCCGCCCTGCACAAAAAGAATCAAAGGCATGCGGATGAATGGAGCTTTGAAAATAAAGCAGTTCAAAAACTCCCCTACTATTGTTACTTTCTGTATGACAAGGGACCATAACAATCATGTTCCTGGAGACAGATAAGAGATCAGAACTTTGCCCTTGCCGTTTGAGGCTATTAAGTTGATTGAAGATCAACTGAGAAGTGGAAGCAGCTGTAGAAGCGCAAGAATATCTGTCCTTCGACAGATTGACAGCTGGGGTGTTGGTGTTAGAAAACCAAACTACGAAAAGATATACAATAGAATGAAGAAGGTGTGTTAAAAAAAAAGATAAAAGGAAGTTCATATTTAACAGTTCTGGTAAAATAAAATAAAATAGATGACAAATCTGCTGTATATGTTCAACTCTGATGAGAAGGCATCTATTGCTAACTGGATGAATGAGAAATTGCCAGAAAGAAATTATTGCATTTTTACCGGAGACCTTGGTGTCAACAACATTGAAAGCAATCTTTTCGCCTCTGGCTTTCAATCGCCTGTCCAAGTGAGAGTTACGAGAATAGCCACATCATTCTGCCTTGATGCTACTCATGGCATATCAGCAAGAAGTGGAGAGGCCATGTACTCTTTAGTGACTCAACACAACGTAACTGGAAAAGGGTTTCCTGTTGCTTACATGGTTATAAATGACCAGACAGTCAGGCCGATCAGCCAATGGCTTGTGCATCTTCGTGAGAGAAGCTACTTCCATCCTTTGAATATCACCATTGACTGCAGTATTTCCGAAGTTAATGCGATTACATCTGCATTTCCTCACGTTGCAATTCACTATTGTAAATTCCATATTCTTCGTGCTTGGCAAACAAACCTCGACAACAAAGTAAGACTTGATGCGTAATTCACATCAGCTCAGCTGGCAGCATACAAGCAGGAGTTAAAAAACAAGCTGAAGTATATCTTGATGGAGTCGAACGAAGAAATATTTTTGACAAGAATCCTTGACTTCAAACGCGATATAACCGACTAGCTACACTTCTTGAGATACTTCGAAACACGACGGACTGGAAGCGAAGTATTGCTTAAAAGATGGGGGCGCCCTTATGTCGATGACTCACATAGAAGATATTTGACGAATAACTACATCGAGTCATGGCATAACCAGCTCAAGACCATCTACTTTGGCCGTGCTAGAATCAAAAGACTGGATTGCCTTTTGTTTGACCTTATGAACAATGTAGAGTATTTCTACGAACAAGAAGTGGATTTTATTCACTTAAACAATGGAAAGATGAGACCGGTAGAAAAACGAACTTGCGAGAAATGAATTTGTTGCGTCCAAGATAGAAGATGACATACTCCCTTCTATGATCATCAGTCCATTAAATGTGATTAGTACTAGTATGGATGACTCTGGTGGCAAGTAGCAAATCAAGTCTTTTACAAATAATACAACATGATAGTCTATCACTGTTGTAAATGATTTGATCGAATGCTGTTCGTGTCCCAGATACATCTCTCGGCAAGTGCCTTGCAAGCATGCATTTCTTCTCAAAAGATACTGTAAGATTAACGTCTTATATACAATTCAAAAAGATGCCAATCACTTGGCAATGCAAAGACCCGCAGTGTTAGCTAAAGAAGAAGAAGAAGTTGTGATTGTTGACGAAGAAGACAGTAGAGAAGATGTTGTAGGTGCTCAAAATGATGTTGATACGTCTATTGCAGACCTTATCACTCACACCACCTTACTTCATCATCAAAGGCTCAATCTCAAACACATGCAAACAATTTCTGACATTGATGTGTCAGAGATAAATGATATGACTCGTTGTGTTAAAGAATTGTTAGATAGAATAGATAATATTAGAAATAGAAATAGAAATAGTTTTAGAAATATGAATACCCAATTTCAATAAAAAAAAACATTACACATGTATTATTTTGTATTTTATAAAGAAGTATTCTTTTTTCATAAACAAACACTGCTATTTTAAAGACAAAAAACAAAAGAAAAAGCGGCCACTCGTTCCTTTGAATCTTTTTGTTTCAAATCTGAACCGACAGAAAATAAGACGTTCCTCTTTCTCTCACCAATGCCTGCTATTCACAATGTTCATCCGAATAAGCCAAATTCCGTAATATACATTTCAAGCCATCAGCATTTTGAAAAACTATTCTGACAGTATCATTATACACTTTATAGACAAAGGAAACTTTTACAATTAGACAAAGTTATCCATATCACATTAAAATATACAAACATTTATTTTATTAATCTTCAGATTTGATTGACTAGATTAATTTTTTTTATAAATGAGTCCTCCTAATTACAACATTGACTTCTCCAATCAAGTAAAAAAGGTTTAAAAGCGTGTCTTTTTTATTGGAGACGATACTAGTTAAAAAAACTTTATTTATTTAAAGATATACATAAAGAAACTATTCTATTTGATTTAATTTCACTTAATGTTCTTTTACATGAGCAAAAGAATAAAAAGCATGACACCAAGTTCTTTGCCCCCGCATTACGCGGCTCAATCTCCTCCAGGACGTAAACCTGACTTGGTAGCGAAGGAGGTGCTGGAATGGTGGCAAACCAACGGAAAGCACCCGTTCATCCAGCCCCACATCTCGTCACCGAGTAATGTGGGTGCGAACTCGCCAGAGAACTTACCACTAGGTGATGATAAGGTCCAGCTCATTCGACTACCAGTAGCTTCACCGTCAGCCGTTAAAGAGTTCAGTCAGGTTAGCAGTGAAGAGCCAGCACATCTCACCACAGGTTAGACCTCCCTCCCCCCAGCATCATGATTCCACATTGGCGATGCGATGTACACAGTAGTCCTTCCAAAAATGAAAAGAGACCATGCCCCACGACTTCTCAGAATTAACTGAGCTGGCGAGTAACAACTTTCACTTTCCGATGCTTGTAGCATGGAAGAATCTCCCTGCAACGGTCGCAAGAGACGCCTCACTATGAAACCGAGACTGTTATTGCTCAAGGAGAAAACAAACGACGCGCGTTGGAGGAGGTCTATATGTAACAGAAAATTTTTCATCTGCGATTAAAGTTTAGGACTGCGCTTTCTGTCAGTCTTAGATGTTCACGTCAGAGCAAACGTGACATAGCTATATATTCTTTTTACTGGGTTTGTGTAACTGTTTTACGGCAGAAGAGACAGCTAATAATATTCACTCAGAGTACTTATGAAGTCAACTTTGTAAGGTGAAGTAAAGTAAAGTAAAGAAGCAAAGAAGTAAAGAAGTAATGAAGGGTTTGATCTTGATCGGTATAGCAATAACTCTAAAGATGGAGTACAAAATTCTATAACAGCGATTTGTAGGTCACTCTAAACTGGTCTGTGCACTTTTTGTTCGAGGACACAAGAGAAAGTATTTTTCTTTTGCTTGTACAAGTAGACATAAAAGGGACGCAACTTTTACTAAAAAAAAATACGCGCACCTCATAACAACATTAAGCGATAAGTATACATGTATATCATCTGAATTATCATAATACGGTAGGAGGTGGAATTTCAAATTTAAGCACGAGTCTTATTAAAATGAGGCTATACCAATAATTGAATGTATGAGGATGAGTTCCCAAGAAAAGGAGACTTTACTATAAAATGTTTAGAGCTTATTGTGCAAAACATAATAGACAGCCCCGAATTTTACTCTTTAAGATATTTAGATATCGATAGTAGCTATGTATAAATAAAAATTAAAGTGCTTGGCAAATAAATACTACTGAAAAGATCGAATCATATCCTTTTATTAAAGTCTAATTGACATTGACAAGCCGGCTATTACATACTACTTAGTATAAATTATATACTGGGGGTTCTGTTAAGGATATAATAAAAACAAAAGATAATCTAATTACACCTTCAGTTTACTCAAGGCCCATGGTGACTTGGTTATGAACAAGGTCGAATAATTGCCAAGGGTGCTTTCGATTCTACAGCAATAATGATTTGGTCCTTCGTTGAGATATACAGTTAAATATCTGAAGCAAATAGCTATTCAATAGTCGAAAAAGGCTAACGTACACCCAATCCTAAAAGAATTTCTTTCTCTTGGATCATATATTCAAAGTATTGTGTTTAATAGACCACTATAATTTAAAATATTTAGCAATTCTTATTTGGAGAGTGTTAAAAGCACGGTTTTACATTTTGTGATTTCTCTATATATCTATGTCTTGGTTCTCTTTATTAGCTGTACATATTCACCTACGGCCTTATTTTTCTGCTATTTGGTTAAATGTGATGTGAAGATAGTTAATTATAATAGCTAAGCTCATTAGCTGACTAGACCACTTGTAAAATCGGATCATAAATAATATTGTGGTTTAATAATTGATGAGAACTCTACTCTGGCTACATGATGTATTAAACAGCATTGATTACCCCTTAATTGCAAGTATATAATATTTCAAAAGTATCTAAAACTATAATAATTATTAGACACCATTGAAAAAAAAACTAGGTTGGGTAATGCTTTAAATTACCAGAAATATTGTATTGTTTCTCTTTTTTGATACAAAACCTTTGGGATTTACTTAGTCACAGTATGATATACATGGATTTCAAAAGTCTTCATTTTATAGGTTTACACAGATGCTGAATAACTGTTACATTACCTACTGAGTTAAAGTAAAATACTCTGAATTCTTCGTCCTAGATTACCTTCTGTAACTTGAAAGTACCTTTCCGAAAATCCAAGCATAAGATGCATGGCCTTTAAGACAATAAAATAACATAATTATTACAACAATCCATAATACATAAATTTCTTATTTGCCTTATGAGCTATACGATTTGATAAAAGTAAACGTTATGAAAAGCTAAAAGAGTTATTTAAAGGGTTTATTTCCACCAGGTTTTTTTAGTGTATTAGGAGGGGTTTAGGGCTGCATTTTATCTAAGCGCGTTACCCCTCCTTCCTCTTTATATTGACCCACAATAGCAAATGAATAGTAGATATTAAAATTGAAACATTTAAAAAAGAGGTTATGTTTTCAATTTTCTAACTTTACCTCACCTTTACTTGCCCAGAATTTGTTTTTAAAGAATAGCCTTTGTATACTTCAATAAAAATTATTTATCTAGGAAGCTTTCTACCAGAAATCACTCTAATTTTCCCATTTAAAAATTACATTCTCTTTTTGCTTTTTGAGCATTCTTATATTATATTCCAGAAATTCAAGTTTAATCTAGCTATACACCGAGAAATATACTTATAAGCTATACATATAAGCATAGTCTCCAAACACGATTTTAGTTAAACGAGCATGCCTATATATACACCAATTGTATTGTTTTTTTTTGGTAATGTATTTTCCGTAAAAATACTAGCTCCTTATTTACAACATGGTGCAAATAATCACAACTCACACAAATATTTATAGATCAATATACATTTATTTTATTTTATTTTACTTTATTTTGAGTGTGATGTTATATGTACTTAATTACTAATGTGCGTATCTTTTTCTTATGTGTAGAATATACACACCAAAGACTTGATTATGAAAACTCAATTCTTACATGAATTTCTCCACTACCAGTAGGGTAAAGAGGCAACCATCCTTCAAAAATAGTGGATTGCTCAGGGCGCACCAAGCTCCAGAGATTCCACTGACATTCGCCTAGATCAACAGAGCTTGAAAAGCGATTATAGTCTTTGACCTTAAAATCAATAGAAATTGGTGTACTAGGAACCGAGTATTTAAAAGACTCATTCCTACAAAGAAAAATAAATAAATAGGTATTGATTAATTAATTATTATTTTTAAAAAACAACAGTATCATCATAAATTTTGTCTTTCTGCTTACCACACTGGGGCCAATGTCTTTTTGATGTACTTGGTTTTGTATGCCTGAGTTTTTCCAATTCGAACACGCACAAAAGGATCACTTGTTCCACTTTTATCCACCCCACGCAGACCACGAGCTTCAATTAGATTAATCATTACCGAGCCTTCCATGCCTGTCAAGGAGTCTTCGCCACCTATATTTGAGTCATGCTCAGATGAGACGAGACTATTGTTGTCCATGATAGAGTTGATACTCTCGGCCGCTGACATCTGTCGTGAGTGTCGGCTGACCGGACTGTCCTGAATCTGTCCTGAATCTATTGAAGACATGGTGTCTTGTCTCATGGCTTGTATTGATCGGGGTAGAATTCCCTGCGCAGGATTTCGCAAGCTACTTGTTCTACTAGGAGATGGAGAACTAAGCTGGGTACCAATACGACCGAGTAACTGGGTTGCTGATCTTGTGCCTATCTGGGTTGACATCTGGGTAGATGTGTACATTCTGGTTGTTCCAAGAACCGAGGTGTTGGTTTTCTTGCGGGCGAGAAGCTGGGGTTGCCAGAGGAACCGAACCTGCACGCTGCCAGTAACTCCTGCGATGCCATCAAGAGGAATGTCGACGTTACGAGCTGCGAAACTCTCGACTGAGTCGCCACGAATAGAAACACCACCGGATCCTATAATAAAGCAAAAGGTAACAAACCAAAAAAAGAAGAAGAAGAATTGGTAAGATTTTTTTTAGGAAAATTCACAGATTGTATTAAAATTACAGTAAATCTGAGAAAAAAAAACTTACCTAAAGGTTCATCTCCTTGGAACTGATTCCAATCGAAAACTTCGATACGGAAGCTTGCTGTTACCCTTGATGGCTACAAACGAACCAACAATAAAACACAGCATAAGAAACAAACGTTATTATTGTTATTAACAGACCAAGAATTACATACAATTGGTACAACGAATTGTTCATTCTTCCATGTGGGATTTGTGTTCTTCTTAATTACTGAACTTTTGTAAACACGAGTGCCATTTACAGTGAAGATTACATAAGGGTCACTAGTGCCTATTGTATACGATATATATTATATATATGTTTAACAACCTACGCACAAGTAAAACATTTGTATACAAACTTACCGCTTTTATCCACTGCTTTTAAGTTCTTGGCCCGAAGCAATGTAACTGTGAGGTTTCCTTGATCTATAAAAAATCGCACACAAAGGAATAGATCGATACAAAAGAATATTTCCCGTCAGTATCAAACATAATCCATTGTAATAAAATAGAAGAGATAAGAGAAAAAAAAAGTCTTACTTTCCAAACTCTCGTCAGGATTTAGTGCAAATCCAATAAGAGGAGTGTAATCAAAGCTTAGACGGATCATTCCTGGTGCTTCTGTTCCTAACAAATTGAACCAATCTCCTTCCTCAAGCTCATTTTCTTCCTGGATCGCCTGTCTTCGCTTGTTTTGAATGCGTCGAATGATGAGGCTTGTGGATTCGACCCAGTAGCCCATCTTAACATCGTCTTTTTCATCCGAATCTGCGGACTTGACTTCGATAGCCACACGTGAGAAATCTGCCTCTTTAACAAACGCATCTGCCGACTCATTAAAAACAAGTGCATCGCCGCTTTGTTTGCTGGTCTTGAACTGGGGCATGATTGAGTCCACAAGGAACTGACAGTAAGCATGGACTGGTTTGCTCATTTTGACTTCGTGAATCCGGACGGTGACAACTCCCGAATTGTATGTTGGGAGATCGATTATATCGTCTGGTGTGTATTTAACATACTCTCCATGAAGATCTTTCTCAGGCATGGCATCAAGAAATACTGGGTCTTTTCTTATCTGGCTACCATTCTCCCCAAGTATTTCTTCATAGTCTTCATCCCCGGGCTCGGGTGGAGATGGTAAAGCTAATGTTGGATAAAACTCGGCCGTGTACCGTAAGGTTCCTTTTGCCTTTTTGTCGGTTGATGTCAGTGGATCACATCTAAGTGAGAGAGTAACAAATAAAATATATCAATTAGTTTCATCTTGATTCTTCTCTTTTGTTTTCTCAAAATATACCCTCCAATTTTTTGTACAAAGTGTATCATTAATTAAGATTTTCCTTTTTTTTTTTTTTACCTCTCAAGCTTTTCTACCAAAGGCTCAAACCATTTGTCAATATAGTTCTTGTGTTCTTTTGTTCGCTGTCGGATAAGATCTTTCATGTGCAGTATTGTATAGCCAAGAGTTTTATCCTTGGATTTTGCATTCCAGTCCATAGCCTCCAGCATGAGATCCTCTCTGATTGAGTGCACAGGTACATAGTGATGCTCTCCCCATTCGGGGTTCAGGTTATTGTCGACGACTTCGGTACGTGTGCGAATTTGTGTACCAGACAGAACACGGATGTATGGATCAGACTTGCTTCCTGTAGCAGCCTCCACATTACGTAAATCATGGGCTTCCCAAAAGGATAATCTAACAACACCAATCGGTGGATCTACATATACATATCAAAAATGTTAATATATATATACATATATATTTGTGATGTTTTTGCTATAAATAGTCTGTAGTGGTATCTGTAGCTGCAGCTTTATACTAAAGAACCTTACTTGAATATCCATTTCCACACATGGCCTTTGTTAATCCTTCCATGACTACTGGTTTCCACTGTACACTGAAACGTATGCGACCCACATCTTTGGAACCATGTTTTAAATCCCACCAATAGTTGCGTCCGTCCTGCTGCTGCATTACATCGACCAGGTATGCTGTCCACACACCCACCGTAACATCTTCGGCAAAATTGACACTGTCCTTGACCTCTACTCGGATGCTGACCTCAGTCTTATCCAACACAACCACCTCACCTGGTCTCTCAAACTTTGGATTTGAAGTACGCTTGAATACCGGTGTCTTGATTTTTTCTGCACCGTTGATCATTACTCGTGCATAGGGATTTAATTTGGTCGATCCCAAATTTCTGCACTCGTGTATTGTGAATCGAAGCACACCCGAATCTAAAACAAACGTAAAGAAATATCAGGCTTTAAAAATCACATTCTAGTTTGTTACTTTCTTTCCTTCCTCTTCTTTTCTCTTTCACTTTTATTTTACTTTATATTATTTTATATTATTTTTGTGCTACAAGTTGATGATGTTTCTTACTTGACTCCGCTGGAGGTTCAATCGTCCCGTCTTCTCGGGGAATGGGTTTAGACACCGGCATGTAACGCATATCAACCTTGACATCGCTCAAAGGTTTACCATGTCGTAAAAGCAAAAGGTCTCTACAAAAATAAAATAAAGAAGAAAAATGAGTTATTGTCGCTTATAAAGCAAGAGTGTCTGTGCTGTAGATGTAAATATAGATTTGATCGATTTTATTTGGCTTACGCACAGTCCCTGTATTTCGTTATCATCTTCTTCAAGATCCTTCAGATCAAAATTTGCACGTGCAATACGCCTGTCTTTGTTGGATGAGCTGTGGTTTCGAAGTTCGAGTGTCATTATTGAATTTAGGTTGTTCAATAACAAGAAATGGGTTTCGTTCCAAATAGGCTGCAATGTGTTTTCTCGCACACTTGTTCGTCCAAGCTCCTGTGCCTTGTCCAAGAAGAATCTGATAAAAGGATTGAGTGTACTGTCCCCACTATCGATTGTAGAACATGAGTAGACAGTGATAGCCAGAACACCATTGGCTTGAGCTAAAAATTAAAAATAAATATATAAATATATAAATGACCCCCACAAACATGCGTAATTTGTGTGTGTGTGTGTGTATGTGTTTTTCGGTCAATAGTCCTATTATGTACTTGATCACAAGGAAAAAATAAAAAAAGAAAAAAAGAAAAACTTACTAATGTCAAGTTCTCCAGAAAAGAATTTTTCGACGTCAAATGCAAACACATTGGGGTAATACATCATTGGCCCCAGAATAGCATGCACTTGGTCTCTCACAAACCCTTGAAGACCAGGAATCTACAAAAACAGGTGTTTTTTATATAAACCAATAAATAAGTTAGAGAAACACATATAATGTTGTATAATATAACTCTTCTTTTAATCTTAATATTAGTAATAGTAATAGAACCTTACATTATTGACATCAAATCCAAAGGTTTCTCCACCAAGAGGCTTTAGAACATAGTCAAACTGTGGGTAGTCCAAGAAGCAGGCCTCGACCATTTTGACGTGTGGAAACTTGCTTATCAACTTCATCTTTACTCGCATTTGACCTCTAAAGCTCATATCCTCTACCAAGACCGTAAATGCTGTGCCGACCATACCCTTTCCCAAACGGATATTGAGTGCAACTTTAGGATTAACTTTGAGTTCAATCTCCTTTTGTGTCATGTTCGATACATCGTTTGGTGTAAAAGCGACGGTCCAGTCCATACACTAAATCAAACCCGCACACACACACGCACACACAAATACACATAAGAAAGAAAGAAAGAAAGAAAGAAAGAAAGAAAGAATAATTTTTGATTATTATTACTATTATTTCTCTCTTTACTTTAGTTGTTCTGAGCATATTACATTTCTTCTTCTTCTTCTTTTTTCTTTTAATATATATGAATATCAATTGATCTCACCACTGTATCAGGCTCTGTTGTTGGAATGGTCTTAACGGCCTCGATACGGAAGGGTCTCGAGCCAAGTGTGAATGTGGTTAGACGGACAGAATCAAGGAATGAAGGCAGATAATCTACCAAATATGTATCCATGTTTTCTATAACATATGCGCTCATAACAGGATCGAAAATAAGCCAGAAATGCTCGACAAAGTTATTTAACCAGTCGACAGATTCAGGTTCTTCTTCTACGCGTGCCACTGCAAATTCACGTTGAATATCATCGCGGGCATTTCTTAAGAATCGACGGTTGGTAATATGATAATAGGTGCCTGAAATTAAAAAAAAAAAAAAAAAGAGAGAGAGAGAGAGAGAGAGAGAGAAAGGGTTAGGCAAAGTAAGGTAAGTGATACAAGAAAACCAAAAAAAAAAAAAACGAAATTTGGCTTCAGCAAATGTTGTATTCAAGCAGTGACACGGATATTAATTTTAATTATATATTTATATATTTTTATTACCAAGAAACATTGCTCCTGCAATAATTGTTGGTAAACCGCAGCCCCATGTAGAAAATAACCAGGCAAGAAAGCCTGTGACAAATATAATTCCAGAATGGTGCCATGTTTCCCCAAAATATAGTGTTTCCAGACACTCGTCAATCGAATTGTCCTTTTTTTCTGTGGCTCGTAAATTAAGCGATCCTCCTGGATTGCGTTTGGTTGAAAAGGAAGTCCATCCGACGCGAAACCAGTCTGGAATCCGCGGTGCGTGTGAACCGTGAGACGAACCAGCAGCAGGTGTCTTTGGTGTCTTTAGGGTACCGGAACGGCCTGTATATGATCGTCGTAAGGTACTACTGTGCCTGAGTCCAGGATTGACTACAGGCTTCTTTTGGGCTGCCTCGAGAGCATGTAGAATTTCGTTCGCATCGCTTGTTTCGAGTTCTGTCTGGAGTCCTTGATGTCTGTTACCCAGATTGCGAAAGTCTGGTAACATGTCCGCAGGAATGTTGGCTGTAGGCGGGGTTTTTCGTGTCTCGTTCTCCTCAATGGAGGCAATGTCTGTTGTCGAGACATCTTTAAGTGGAGGAATGATCTCGGTGTCTGGCTGGTCTTGCCTAGAGGAAGGCTGAGTTTCCATTGTTCAAATAGAATAAATAAAATAAAATAAAATAAGAAGCAAGAAGAGAAGAGGAGGAAACGGAAGAGAAGAAGAAGTCTTGACGGTTAAAAGGAAAAGAAAAAAAAGAGAGAGAGAGAAAGAATAGCACTTGTTACTCTATTTTTTTATTAAATTTTATTTTATTCTATTCTATTTTTCTTTCAATTACCCAGATTGTTTTTTTTCCCTCCCTCCCTCTTTCTCTCTTTCACCGTCCCTATTACCCCTCCCTCTCTCCTTCTTCCCTTCAATTGCAAATAAATGATGGGTGACGTGAAGGGCCTTGAGACAGACACATAGTTAGATAGTTAAAGAAAAAAAACATCTGATGAAATAAAGGCTAATATTGGAGGACAATATTAATATTGGTTTTTGACATACACAAGCACAACCACAACCACAGATATATACCTATAATTCCTATCTCTCTCTCTCTCTCTCTTTCTTCTTCTTTTTTTACACGCATAAAAGAAAAGCACCATTTTATTTGCCAGTGTTTATAGATAAAAATATGTACACATATGAATTGACAGCGGAGAATATGTTTTTTTTTAATTGAAGCCTAGGGTTGTACACACTCACAGACCTTTGGGTTTTGCTGTGCCTGACCCTAGGACTTGCCTTTTTGTTTTAGTCTCCGCTGGATTAGTATAAATCCCACTCAAAAAAAAAAGGGTCTTCATTTAGTTTAAGCTTATTATCTTTTGAGTTTTGTTTCAATTTAATTCCACAAGAATAGACTAGCAAGGAATTGGGTACCAGGTAAAGAAGTATCAGCCATTATTGTATCCAAGTCCAGTAAATTATTATAAATATCGAATATCTTGATTGCCTTTTAATTCAATCCAATCCGATTCATTTCAATCCAAATAGATTAAAAATTAAAATTAATTTACAGATTTTACTGCAGATAATAATAATAATCACTATATATGAACTTCTTTTCTGCACAAGATCCTTTTCTTATAACATGCAACCCATCGATACCAAATACAAAAGAATATTTACAGTCGGTTTCTATAAAGTAATATCCTATATATATATATAATAACATCGAGTCCCAATACTGTATTCTACACGCCCAAAACCACATTTCCTTATTTCCATATTTTCTTTCATACTACCAATACCACACAATGATATATCAATTAAGCAAAGGGCATCTATTTATGAACAATAAGGTGGAACAAAAATGAGAATCGACTTGTTTATGTGTAGTGTAATTGTAGGTGTAAGCGTAGTGTGTGAGTGGCGCGAGTGCAGATGTAGTGTGTATTGTGTATTGTGTAGTGATATAATGTCTCTTTTTCTTCTTCTTTTTAATTCTTAGAGAACGAGGCCTTTCGATTGAAGATCGCGTTTAGCTTCTTGAATTTCCTATAATTTTATTATTACAGAATAAATAGTAATAACAATAATAATCTCTGTTAGTTAAACTGACCAATACATAGATTTGGTAACTTAAAGGAAGTCTGCCTGTCTTTTTTTTTTTTTTTTTTTTTTGCTTACATGCATAAGTTCATTGAATGCATCAGGACAGTCACTAAATGTCATGATGTGCCAGCCCAAGTTTCCTAGACTGTAAGAACCAAAGGTCATCAATCCCCACCAAGGTAACTAATAAAAAGGTAAATATGAATATGTGAGTTGAGAAGATGGAGTTATTGTTTATATATATAGATGATTTTGCGCGTCATTTATTTTTTTGTATGTCTATTTCGTTACTTTTGTGTGTGTATGTAATTCTATGCATTATAAACTAAAACAGTAGATAAAGAAAGTATTTTACCACAGGGATGATCTTGTCCTGGATGGTTTCTGGCAAAGGTACAAAACCAAAGAAAAGGACAATGTAGGCTACAATGACAATGGCCATAACAGCAAATGTCTCGGTAGCTCTGGTCATTACAAGAAAAATTGGGGATGAAAGATAGAAAGAGAGATGAATGAGAAAGTTATGTAAAAGTAACCTGATGGTGGTGCTGGCTATTATTGCATTGGCTTTACACCAAATTACTCTTTTGCTTTCTCCACTGATGTTAATTTCACGTGATGTGACTTTGGAGTTTTAAAGGCATATTCGTTCGTTTATTCATCTGTGAAGGGCATTTGTTTATATAAAATGGATTTTTCACATTTTATTATTATATCAATGAACCAATTAAGAAAAGCATTACAGCATACAAGCCATTAAATAAACTCCAATTTAAGCTTCCAAAAGTCTAATATAGCAGTTGAATTTTTCTTGTAAAAGCTTAACTGTAATATATATCTATATTGGTGTGTGTATGTGTGTCTTAATATTTTTTCCTTGACATTGATTAGATAAACTTCTTTATTGTACTGTGTTTATCTTCATTGATAACTACCATTCTATACCGCAATTTTTGGGAATTTTTTTCTTTTCTTTTTCAATACCAAACCTAACCTTCTCTTGCATTCTCATATTCATCATGAAGGGCTTGCGGGACCACATTTTCCTCATAATACTGAGGTTGTTTCTACAAGGTAAAGTGTCTAGGATATGGTAAAGGCAACTAAAATAGTAGTAAAAAGCAAAAGCAAAAAAAAAGATGATGTCTGATTAAGAATAACAAGGAGCTATTTATATTAGAGAAAGACAGACAGACAAATATCCAAACAAAATAAATAGTATGTGGGCAGAGAGATGATCTTCAATGTCCATATAATGCAACCATATTACTCAATCGAGTACTGGCTGTATAATAACATAAACATGTCTCTTTTTAAATTCAATTGATATATAAAGTAGACAAAAAAAAAGAAGTAAACAGTATAAAATTCACAGCAATATGGCAAGAACCTAGCAGAGATCAAGTTAAATTATTCTGCAATATGTTTTGTTATAAAAACAACACTGGGTACACTATATATTCCAAACAAGAAAGAAAGATATGAAATCAGTCTGTGATTTACTCCAAAAGATTTAATGGCAAATAATAAGTCCGGAAGAATGTATAAAATTCAAAGCTTTAATACGAATGACACTGTCTATATTAAATGTGTGTAAACATTAAGCCTTTGATACAAATGTAATTTTTTTTTATTCATAATCATTATTTATTATATTTTTGGTTTAGGAATTTTTTGACGTTTTTTGATTGATACTTGATATATCAGTGACCAAGATCCATTAGCTTTTTATTTTTATTTTGGTCTTTAAAGAAAGAAAAGAAATCTATACAATACCAAGGTAAATTCTGAAATTGTCCGATTAAGTTTTTGTACAAATTTCATAGTTTTCCAATGACAATCTTATTACATGTAATAGCCACAAAAATAATGTGTAAGGGTAAAAGTAAAAGTAAGAGTAGGATTTGGGTATAAAATGACCTTGTCAAATGTAAATTGGTATGGTCTAGATAGGAATCATATTTCTTGATTGATCTTGATTTCTAAATGGTGCCTTGATCTGTGTAATATTTGCTGTACAAATATCCGAATAAGAACAGTTTCAAAGTTTTATTTTATTATGTATTAGAACTTTTACTGTAATTTATCAAATAACTGTCTACAAACAACAAGTACTTTCACAGACTTTGTCTAGGCTTTTTTTTTTTTTTCCTTTTTGACTTGTGTGATTTCCCAATACCACGTGAGTTAGAAATTAAGTTCTGGCTATTTATTACTGAATAGCGATGTCATTTCTGTACAAATCAAGATATAGTCAGCCTTGTGGAAATTTACCTCGTCAAAAAAAAAATTCTCGAGCTTAGATTTTTCTTTTGGTAGTCTATCTTTATTTTATATAAACTATTTGTTTTTTCGAACATGCTCTTTGTACCATGATTGGTATCACTATACACTAAGCAATCTGTTTGTCTTACTGCTAGCCCTATAATGATAAACATTAAACTGTTCAAGTTAATTGACATGAACAATATTGAAATCTGCTTTTCTGAAAGATCGCAAAATGGATAATTATAACAATCAAGCTGATAAATTTAAATGATAATCAATCAATATATATATATATATATTCTTGTTTTCAGAAGTAATTTTTTTTATTATCTAAATCATAGTAATAATAAAGTACTCTCTATGGAGCACAGGCTTTGGGCTCTGATTTTTTTTTTAAATATAATTTATATATAAAACCCCGTTTGGTCAAAGTTGGACAAATTGTTTCTGTGTGTATGATAACACTTTTGTAATAGTTACACATGCACACACAATTATATTCAGATTTTATATTTTGCAAAAACAACAAAAATAAAAATAAAGCATCGATATGTGTAAAGAATATTCGTATAGTTTCTGTATATCATAAAGGAGATTTGTGGTATTCTTGATAATTGTTTGATATTTGTACATAAATCGACATTTTGACTCAATAAGAATAATGGTTTTTCTTTTTGCTATTTTGTTTTTATACCCATATACATACATTTTATATATAAATATGTATATAAAAGGTATATATATATAGAGTATATACCATATCATTGGTGAATTTGATAATTAAAGTATTCATTAGGCTACAAGGGTAAAAGAAGATAATATAAATATAAATATAAATATAAATATCATTATTTTGTATTTTGATAGTAAATTCATTACAACCGATCTTCTCTTATTTCATTTTTCTTATTTGTACATCACCATAAAAGACATGCACTTCCCGGCCCATCGGGTTATTCACTTTGAGAAACGTTTTACTTGTCATTTTCAAGCTGTGATCCAAATTATATATATATTATCCATTTTCTTTTCCTTTTCTTTCTCCTCACCCTCCATCTCTTGGATCTATACATATACAGGCTGTGTAGGGCATTGTACTATACTATCTGTATATGTGTCTCTATTGAATTGTATACAGTTTCATAAGAAAAAAAAGTAAAAGTCAATATAGTCAAAGCCACCTCTGTACAAAAATGACATCGCTATTTAGTAATATAGAGCCAGAATATAAGGTTTCTGACTTACAGAGAACAAATATAAAAAAATAAAAAAAAGAGAGATACGGAATTAAAGAAAGAGATAGTGATAATGATAATGATAATTGTTCATATTTGTGGCCTGACCACTCAACAGCCATTTTGATTCCTCCTTTCTTTTATTTTTTATTTTTGGTACTTATTTACACAGATCAAAACAGTACGTTACTACCAAACACAGTGTAACAAGTGTAACATATTGGTGTATAAATATATGTACATGTACATTCTTATTCTTATTCTTATTTTCTTCATTCAGCCCTTTTGGGGGGAGAGGAAAGGGGTAGAAGGAGATTCATGTATGTCTATCTTAACACAGCCCTGTCACAAAATGATGCGGCGATGACTATGAGGACTGCTTTAACAAAAACCAAAAACCAAAAAAAAAAAAAAAGAGCATGAGTTACATCTATAAACGAAAGTCTGGATGTTCAAGCCTTACATTTGATTGATTGATTGATTGATTTATTTTATATAAAATAATAAAACAAAATATACATATTAGATATCCGCTCCATAGAAACAAACTTTCTCCCTTTCTCTCTATTCACACACTCACACAAAGCGAACACATACGCACACATATATAAATATATACTATATATATATATATATTATTATTTTTTCTCACTACTATTAAAGCTAAAAAGAACAAGACAAAAGGCAAATAAGAAGATAAAAATGCAAGCACAACCTTTTGCAGATTCCCATCACAACCAACCATTCCCAATCTTTGGCTTACCCAACACAGCTTTATTTGAAAACACAATGCCAATCAGAGGACAAAAGTCAGAATGGAAACCCAACAATGACCAAGAGAAGCGTAAATGGGAAGAACTTGGAGACCCAGATAACAACAATCAAGCAAACAAGTTATTCCGTAAGATAGTTTACATGTTAACATACATAATTGAATACTCATGTCTGTCTGTCTGTATTATTTAGAAAAAGAAGAGTCTGAAGAGAATAGCGCATTTGAAGGCACACTAGGCAAGTATTGTTTCTTTTCTTTTTGTATGTAGATAGATAACCTCTATTGTCATTCGGACGTTATTAATATCATTACTAATAGGTAAGCTAGAATATAATAATGTGAAAGAAAGGATAAAATGGATTTGATGATATTTACCCATTTGTAAGTTATAACTTTCTGTTTATTACAATATGATAAATGAGATAAACCCCAAAGAAAAGAAAAGAAAAGAAAGAGATAATGAATGAATGTAATAAAGGTGGCTCGATTATTAAGCAAGAGCTGTACATACATATCTTTAATTAAATTTGTCTTATTAAATCATATCGCATATTCGTTACATCACATATAGTTTACATAAATCAGAGGAACAACAGACGAGACGTAAAGAACAAAACAGGGCTGCTCAGCGTGCATTCCGGGAGAGGAAGGAGCGATATGTAAAGGAACTCGAGATGAAGATCGAGAGGATGGAAAAGGAATACACAAAGAACAATGATGCCCTCAAGAAAGAAAACGAAGAGCTCCAGGCCTTGGTCAAGAGCATGGAGGCCGACATCTATACTCTGCGGGGAGCGGTCTATGCTTTCGAAATCTCTGCCAACAAGCTTCGGGAGGCTGGTATTGATGTGTCTCTAGAAAACAGTCAGACCATGTCTCCACCTGTCTCGGGACCACAGCAGCCTCTGGTTGTTGAAGATAAGGTTTCACCTGTACAACTACCACTATCCAACATGTCCTACAACAACAACAAACAATCTAATGGTGGCAGTGATATGATGGATATGTTTTCTCCAAATCTCGAGGAACAAATCTATCAAAGCCACGACTCGAATACAATGGTCCGGAATGATAATGACAATAATGATCATAATCATAATCACAATCATGGTGATAATGGTAGTGATTTAGTAGTAAGAGGATTAAATAACAACAGCAATGGAAGAGGAGGGTTAGAATTAGGATTAGGGGGCGTGCCTTGTCCAACAGAAGGATTTGTTCAAAGCACAACCAAAAGATTCGAGCATGAACCACATCCGGCAACTTTGACAGGAGTCAAGATGATCCCTTACTCACAGGTCTGGGAACGATTGTCAGATCATCCAAGAATCGAAGAGGTGAATATTGAAGAACTTTGCATGGAGATGAAACAAAAGGCAAAGTGTTCTGGTTCCGGGGCCGTCATTGAGGAAGAAGAACTTGAAAAGGTCTTGCGCAGGCTGGACAATGGCATTTAATATATATATATAAGAAAGCAACAACAACAAAATGTATAGAAAAATAAGTAACTAAGTAAATAAATATGAATAAAATTGCGTATAATCGCTCAATATAAATATAAATACATATCTACTGTAAGCCAATGAGAGACAGACAGAGAGATAAAGAAGAACAGAAAAGTAGAATGATTGAATCAATTTTTACCCTGAAAAGATGGTGCCATTACACTGTGGAAAGATTCGATCAATATATGCATCTACTATACACTACACGCATAGCTGTATATAAAATTGTACCTATTTTTTTTTGACCAACAAAAAGAAAACTATGCAATACAATACAATTAAGTACAATTCAACTTGCCTTATCTTTCCCAGTACACATTTATTTCTTTTCTTTCATGTATTAGGTATAATCACTTGTTATTGGTGTATATGTATAGATAATGTCTGTAGGATAGAAACTCGACTGTTTTTTGTTTTTTTTTTACTGCGCAGTTATAACTACACTGTCCCCACCATTCTTCTTCTTCTTCTTCCCTCTCCTTAACAGCTCTAACAAGATAAATTATATATATATATTGTACAAGGAAAGTAGTATGTATCTTCAAATATAATCAATTCTTTCCGACTGAAATTCTGTATAGTGGTAATGGTTGTGTATTTCAAATGATTCTTTAAAAAGAAGTATATTTCTCATCAATATAATGTCAGAAATAAATAAATAACAGACTGATTGATGTATTTATTTATTTATTTTTCTGGTGCATTGTATTAAGCTTTTTTTTTGAGGCTTTATAAATAGATATATTGTATGTATATTGAGGCAATTGACTTGTGAATATCAAGACAGATGTCTTATCTTTCTTGTTTATTAATACTGAATGTAATGTATATCCTGGAGATCAATGACCAGCAATTGAATGATCTTTAGATATCTGGTATTCACATCATTACACATGGCATATAATTTATATAAATCGAGGCTTATTTTATTTTATTTTATTTTATTTTATTTTATTTAATTGTGGATATGGCCAAGGTCAGTTCTCAGAGTGACAAAAGATTAGAATGTAGTAGAAATGAAAATCAGATAAAATACATATATTCTTCTTGCATATTAAATTACTACCAAGGTCATGCAACAATTAGATAATTTTTATATAAGCATCTCTAATCTATTCAAGCTATTCTTTCACACTTATATATCTATCTAGATGAATTTAACTTGCAGGTCAGAACAACTCAATTGAGCTGGATTCTGAAGAATACAATTCCAAAGATTGCCCGTCAATACCCTTGAGCGATACGATGACTCAATATGCGCAGATTCGCAAGTATTCACGAGTGCTAAGGCTTGAGCATCTTTTATTTCTTCTTTCTCTCTAAATATGTATATTTCCTTTAATGTAAAAAAGTAAAATAAATAAACCCTAATACGTTTCACATTTATATGAAATGCAGGCTCATCAAGATTATACACCTTTCTATCTATTGGTGATAGTCCACATCGATCTAATTAAGCATTGCACTTTTCGATCTTGTTCTAGAGCCTATTTTTATATACAGTGATTTACACACACACAAATACAAATACAAATACAAAGATGTGAGATTTCTGCTTATTTAATGAGTACACCCTTAACCCGGCTCTCACCAAAAAAAAATTGGTTCTAGAAACAAAGAGCACTTGATATTTTACTTTAGTATTCTTTTTATTATAATAATTTTGTGTCATTTCTAATCAGAATTTGCCCATGAAAACCTTGCGTTCTATTAGTATTAATTATTTTCAATAGATAATATATTCTAATATTTTTTTAAGAGAAAATAATTCAACCAATTGGATTTCTGTTTTTTTTTTTTTTTTTTTTTTTTTTTTTTGCAACCAAATATTAATAATACTTGTTACCTGTTACCTGTTAGCTGTAATTGTACTTGTCGTACTCTTACTTGTCCTTGTACTCTTGGATCTCGCTTTTAACTTTTATATTTAAACATATTTGAAAATAATAATAGAGTACAAATCTACTTTTGTTTGTTATATTTGTAACAATCATCTTATTTATTTTTGTTTTCGCTATTATGATTATAATTATAATTATGTTCTGGGCGTTTATACTTTAATCTCAATAATTCATCTCTTATATCTTCTATATATATATATACTAATGGTGTGCTGCACCATGCTGCACTATTCTGCACTATTCTGCACTGCACTGCACTGCACTTTGCTGATATTGATATTTATACTAGTATCAGTGTGTTGTGCATAAAATAAAATAATAACAAACGCGTACATCTTGTATAGTTTGTAATAATAATAATAATAATAATAATAATAATAAAAGGCGTGATTTTGAATATCAAATATCAAATATTAAATATTGAGTATTGAGTATTGAGTATTGAGTATATATTTTTTGTTTATTTGTGTAAAATCCAAAATACAAGATTCGGATTTGCGACCTCTTTTGTATATACAAAACAAAATATTAGAGTATTTCTATAGGTAAATGATATATATTGACTTTTTGTACACAAATAACCCTAGAGAATTTCAAGAAATAAGAAAGAAAGGCAGAATCAAAAACGGAAACCCCCGCTTTTTTATTTTCTTAAAAATATATATTGTGATTCCTGCTCTTGAAAGTCTCTTGTGCTAGTCTTTTTTTTTTCTGCGCCTTGCAGTATTACATACATATATAAATTACCCTTGTTGATTAGCATGAATGTAATATCCTAAATTTATGTTTTCATCCGTATGTACATCTTTTCTTTTCTTCTTTATATATATATATATATAATATAAATTATTCAGTTGTTCTTGCCAATTGTCTTGAATTTTCGCTCTTTCTTTTATATTTATATTTATATTTAAATGTATTTATATTATCGTAATCTATTACCGTGTCTTTCCACGTTGTCTATCCCGTTACCCTGACAATGACCCCGTTCCTTATAAATATTGTTTTCCCAAACTACAACAACCAAAATAAATATTTATATATAAAACAATTATATTTTTCTTTTTCTTTTTTTTTCAAAAACTTCTCTTCTCTTCTTTCTCACTCACTTACTTACTACCTTGATCTTGATATTGATAATTTACCTATTACCAGCATCTAAATTCAAATCTATACACCACACCACATTACATCAAACAAAGAGATGACTCCAATCAACCACAACTACAACCACAGACTCGAATGGAACCCTACACATCCTCTACCTTCTCACAAACGTCCTATGGTTGCGCCACACACCACAAATCCTAGACAGTCCTCTCAGTCGTCTTTTGGTAACACCTTGCCAAAGGTAGCCGTTCCACCAGCCTCGGTCGCACGACGCAGCAATGTATCATCCATTCCCACCACAATGTCAACGATTCCTGAACACAGCCAACCCGCACCATTGGCATCACAACCACAACAACAACAACCATCAACACCACCTCAGACTGTGTCAAAAAGACAGGCTCGCCTAGAAGCCCGCCTCTTGGAAGATGATGTCCCGCTCGCTCTCTTGGCATACAAAAAAGGTTACACGCCCATACACGGCACACAGCCATCACACAATGAGCCCCAAGTTAATCAAATGATGACAGTCAATAAGCGTACAAGCTTACCACCAAGTACAGGCACCAATACTAATAATGTCATTTCGTCCCGTCACCATAACCGCAACAACAACCACAACCACAACCACAACCACAACCACAACCACAACCACAACCATAGCCACAGCCACAGCCACAGCCAGAACCAATCTTCTGCCTCACCTTCCTCTTCCTCCAACTCTTCCAAACCTCTCGCCTCCTCGTCACACAAAAGATCCCAAAAACGTCCCTCGTCTGCAGACATATCCAAGAAACCACTGTCTTCAATGACTGCGAAACAGAGACACTCCATGAACCCAGTCCTCCTCCCTGCAGAACCACTCATCTCAGATACAACTCAACCTCAAACAAAACACAAGCGATGGTTCTCCCTTCGTCTCCCTACCAAACCTTTTCCTAAACCTACTACTACTGCCATTGCAGCCTAATAGTCTAATAGTCTAACTACAAAGTAAAATACATAGATAGATAGATAGATAGATAGATAGAAAGAAAAGAAATATACTTGCCTTTCTTTCTATTCTTTCTTTTCCATCATCTTTCTCGCCATATATTAGTTCAATACGCAAAACAAACCAAGAAAGAAAGAAATCCCTCACAAATAATCATGTATATGCAAACCATTGTAACAAACTTTCCTCTTCTGTAATCAATTTTGTATGTATGTATTGTATTGTATTGTATTGTATTATGTGACTGCTTAAATACGTATAGAAATTTATATATATATATATTTGAAGGAACAGGATACTACATTACATTACATACATTACATACATACACTCCACACTTTCACACAAACCAAAGAAAAAGAAAAAAGAAACTTTGTATCCCTTTCCCCCTCTTCTCCTTTCTACTCCTTCTACTCCTTCTCTCTCTCTATTTAACACATACTTACCTATACAACTTCACATGTTTAACCGTGCATATATATATATTTCACCACTGTCTTTTACAATATCCCTTATTCTCCTAATATTATGAAACCTGAATTTCCTTACAAAATAATAATAATAATAATAATATACTTCTTGGCTTTATCTTGACCCTACATTTGATGTTACTGACAGCCAACTACAAAGTTTTCTTTATATATGTATGTATGTATGTATGTATGTATGTATGTATATAAATTTAAATAGAATTTTTTTTAATATATATATATATATATATATATATAGTAATTAGTTAAATATCTTTCATATCATCAAGATCTTGTACTTCTTGGTTTGCTCGGATTTGGTTCCTTTGTCTTGAATGAGACAATTGGTAAAACTCTTCACATTTCTCAAACACCCTTCCGGCTCCCTAATAATAATCATGCATATATAATATATATATATATAAAACAACAACCTTTCATTAGAGTTCTATACATATATGTTCTTTTTTTTTGGGTTTTTCTGCAATCAATTGAATTCAATTTAACTCTATCTTTATGTTGCTTGTTTTTTTTTTTTTTTTTTTTAATATTAATATTTGTTCTTACCCTGGGTGGAATTGGTATAGGATAAAATACGGTGTACCAACGGCTTTGTTTATATATATATATAGTAATACATTATTATTATTATTATTATTATTTAAAAGGAAGAAACTTACTATCGATCACCAATATTAAAGAATCGCTTTAGGTTCTCTTTTGCTCCAAAGTTATACATATTCACAAAGATCTATTATACAATAAAATTAATCTCTAGACTAGATGCTTTTCACATATATTGAATTGTCTTAAAGTACCTCTCCTTCAGACTTTGCAAGTCCTTTTTCATAATAATTGTTGTAAAATTCAACAGTAGTTTGTGCTGTCAAGATCTATTATTCCAAAAAGTAAATAAAATAAAATAAAATAAAATAAAATAGAGAAATAATACATACGAGATAGTAATGCCATGCACACAAGGCTCCTAAAGAAGTATATGTATATATATAGAAGGTTGGTAGGGTTAAATTAATGAGTATAGGTGAGTGAGTTCATAGATTGTATGTATATATGATTTATTTACCTAATGCCAGACCCATACATATCGCAAGGATCAGTGCAAAGGCTAAAAGTGGACGAGGGAAATAATATGGCCACTATGTTTATGTGTGTTATGGATTATAATATCTCCTTATTTCCATTTCTATAGCATGTCAATTTTATTTACCTCTGTGTTAACAAAGTCTATAGAGATAATAAAGGGTCTCCAAGAAAACACAGCAAAGTATGCAGCCGATACTACCATGTAAGTCATAAAGAGGACAAAGTATCTGTGGTTAAAGTGTCCTACACAGTTGTGGATCCAAGGACCTAATAAAGAAACACATTTATTATATTAATAATAAATCTTTTCCAAGATCCTTGATACTTACAATGATGATCAAATCTAAGCACACACGAGTTACAAACACTACAATGATGAGCTCTCTCTGGTTTTGGTTGATGACCTAAATATCAAAAAAAATTAAAAAATTAAAAAAATAATATAAAACACTTACATTTTTTGCATGTTCTTGGGTATTCATCATATTCTTCCATTTCTAACAGTACTTGTCGGAGCGAAGCCTCTTGTTCCTAAATGATAACATATACACACATATAATAATTAATAATAAGCTTACCTTGGTTTGGATCAACCTCCCCCACCCAAAGGCTTAAATTTTTATTTTAAATTTTTTATTACTCATCCTGCATCTACCTCGGAAGTCTGGTCTGGTCTACTGGTTCGTCCAGAATCTGCAGTCCCACCTGGTGGTGTTCTGATTGCCATGTAGTAATGAAAGTGGATGCAGTAGACCATGTAAAAAGTAAAAGCCAAGGTTGCGATTATGTAGATTCTTCTTAGGATGGATGCATCGGACCAATTGTAAGTATATGGAAAGACAACAAGGTAATATGCCAGAGCACAAAGGTCAACTAGTATAACTGCAATCACAATAAACAAGGGCCCAATATTCCATATTGCTCTGTCTACAATTTTGGCCATTTAATAAAATAAAATAAAATAAAATAAAATAAAAGGGTTTAAACGATGTCTCTCTCTCTCTCTCTTTTTTTTTTTTTTTTTTTGTATATATATATATATATACATATTAATATTAAAACCCAGAATTCGTAACTATCGTTTTTTTTTGTTTTTTGTTTTTGTATATATGTGTTATTATTATTACTTCTCTTGTTGCTGATTTATAACAACAGATATACATTTTTTTTTAAGCCATAGAAGGCGGGTGTACAAAGTCTAAACCAAAGGTTAAAAATAAATGTATATATAATTTTTATTTTTTACGCAGAAACAAATTAAAAATGCGCAAGACAAATCTTAAAAAATAAAAAATAAAATCAAGAAATCAAGATACGCATATTTTATTTTAGAGGTCAATGGGTTAAAACGTATCTTTGTGTACATATACATATACATATACATATACATATGTGTGTTGTTGAACCAAAGTCACGTTTCCATATTTGTACTTGCTGCTCTTTCTCTTTCTATCACCCCCTTCTCACTCTCTCCCTCCCCTCCCCTCTCCTACTTTCTATTTTATTTTATTTTTATTTATTTTTTGAGAGGCACAAGGTTTTCCTATTGGACGATCCTTTCTTGTCAAAAAAGAAGAAAAGAAAAGAAAAAGAAAATAAAATAAAATAAAATAAAAAAAAAGTTGTTAGAGATCCTTTTTTTTTCTTTTGTTTTCTTTTTCTTTCTTGAATTCATAATATATATATATAAAAGAAAAGAAATGTATTGTTTTACAATTTGCCTGACAGGTGTCTTATTTGGACTCATGGCTTTTGCTGGGAGCTCGTCGGCCAAACCGATAATTGCTGGTCCTACCGTACGAATGGCAGCCACAAGTCCAGCAAATGGCCCAAGTGTGGCTATCAAGAATGAATCGAGTTTCTGTCTGTTCTTGCCACCCCGTCCTGGATTAGAGATCGCTCCTTATGAAGACAATGCCCTTCCATTCTGTACAGCTCCTAATCTTGTCCCTCACTCCAAGCCAATACCACAAGGTAAAAATGATAATAGTATTGAATTAATTTTTATTGTTAATAATCTTTTTCTTTTTCTTTCTTTGAATCAATATAGGCTTTATTACTACGGCTCATTACTTAAAGACATCCAAATACGAACAAGTCACTGGATACCTCAACATCTCAAAATACTCTCTCAAGTCCAGCGACGGTGGAGGTCAATACGATTCTCATGCTGGCCGCAAACCAATCGGTGCGTTCTGCAGAGGCTATGACTTTTTTGTCAGCATGATTGAGCCTGATCTCGGCCGATTCTGTATTCGATGTTGTCAAGACACCGTAAGTAAAGAATATACATTTGGTTTTCTTAACAACTAATTGTTTTTTTTTCTTTCTCTCTCTCTTTTAGCTTGACTGTCCTACTGGTCGATCTGAATATGGCTGTCTTCGTATCATCTCTGGTGATTACTCAAAGCTTGGATCAAACTCTACTCGATCTAGCAGAAACACTACCATGTCTTCTTCGTCTTCTTTTTCATATAAAGATGATAGCAAGTAACTATTAATTGATTGATTAATTAATTGATTAATTAATTATTCATAAGATAGTTCATCTATATTTCTTATTGAACAGTAGTGATTGATCATTCTTGTCGCCCCATGTCTTTCTCTCTTTTTATATATAAGCATTTATGTATATATTGTTTAATTAGAACACAAGAAGATTGTATACATTTTTTCTTCTTCAATTTAATAAGTATTATTATTATTATTATTATTATTATTATTATTATTTTGTCTATCTATATATCTTGATGTTATTATTTCTTCTTCTTTATAAAGTCATTAAATAAAGTACAATACAATACAATACAATACAATACAATATACTACTTTATATTACTTTATATGTATATAGTCAATTGATTTGTGGATAAAGGAGACCATTCAAATACTTGTAGATATCTTGTTTAATCTCCCTGAATAGGCCACTAGTAATATAAATAAATAAATAAATAAATAAATTATTGTATGGAATGTACAAGTGTGTGCTGTACATATAGAGATATACCGCAAACAATAAACATAAATGTATAGATGTGAATAATTGTCGTATTAATTAAGATTGTGAAATTAAAATTAAAATAAAATTAAAGTAGAAATATCTAATCTTACCTATCATTTGTATATAAATTATGGTCGTTATTCAAGTAAATAGGGCGGGAGGTGCAGCTTCTTGCACGATGCTGGCTGTCATGTTGGCATCACACAGGTACTGAGTAGGAAATTCAACAAGGTGGCCTTGGATTTCGTTTAATTTGTTGAGAATTTCATCATTGGTGTGTAGATGTGGATTCGCGATATGACCTGCATGTACATTTGCGGTGTCAGGAACAAATTTGCGGTGCCTCTCGAATGTATGGACTGAAACAACCACATAATTATGTAATTAAGAACAGTGAAATGTAATTTTTTTTTTCATTTTTCATTTTTCATTTTTCATTAGTAATAATTGTATTGGTTCTTAGTATTAGGGCTAAGAAATTTGACTTTGGATTATAAATTATTATTATTATTTTTTTTTAAAAAAAAAAAAAAAAACATTTACCAGTATCATCTGGAACACAGCGAAACAAATGGCGATAGACTTTAGTATTTCTCTTGGCAGTCTTTTTCCAATTGGAATTAAAGGAATCGATTAGCGGATCCAATACAAGCCTGTCTTCGGTAGACAGTCCATCATTATTGTTATTGTTATTGTTATTATGTTGGGAGAATGTATGGTCCTGAAGAGGAAAATGGCCGCCTTTTGGCCCCTGAAGCAACCCGAGATGCTCTTTAAATAATTCTATCCTTAATGTCAGTGCATATCTTCCTGCCATGTACTGATTATATACATAACACAACATAACACAACACAACACAATACAGTACAGTACAGTAAAGTACAGTACAGTACAGTACAAGAAATGTACAAATTTCATACATATACATATATCAAGGATACTTAGTGTCTTTTTTTTTTTAACATGACAAAAATAATAAACAGAAACAGACAGACAATTATATATATATATATATATATATATATATATATATATATAAACTTACAGGCTCTCCGTTCATTCTCGATGGCACAAGGTCTGTGTCTTCAATAACAACTGCAATTTCAGAGTCTCTGTGGCCAAGTTGGGATCTACCCAATCACACCCAAAAGAAACAAAAGGAGATCAGAACATATATATATATAAAGAGAGGTAGGTAGGTAGGTAGGTAGATAAGATGAGGCAAAGTGAGGTGAGGGGTTGTTAGAAAAGGAATCAAAGAAATTTTTTTTTAAAAAAAAGTTGTACAAATGTGTGGCTATTTTTATTTTATTTTATTTGCTTTCTTTAAAGAGGTATATTCTTTACCTGTCATTGATATTGGCTTTTATTCGTTTTGTACATTTTACATATATACACAAAAGAAAATTAGTACAATTTCAATAATAATAAATAAATATTCAAATCATATAAATCAAACAAGTAAAATAAATATAAAAGGGAATCTTACCTGATCCACATAAAACAATCTTGTCATCAATGATCATCAATTTGGAATGAATGTAAACCTGTTCGGTTACATAGTCTAGACGCCCATCAGACATGTTTCCTCGAATACATCCTGGCACAAACTTTGATGCCTGCACACCCACGTCCTCTGAGCCAGAGTGCACGTGTATCCGTTTTTTAGCCTTGTGGTGTTTTGCGCTATTAAGAATAAGAGAAGCAGGCACAGGCACAGGCACAGAAGTAGGCGCCGAGGCAGAAGCAGAAGCAGAAGCAGAAGCAGAAGCAGAAGCAGAAGCGGACGCAGACACAAAAGCAGGAACAGAAGCAGGAACTGAGGGATACTGATACTGATACTGATACTGATAGTTGTAGTTGTATTGGTTTTGGCTCTGATCTTCACTGTCACTCTTTTCAGTCTTACTTTCGAACCCTCTACTCAGTGTAGTGTCAGATCCTGTCTGTGCAGCTGTTTCTATTGTAGGCTGTCTGGACAGAATCGATGATTCATGTGGTACAAACGGCTCATTCGTAAATTGCTGTTTAGTCTGTGCGTTGTCACTGGTGCTAGTGCTATTGATATTGATATTGATATTGATATTTGTGGTGGTCGATGTGATCTTTCCCCAATTCCGTAAGCTGTAGAAACTAATGTACTCTTCTGCGGGTATATTGACTGCCTGTAGTCTTTCTAGAATCGAATTCCCACCCCTTGAGATAGACATATATTGGTAGTGAGCCACTGATCTACAAGAAAGACAAAATAAATAGACATGGATAGTTTAGCTATAGAGACATAAGACCATGTGTGTATTATACCTTAGAGACATGGACCTCAAATCAGTATTGTTAAAGTCTCCTTCGAACCCAGGGGCACACGGAATTACGACAATGATTCTAAATTTCTGGCCTTCCCAATGTGCACGTTTAATACGCTCGACTAGGGCCTATATGCCAAACATATTCATAAATACATAAATACATACATACATACATACATACATACATACATACATACATATGATTTCTTGCTTACTTAATCTCAAAAATAATACATACCTCTCCAATCTTGTTCTTGATAATCTTATCATCTGGATGTGTGGCTGCAACTATTAAACAAAGGCAAAAAAAAGAGGGGGGGAAGAGGGAGAGATTGTTAAAAGATACATCCCTAGATATTTAGATTCATTTTGTCATTCATGCCCATTAGCACTTACTGAAGAACTGGTTCTCTATGTAAATAAAGTGTTTGGCTTTTGATATACATTCCATATAAGCAGTATAAATTGAATGCTATATAAAATTACAAGCATGTATATATATTTATAAATCATTAACACTTCTTTTACCTCAATTCCTTTTTTCTTCTTCTTCTTAAATAGATATACTCCTATTGTCTATTCTGGTTTATTATCTGTTATTTCCTTTTTGTTTACCTCTCTAGGCACACCTTGACTCCAACCAGCACTACTCCGTACAACTTGAATTCGACAAGTGCCACGAAATTTACTTTCGTCTCTACTTGATACATACTCTCCTTTTGGCATCAAAAATGGCAAATCACTACGATCTTTAGCTCGTGTGGACTTTACAAAATTCCATCTTTGTACAAAGTGCCGTGCAATATCTCTAGCCGGAGGACCAAGCTGGTAATAAACCAAACAAAAAAAATAACAAAAACAACAACAAAAAGAAGTATTATTGCTGTGTATATATATACATTATTCATCTTACCATGGCTACATGAACATCATGCCACGGCATTCTTGGTGTAGTTTTCTTGTCGATAAGGGATATATTATATTGAGACACTATATATATATATATATATATATATATTTATTTATTTATTTATTAATATTAATATTAATCAAGAGAGTAATTACCATTCTTAAAGTCTTTTATCCTTGGATTGGAATAGTCTTGGCCAGGAAAGATTTGATTGTCTGAATTGTGAGGCCCACCATAGTCACTCAATGTGTGTTCCTGTGTGTCATATCGACTACAAGTAAAATTAATTTCAATTTCAATTTCAATTTGGCTTGATTCTTTATTAATCAATCAATTGGTTAGTTAATACAATACCCAAAGCATAGGTCAAGACCTCCAATAAATGCCAGTCTGTGATCAATCACTAGAATTTTCTATTTTGATTTTTGATCCAAAGAGGCTTTAATATGTATAGATTACAAGTTAAATAATCACAATGTCTTTACCTCATGGTGTGCCCACAACCACAGGGTTGTACTGGCATGTCTTTGCACTATTATCAACAAACAAACAAAACAAACAAACAGAAGAAAAAAGAGTAAATAAATGTATGTAAATTTGAAGACCATGGTAGTTTTGGATCTTGGTACTCGATATTCATTAATCAATCAAGAAAAGGGTTCTTACCGATAATGTTTGGGTGAATGTTGCTCAACCAATCGACGGTATGTTGGGAGTCCAAAGGAAGGACAGGTTGGTTCTTGTAGACGACAATGTAGATCAAAACACCCTGGCTCGCTTTTCTTTTCAATAGTCTGTCAATCCGGTATTCGTCATTTTCTTTTGGAGGTCTTTGAAGATACTATATATAATAAAGAAAAAGAAGGATAGTCATTAAAGTAAAAAAAAAAACAAAAAAAAAGATCATTATTTTCATAATACACACACTAATATATCAAGATACCTCTTTAAATTTATTTATATTTGACCAAATACAGAAGAAAGAAAGAAATACTTACAAGTTCTGGACTCTTTATTATTGTTATCATTAGTATTTTGGTTTATACACCACATACACGCAAAAGTATGTTTAATGAATGAATGAATATCAATAGAACAAATATGTACATACGCACAGTTTCTGTTATCCTACTCACCAGCCACCAGTCTTCGATGTATATTTCAGATTTTGCTGATAAAATTGCCTCTGCAACAGCCTCAAAATAATCTAATTATTAATTAATTGATTAATATATATATATATATATCTAATTACATACAATTGTATTTACCTTTGGCATCAATAAACCATTTTGCTTTTGCAAGATTACGGGGTGGTGCAAACGACTTGAAGCGATGATTTGTCACCCAGGTACTCTCTTTCTGGACCTTGACCAGATTTTCCATCCACTCGTCACAGACTCTTGTGGTCGGACACTTTAGTTCAATTGATCTCGAGCTGTTTGATATTCTGATCCTACTGTTCTGATGATACGCTGCAAATTTCTTGGTCACACGAGAGACCTTGAAAGTATTGTCAAAAAGAAACACATCACTAGGAGAAGAACAAGCAATATCTTTTGAAAACGCAATATACCTATATATATATATATATATATATATACACACACAGAGATGTTAGTAAGAATAATATATATATATATATATGCTATGTAACATACGAGTCTCTGAGTATAACCCATTCTTTGCCTCGTCGAGTCGGTCTAAAGGACTGGATGAGAGATGGAAGCGCCGGACTGACTTTGGTCTCTAGGTAGCCCTCTTTTCCTTTCCAGCCCATGTCTTTTACGATACTAATCGCACCGAGTTCCAGAAACTCACAGAGGTCTAGGCTTGTTGAAAATCTAGAGAGCTGGATGATTTCCTCGAGGTAGGTCTCCAGACCAACCCTTCTCTTCATCAATGTTTCATGCGACACCCTGTCCTTGTCCTTGTCCTTGTCCTTGTCATCGTCGGGTTGCGAAATGCGGATGATCAAGGCGGTGCTGATCAACCGAGAAAGCTGACTAGGAAAAGAGGGCGGGTGGGCTAAATGACTCGAGACCTTGGCTTTGAACGTGAGGATCAGATGGAGGTTGTAGACTTCGATGATCGAACGCTTGATAACCCACTTGATGTCTCCGTATTGAAGACTGATTCGAAATATCCACAGGCGCTGTAAACCAGATTGGTCCAATTCAGAGTCTGTCACCGACACCTTTTTATATGTATAAATGAGTGAGTGAGTGAGTGAGTGAGTGAGTGTGTATGGGTGAGTAAGAAGTACTTGCCATTAGATTATCAAATATAATAGGTGACTATTATCATCATCATTATTTTATTTTATTTTGGTTGATTAATTTTGTACACAGTCCCCCCACCCAATAAGCTGTGTTAGTCTTTTGAATAATTCTTTGGCTGTGTTCATGGTAGTTGTTGGGCGCTCACCAATCCATGTTCACGACCGTCTGTATTTTGTACTTTTTTTTTGTATTTCGTTATTGTTGCAATTAATGTATATATATATATATTAGTAAAAAAAAAAAGTGTAGAAAGTATTCTGGCAATATAATCAAAGAACAAAAAAATCAATATGTACATACCAAGCGGTACTGAATAATCTTGGTCCACATTTACATGCGAAAGAGCATTGACAACCCGTAGTTTATTCAATGCCTTTTCCCATTGGGTTTTTGGTACTCTGGCCACTTGCTCTAAAATATTATCATTAATTAAATGTCCATTATCCATATTTGCAATGCTATTATTGTTACTACTGGTATGGTATGGTATTTTTTTTTTTTACCTGGGTGGTCAAGGGTGTGTGTAACATGGTCTGGTTCAAGCTGAGTGTCATGAGTGTCATGAGTGTCATGAGTGTCATGAGACTCACCAAGAAACTCCTCATTGTTGTTGTTGTTTGTGATTGTCAATGCATCCATAGTTGAAACTTTGGTTGCACTTGTACGCTGTTGGTCGGCTGGGCTGGATATTTGTTTTATATCAGGCTCAAACGGATTTTCAAAATAGCCTGACTTTGATTCTGCTAGATCGGCTGCCCTTGCTCCTTCTCTGGCCACCTCTTCCATGCAAGGTAGATGATCATCGATGCTGTCAACTACAGGGCTATCATACACATAACCCCGGCTCTGTTCATACTTGTATTTGTATTTGTATTTGTATCTATAGCCATTGACATAAGCGTAATCATAATCATAACTGCCACGTTCATGTTCTTGTTCATGGTTTTCCTCTCTTTCTGATTCAGGTAGATCCTTTTTTGGTTCTTCTGCTACTACTTTTTGTTGTGGTTGTTGTGGTTGCATTGTAAAGGACATTCGTTGAATGAGCGAGTTCCAACGATTGGTCGGGCTTTGATCTTCATTTTTGAGAGATTCTTTTGACTTTCGCCTGTCTCTTTGATCTCCAGTAAATCGATAGAGTGGAACATGCAAGCTAGAGTGGTATTGGTTACATGATCCGAGCTTTGTTGGTTTCTGGTGTTGTTCTTGTCGTTTCTGCCCAGAAGTCTGGTTTACAAAGTATTCAAAGTTGTTTGGGATTGTATTTGCCATGATGGCTATCAGTCTGAATAACCCCAAAAGGAATTATAGATTAATAATAAGAGCAAGAGTAAGAGTCAAAAGAAGAAGAAGAAGAAGAATAAGGAATATGTCCTGTTCTTATAATACTTATTGTTGTTGTATATGTATATTTCTCTCTTTGGTTTGAATATAATTGTCATTTAGCTGAACACATGAATACACAAGCACAGACTGTGTCTCTTTTCTTATGTTCCTTAATGATGATATTAAAGGAATAATGATCATCAGAAGACAACAAGATCACAGCTGCTCTTTTTCTTTCCTTTTTTGTATTTTTTTATTTATTTATATATATATATATATATTATGCATACACTTCAGAATTTTCATATGTCTACCGTTACTGTTACCAGCTAAATAAATGACACTTTACAGCAACAAAAGAATATTTTCTTAAAGAGGTGATTTTAATTTACTTGCATTTTGTATGTTTCTTTATCCAGATGCTCTGTTTATTCCAAGTCCTTTATTTTTATCATCTTTGTTACCAACACAACTTTATACCTCTTGTATTTTCAAACCCCTTCCATGCCTTTACATTTGCCTTTCTTATTATCATCACTTTTACCTCCTTTTTTTTTTTTTACAATTGCAACAACAAAAAAATGAATACAAGGAAGAGTGGATCCACCCTACCTATCTATTCATCTTTTCCTCTTTTACTCATTGTGGCGAAGTTGAGTTTCCGAAAAAAGAAAGAGGAAATAAAAAGGTACACAAAATACACAACCCATCCGTGGCTCGGCGGATTTGAGTCTGTTTCAAGCCTTTTTTTTTTTTATTTTATTTTATTTATTGATTATTTTTGGGAATCTATATTTTAACCTTGCTTAGTTTAGCATAGCATAGCGCAGAGTAGCTTATTATTTTCATTTTCATTTTCATTTTTTCTTTCCATATTTTTTATTTTAAAGAAATTGTAATTCGCAACTCATAATCAGTAATCTCATCTAATGGCAACTCGTGCACCAGTTACTGTACCCTGTAAATACAAGACCGGAAAGGTTCTTGGTAACGGTAGTTATGCCGTTGTAAAAGGTAACAGCAACAAAAGAAAAAGAAGAAGAAGAGTGAAAGAAGTGTTTGGGATTCCGTAATCTTGAGATTCCTCTTTCATCAAACATACTCATCGTCTTTATGTATATATATATATATATATATATATTGTATTCTGGCTTGGGTTAATAGAGGCAGTTCATGTAAATACATTTTTATAATATACTCAAAGAAAGAAAAAAGATAGAGGACCTATCTGATATGCATAGATATGCACTTGTTTGGTACAAATAGATAGAAACTGGTCAATACTATGCCGTCAAGGTTATCAACAAACAACACATGGAAGGCCGAGAACATATGATTCGTAACGAAATCAATGTACTTCAAAAGATATCCCAAGGACACCAAAATATCTTGAGTTTGGTGGATCATTTTGAAACACTAAACAACTGTGAGTACAATCTTTGTATATTTTATCATTATTATTATTATTACCACTTGATATCAGAGGAGCACAAAAGCGCAAAAGGCAAAAAGAAAAAGAAAAAGAACAATAGGAGAATAAGGAGAAATAGAGATAAAGATGTCCAAACCATCAATAATCAATCGTTTATCAAGTATACCTTGTTACTGATCTCGCATCCGGAGGAGAGCTGTTTGACCGTATCTGTGAAAAGGGTAGCTACTTTGAGAGTGATGCTGTCAATATCATCCGTACTGTGTGTGATGCCGCAGCATACCTACATGACCATGACATTGTTCACAGAGGTAAAAGAAAGACATCTTGTTTTATTTGCTTTTATTTACCTTGTCTTTTTTCTTTTTTTTTCTTTTTGCTCTATAGATTTAAAGGTTAGATACCAGCATTTTATTTTTCTGTATCTACAGCCACCCACACCCACACCCACACCCACGTACTCATATATTACTTTACACACGTTAGCCAGAAAATCTTCTTTTCCGAACACCCGATGAAGACGCAGATCTTCTTATTGCTGACTTTGGACTCTCGAGAATCATTGACTCTGAAAAGTTTCACATCTTGAAAACGACATGCGGAACACCAGGATACATGGTAAGATGATGTAACAAAGTGTAGAAAAGGTATATATATATATATATATATATGTGTGTGTGTGTGTATAAGAGAGAGAGAGATAATAGAATTGGCATTATATTATTCTTTTACTATTGCTACATCTACTATCAGTATTCTCTTTATAATCATCTTCATTTTTTCTTTCTTTCGGCTTGGTTTAATTAATAAAGAGTTTGCTTTCCATTTACTCTTCTTCTTGATATTGTTTTCTTTTGTTTGTTTATTTATAATACACAAATAGGCACCCGAGATTTTAACCAAGAAAGGGCATGGTAAACCAGTGTAAGTGAAAGGGATGAGAAGGTGTAGTGGATTGTGAATAGGTGAATGAATGTGTAAATGGGTGTGGGATAGAGTCTTGAGTCTAATAAGAAAAAAAAACATGGTTTGTACATATTGTGTGAATATATATATATATGGTGTATATAGTGATATGTGGTCTATTGGTGTGATTGCCTACTTCTTGCTCTGTGGATATGTTCCGTTTGAGAGAGAAAATAATATCCAAGAAATGAATGCAATCTTACGAGCTGATTATACATTCGATGAAGAGTACTGGGCTGGTATTAGTGAACAAGGCAAGCAAGCAAGCAAGCAAAAAGAAAAGAATGCTCTTTTACTTATAATTGTTACTATTAGCCAAGGACTTTATTAGATGTTGCTTGACACTTTCACCCGAAAGACGTATTACAGCACATCAGGCACTCAAACATCCTTGGCTCGATAATTCGGCTGCCAAGACAAAGGCAAGCAATGAAAATGCTTCCCCGGAACAACAGCAGGATCTTCTTCCAAATGTTCGAAAGAACTTTAATGCACGCCGAACATTCAAAAAAGCCGTTGATTTGGTTCGTCTCTCGAATCATCTCAGACAAAAGCATTCGATATCAATGGGAGACAACTACAAATCCAAGGGTAACCAAGTCAGACCAGTTAGTGAAAGTATTGAAGAGGTTCTCAAGACAGATTAAGCAACACACAAAAATTTAAGCTTGTAATTTTCGATCAATCAATCGATCAATTGACTGATTGATTGATCATTTCACTTACTTATTACCTGTCTATCTATCTGTTTCTTTGCGTAAATATCATTTATTTTTATTTTTTCAAAAATAAATAAATATATATATATATATATAATACAAAATATGCTTGAATCCCCCCTTTTTTATTTCACTATATTTTTTTGATATTGTAGAAACGTTCAGTGATATCTTATATATATTTCTCTCGCACTTCTATTATTATTATTATCAAATAATAAAGCCATTAATTTTGGGTTAAACACGGAATTGATCTATAGTTATTCTATGTCTGTCTGTAATTGATCATCAAAGAATATTGGTTGGGCTTGTATTATCTAGATATCACAAACTAGTATAGTTGTATAATGAGTGAGAGGGCAAATCATATCTTTACTGGTTCGAATCAATTCAAGCTTTAAAAATCAAAACAAACAAGAAGAAGAAGAATGAACATTTACATATTATTGTTATAATTTATTTTTTTCATACTTTCCTCAAATGTTACAGCTTCAGTTTACGGAAGAACCACAATAGAAATGTTACGCATGTGTAACATCTCCATATATACAATAAAAAAAAACATTTTATATATATATATATTATAATTTACTTTTAAAATAAAAGCAAGGCAATTTTCACAAGATTCCCAGTACACACTCACACATCATTATTACAGCAACAATGGCAAATAAGATTGTATTCTTAAAAAAAAACATGGGAGTTTAATAGAATGCCCTTTAACCATCTCTATCAAAATTATTCAAATAATTCAACCAATTTCCCTCCTTTTTTGTTTCTCTTTTAATATATATATATATATATATTGCCGGTAAAATAAATAATATTATAGTCAATAATCATTTACCCACTTATAGCACTACGACGACTATTACTATTGTTATTATTATTATTCGGGAGTATTAGGAGGATACAGGTTTAATCTATTTATTCAATTAATTATACAAGAGAAATCTTTTATATAATTAATTAATTAATAGATTAAACAAGTACAAAGGTTCTTAGACATCTTTACCAAGGCAAAAGTACACTAATCTAATGGGAGGAAATTTTCGGTTTTATTATAAAATATATATATAAAAATAAAATGTCAAATTGAATTCCATCAAATACAGCAAAAGTACAAAAAAAAAAAATCAGGTCCAGACATTCTTCTTTTTTTTTGCTGTGACTGGCTTACTACAAATGAGGAAGGTGCTGTTTTGCAATGTCTCTGTACTACCTTCCTGTTTTGTACAAATAATGGTAAAGGTATTGCATCCTTCAAGATGATAGAACAAGTTGTCACATAGGGGCATATACCCAACGGTGAAAGAGGATTTACCAGATTGGTGGGTTTGACTTTTTTTTTTTTTTGGCCTGCCCCAAAATCCGGATTTAAATCCCATCGAGAATGTATGGACTCTTGAAAGGCGAATTGATAAGAGAAGAGTTTCCATTGATTCCCTGGACAATTTTGATATGGCTTTACAAGAGGAATGGATCACATTTTATTTTAGAGTCTGCGGGACTTTTGGTTGAAAAGCACACACAGAGAAAACGCCAGGCTGCTAATTGGTGTCTAAGCAGGTCCCATAGATTACTAGCAGTCCTCTTTGTTTTATTTTTAAATAAACATCTCAACCTTTACTTCTACAAAGTCTATAGCTGCTTACCAAATTATGTATCAATTGCCCTTTTATTTCATTTTGAATAATGAATAACCATGTGTACTTGCAATTTTCTTTATATGTAATTTAATTTAATTTGACATTATTAGTGTGTGGCTGTATATCCAAGCCAATAGAATACAGCAAAACTGTGTTTTTCTAACTTGAACATAGAATCTGCTGAGATAAAAAAAAAACCCCCCCTCTTACCCCACATTTTTGCATTGTTTTCAGGTAAACTGTGCACTGTAATTTCCACCCACTTAGTATTACAAGTTACTCACCAAGAGAAGTATTTTGTTGGCTGAATTCATCTCTCAGTCGCTTATCAGGCCTTATGATTGCTTCTTACCTTAACCCTTGTTGACCTTGATGAAACCGCCATTGGCCATTATATAGGCTCCCTTTCTCAGCATTTATCCCAACACTCATAAGAATACGAAACGAACCATTTGAAGGGACTTTTCTTGACAGTTTTTCAAGCTTCTGTAATTCTTTTTGTTTTGATAACGTATCTTCCTACAAAGATTCCTATGACTCTTAGCCTTATTATTCAGCATTGTCCAGAATTATTCTATTGGGTTAAGCTCAGGAGAGGCAGTGGGAAGACATACATACTTGTTTCTCTGGCATCAGTATGTCAGAAACATAGTCAATGCTCGAATAATGAAACTCTCGAGAAAAAAAATACGGATCATTATGAAAGTGTCAGACTTGGGGTGCAAGAACTGAGTGAAAGTGGTGGATCCTTCCTTGTTTCTTGAGATTCTGAGTGGCGGAAAGAAAGTAAATAGGCTATGATATTTATGTTGTATCCTGCATCTTTATTGATCCTAGTTCTTATTCTATTAGTATCTTCAAAACTCTAAAGAATGGTGTATTGAATCTATAAACAAAATAAGCAAGTCATTCAACACTATTCCTGATGAAGATCCTAAAGATTGTTGTTCGCATCTCTGTTACAAATAAGGCATTGCCAATCTGTTTTCTTTTATAACAGATCATGAAATGGCTTCCACTTTGGTTGAGATGTTAAGAGAATAATGATTGACTGCAGTTCTGCAGAGATTGGGGCAATTGGTAAGGTTTTTGGGAATAAATTCAAATCTCTCTTATACCATTGGAATATCAAAAGAGCGTGCAAGTAGCATATAGTTTTAATTATTGAGATTTAGATTAAAGTGATTAGCCCTACACAGGATTCTAAAATGGCGCGTAGCAGTTTTCGGGTTGCCTTGAATGACAGGATACATGCCTCTTATCTCTGATGCTTTTGAGGTTTCTTATGATGAGTTTATTGAGAGATCCAGAGACATTCTATCTTAGCGTGCATGATCTTTCTATCTGTGTGTTGATAGACTTATTTATCTTCTTGCGACAGTCTTGACCCTTGATTATCGACAAGTCAATATTAGAACAATGTTTGGGTTCCAAACCCCAAACATCTCACATCACTTTTGGTCGTATCCAATTTAGCCGATTCAATGGTGTAACAATAAAGCGATTTTCTCATTCACCTGCAGATCTTTTACCATTGATCTGGTCTTTTATGACATTGAGTGCAAAGATGGTTTTCTACAAAACCACATCTGCCCCCTCCTTTTTTTTCTCTCTGATGGAGATAACAACTGATAATGACAAGCATCTTCAACTGTACTCCATTGAACACAGGGAAGAAAGAACAAAGCAGCAGAGTATAAAGGTAACCTCCTAGAGATTTGGATGATCTTTCTTTTTAGGCAATTGAAGTCTGTCTACAACAAGCTAAAAGAACATAGCGTCCCCTCTCAGGCCCATCCTCATAGACAAATATATATATAGTTTTTTTTTATATATATTTGAATACTTATATATATATATATAAAACTTCAAAATCAAACTGGTTTTCCAGCCATGGCTTTTCTTTTCTCGTTGGGGAACTTAACGGTGCTCGATTTTGACCAGTTCGGTATTCTAAACCTTGCCATGTTCCTACAGTACAGTGCCTTCATTCCTCATCGTTTAGCCGATGTAAGAAATAAATAATAAAATAAAATAAAATAGAAACAACTCATATTACCCCACAATCAATAGGTCCGTCTATATTTCCTTTTTTGTAAGAGAGATATTGTGGCACAAAGGAAGATGGTTTTTTTTTTTTTTATCTCTTGGCTATTTTCTTTTACCCTTTTTCTTCCAACTAGTATGAATATCTTAATTACTAATACTGGCTATAGTTCTGTATGAATTCTTCTTCTTCTTACTATTGGACGTTACTATGGTTACTTATTAGCTTTGCTTTTATTTCAAAAAGATTATATGATTTGCAAATGAAAAAAAAACAAGTAAACATTCCACCTCGGCGGGAGAGAAAAAAATATAATATAAAATAAAATAAAATAAAATAAATAGATTATTATAAAAGACGGCGATATTTGTCTAATTCAACCTACCCCGCGCTTTTCTGGATTTGAAACAAAACAAAAAAGAAAGGAAGGAAGGAAAGAAATATAAATGGTGCAAAAGATGTACAGATCTATAGAAATGTAGAAATGTAGAGATGTAGATATAGACAGGTATAGATATGCATGTAAATATATAGGCATACAGACACACATAGAGCTATAGAGATCTCAAGAACCTAATAGAAAGAGATGTAATTATTTCTATCTATATATTTCATCTTTTAAAAGACCGTCTTAAAAGAAGTAGTTTTTTTTTCCAAGCAGACATATGTACATATAAAGCAATTGAAAATAATCAAGACCATTTTGTTTTATATAAAAGAAGTTGCCAGAATACATCAAGGTAAAGCAAAGCAAATCAAAGGAACAGAAGAAAAAGTTAGATAATTATGTGTATGTAATAATGATGTATATTTATATTTATATAGAGAGAGAGATAGTGAATATGTTATATGAATCATTTGTGTGTGTGTGTAGTGTGTCAAGTTTACCCGGCAAAAAGAACTTTAAGTGCCCGCTCCGTCAAGACATGCCACTGTTTATTATTTATGGATGGTTTTCTCCCTCGATCCATATAAAAGACGCGCCTAGTTTTTTCCCGGCTGTTTCTTCTCCATTTTCATTTTTTTTTCTTTGTTCTGAATAACATTCTTTACTTCCAAAATCAACAATGGCAACTGTCAGCGCTGCATTGAAGTCTCGTGTTCGTCGTCCAGCCTTGCTTAAAAAGGTTATGACTGCCGAAGATACCCTCAAGTTCTTTGAGCCTGGACAGTATGTAGCTTGTTCCAAATCAAATGGCATTGATACCGCTATTTGATGTTCATATACATACAATATAACAAATAATCTAATCACTGTCGCTATCAATATATATATATATTTGCTATCTATCTATCTCGCTCTGTGTGTGTGTGTGTGTGTGTTATCTATGTATCTGTGTATTTAGGTATCTCGGTTGGTCTGGATTCACTGGTGTTGGATACCCCAAGATGATCCCTATCGCCATGGCCGAGCACGTCGAGAAGAACAACCTTCAGGGCAAGTGGAAGTTCAACCTCTTCGTAGGTGCCTCCAGTGGTGCTGAGTGCGAAGATCGTTGGGCTGCCAACGACATGATCGACCGTCGTTATCCCCATCAGGTCGGAAGAAACATCAAGAAGGGTATCAATGCAGGTCGCATTCGTTTCGCCGATAAGCATTTGTCCATGTTCCCTCAGGATCTTGTCTATGGTAAGAAAAGCTACACTACACTACAGATCATATCATATCATATCATATCATATTGTTCTTCACTGTGCTTGTATACCCACAAAGCTGGGAAATGAAAATGATTTGACGTGCTATATGAAATTAAAATAATATATATATATATATACATATACATACAAAACTCCCAATTTATCCCGTAATTTACAAACATTAATTAATTAATTAATTAATCAATTATTTTTTGCCTTCATTTTTCTATTGTAGGTTTCTACACCAAGGATAAGCCCAACAAGAAGCTCGACGTTGTCATTATTGAGGCTACCGCTATCACCGAAGATGGCCACATTGTTCCCGGTGCTTCCGTTGGTGCCACTCCCGAACTCATCCAGATGGCCGACAAGATTATCATCGAAGTCAATACCCGCATTCCTTCCTTCGAAGGTCTCCACGACATCACCATGTGCGATCTCCCCCCTTACCGCAAGCCTTACCTTGTCATGAGCACCGAAGACAGAATCGGTTCCCAGGCTATCCCCATCGACACCGACAAGATTCTTGCCGTTGTTGAGAGCAACCGCCCCGATTGCACCGGCCCCAACACTCCCGGTGACGAAAAGGCCAACGCAATTGCTAACAACCTCGTCGAGTTCTTGGAACACGAAGTCAAGATGGGCCGTCTTCCCGAAACCCTTTTGCCCCTCCAGTCTGGTATTGGAAACATTGCAAATGCTGTCATTGGTAACCTCGCAAAGTCCAACTTCAAGGACGTTACTGTGTAAGTTTTTCTTTTGATTTTGATTTTGATTTTGAAATACATGGATCTCTCTGCCATGGGCTGAAATGGAAAGGATGGTGGGATAGGTTGGGATAAGATGGGATAATGAGGGAAATTGAGGTGGAAATAGGGAGGGTTTGGGGAATGGGAAGATTTGGGGGAAGAGATAAGATAAAGTGAGGTGAAGTAAGGTGAGGTGAAATGAGTTGGGCCGTGTTGGGTTGGATTGGATTGGATTGGGTTGGGTCGGGTTGGATTGAGGAAAAGTGAGGCTGGGTGAAGCTGAACGATGGTAGTGTTTAATATAGTACATTATACTATATTGTATTTACTAATTCATCTCCCGTGTTCTGCTCCTTCTTTACTGGTGCCACAGCTTCACTGAAGTATTGCAGGACACCTTCTTGGAGTTCTTTGACTCTGGTAAGCTCAAGTTCGCCAGCGCCACATCTATCCGTTTCTCTCCCGATGGTTTCGATCACTTCTACAAGAACTGGGAAAGCTACAAGGACCGCCTCCTTCTCCGCAGTCAGCAGGTCTCCAACTCACCTGAAATCATTCGCAGACTTGGCTGCATTGCCATGAACACTCCCGTCGAATTTGATGTAAGCTAATTAAATATATATATATATATATACAGAGTGTATGTGCTTTGTAAGACATTATAAACTCACTATCTTTATTTTTATTTTTTGTATAGATCTATGGCCATGCCAACTCTACCCTTGTCTGCGGTTCTGGTATGCTCAACGGTCTTGGTGGTTCCGGTGATTTCTTGCGTAACTCTAAGCTCAGTATCATGCATACTCCTTCTACCCGTCCCTCCAAGACCGATCCCAACGGTATCACCTGTGTCGTTCCCATGTCTACCCACGTCGATCAGACCGAGCACGATTTGGATGTCTATGTGACCGAACAGGGTTTGGCAGATCTCCGTGGTTTGTGCCCCCGTGACCGTGCTCAGGTTGTCATCGACAAGTGCGCCCACCCTGACTACAGACCCCTTCTCCAGGACTACCTTGACCAGGCCACCAAGCAGTGCTTGGCTAGAGGCATGGGTCACGAGCCCCATATGCTCGACAAGGTCTTCAAGATGCATACCAACCTCCTTGAGAACGGTACCATGAAGATTGACTCTTGGTAAAAAAAAAAAACAAAAAACAAAATAACCAAAAAGCCAAAATGTTCCTTTCATTATTACACTTTTCTCTTAGAAGAAGAAAAACAAAACTAAAAAAAAAACTAAAAACTAAAATATACACACGCACATATCTCTTTCTCTTTCTTTCCTTTTTTTTTCTTTCTCTCACCTTGCTTGTACAAAAACCACTCAATAAATTTCTATTATGATCCACTCTACAATAATAACTATAATCATATTTCGTAACAGTGTGTCTATATGTGTGTGTATGTGGCTTAGCCTACTCTAAGATTACACAGTGTGAGGTTTCTTTTGGTCTTTATTTTATTTTATTTGAATTGAATTGAATTGATGATGTGCGATTATTATTACCATCATCATCATGGCCACACAAGGCGATCCTTTTCAAAATGTTCCCTTGACTTCACTTTCCTTAACTCACGTTGAGTTTTCTTCGGAAGATAAAATTGCCTATGCATTTGCATACATTACTCTCTTACCCCTTGCCATCCTTATATTCTATGCATCTGTGATTGTTTCCCGTAGAGAACTAGCAGGAATCTTTATGTTGGCAGGGCAACTGTTAAATGAAGGTCTTAATGCTGTCCTAAAAGAATATTTAAAGATGCATCGTCCCCATGGTAAAGCTTTATTATATATATATATCGATTATATTTACTTATTATTCTCTATAATTAGGTCATTTGGGAACGGGCTATGGTATGCCATCAAGCCACGCTCAATTCATTTGGTTCTTTGCCGTGTACGGTTCTCTTTACTTGAAAAAGGCGATTCATCTAGATAATTCGGTCTGGAAAGTACTTGTTAGTTTTGGAATGTTTGGTTTGGCTATTCTAGTCTCAGTATCTCGGTAAGTAACTCTTTGCTTCGCTTTTTCTTCATTTAATTTAATTTAATTCTATTACATGCTTTTATATAAATATGTATGTGTATGTGTATGTATTTGTGTGAATATGAATTTATTTAGGATATATCTTGGTTACCACACATCTGGACAAGTTGCTGTAGGGGCTTCTATTGGATCAATTTTTGGTATTTTGTGGTACTGTTTGGTCGAACATGTAATCCGACCTTCTGGTCTAGTCGAGCTTATCCTGAGACAAAGGTTTGCAAAATTGGTGTATTTACGAGACTTGCGATCTGTGGATAATGTTGCAAAGTTGGAGTATCAGCAGTGGGAGAGCTTTGTGGCAGGTCAGAAGCCAAAAGCTGCTTAACAAACCAAATCTACACACGCAAATATATGAATAGATATTAGAGTAAGAATAAATAAATAAATATACGAGTGCGCACCAATTGGTACATGAAATTTGACATTTTTCTTTCTTTTTCTTTCCATTCATTCATTCATTATATTCTTTAATGGCTTTTAATGGGGAGCCTTGATGTTTTCTGATATGAGAAATTATGTGTGCTGTGTTTATACTGTGTTCGCGCGTCTTTAATCCAGGGGTGTTAAATACCTTGTCTCCTTATAGGGTGAACTGAATGTAAAGCATAAAGACAACATCTTAAAAGACGATTGCAATACATTCTTATTCATTAATTACCGTAATACAATGTTATTTTTCTTAAAGTATCCATACCAGAATGTATATAATTGTATATATAAAGATGATTATGATATAAGGATTCTTGAGTGATCCCCTGAAAAAAAAGTCCAGCCTTGAATTTAATTGAGACTATTATGAACTTATTAGAGGGAGAAGTTGACCAATTTTTTTTCGTCAGTCTACCTTACTACAACACCTGGAGGGGCATCTAAAAAAACCAGTGAGACAACAAAAGTCAGTGTATATTTATGTATATAGAAAGCACTGGTGGCACACGATACGGGTTTATATATATATATATATATATATATATATATTATGTTTCGTATTGAATAAGACACTCGTAGTTCTCTTTGAGAAAGGTGCATTATATGGTATCCATAGTGGCTCTGGTATATTAGTATCTACTGTATGTGTATGTGAAGAATAAAAGTAAATGTAAAGGGAAGAAGATAAATTTGTATTCATGCCCAAAACACAGATGCTTTTGTTAATTGATTATGTAGTCCCATAGACTATAGTTCTTAAAAAAATGTAAAGAATCTATAGATAATTGGAATCGACTATGTATGTAGCATAATTCATTCAAATAAATAGAAGCCAAATCAATAGAGAAAAAAAAGCTTAAAAATTAACTTGCATCATACAAGGATAGTATTTATTACTATGTATGTCCCAAATAAACTTGCCTTTAGTGATGTATTTCTTTCTTAGATGTAATTTTTATACTGTACAAAAACTGGTCACATCTGATACACTACAGAGATTGAACTTTATTTTATATCCAGGGACAAATGGTACAATAATAGCTTTTTCTTTCTTTCTTTTCTTTCTTAAAAAAGGCAAGGGGGATAAAGGAACAATGTGAACCTGATAATGTTAATATACATACCGATAAAAAAGAAACATCGATATTGGAATGCAAGTTTTAAACCCTTGTTGCTATCAATTTGGGTTGGTATAATTAAATAAGCACCATTAAGGATGTGTTTTCTTTGATTCAACTTATAAGAGAATCATAGCTTGTAAACGACAAATAATAAGGGTTTTCATTATCACTATTTTTTTTTAATTTTACAGTAGAAATGGTTGTATAGAATTGTTGCTTAAATTTACCAAACCGCTTAACCAAGAAAGCAGTGAAAACGGTAGGACAATAGTTTTCTATATTGGATAATGATCTCTTTAAAGATTTAGAGAGATTGAAATGAAATGGATAAACTTATTGGTGTCAAATTAGTATAGATAGTTTATGACACAATCTTAAGTTTAATGTACCCTCCACAATAGAATGTCTTTACCAAAGAGACAAAAGGTTAAATTGTATATTCTAAAAATATGCCCTAATAACGACTGGACCAGAAGATCATTGTGCCTCTTATTGTAAGATTGGATAGAGCCTATAGTTCAACACTGATATATAAATAAATTATGCGACCAAACCTTTAACAAACTTACAAGACACTACCACAAATCCATTGCCTGTCTTTCTTATTTATCAAAGGGTATAAACCAAAATTTTCCTGGGTCGAAAATAATCCATAGAAAAAAATGATATGAATTAAACTCTGTTTCTTTTTAAAGACAATGATCAAAGGCTTTATATCCTTCCTATTGTAAAAGCAAAAAGCGATATCAATTAAAGGAATGATAAATACAAGTACAAGGAATGTCGTGAAAAATTTCATAAAAAGTGGGGTTTATCTATACGAATGATCTATACCTGACTGTTGAACTTGAAAGAAGAGTCAAGCAAGTCTTTTTTTTTTTATCTTTGTGTATGCTCTGGTTCTTCTTTTTTATATAAAGAGCAAGAAGATGTATATCAAAACGAATACTTGTTCTTAATAGCACCGGCAAATTTCTATTTGTGCTTTAAGTATAGCGAATAAAACCCACAAGCCGGTACGAAATTATTATTTAGCATTTTGGAACACACACACATAATTTTTTTTTTTAAAAAAAAAACGCACAAACACACAGGCACCCCCTGAGAAATGTATAGTGTCTATACCCTCACTTTTGGAAACTTTATCTTAAAGATATTTTTTATGACAGGGTAGAGGATTTTCAAGAAACCTTTGGTATAAATCCGTATGGTGCTTAAACAGAAAAGTGATTATATTGAAGCTTTGAAGATCTTGTTCGTCAAATGAAAACTAAAAATAAATATTAAAAAAAAATAGTATATATATATCTATCGGTTGAACTTGCCTCGATTCCTTTTTTTTCTTTGCTCACATATCTTATTAATATACTTCATTTCTACATCGCTCACTATCTTTACCTCCAATACAATCATACATGAAGCTCACTTCTTTGTCGATTATAGCCGTTGTTATGTTTTTTGTTTATTCCCCTGTTTCCATGGCTACTCCGACTGCCAATAATACTCTCACCACTAACGCCACTCGATCCTTCACCGTCCCTCCCGTCATTGCTCAGCGTGCAACAGTACCAAGTGAATTCTCTTATCTTGACATGGTTGGCCAAAAACTAGACACAAAAATCAATACTCCTCTCCCAAGAAATGTTGACCAGGCGGATAGCATGGACTTCAACTCTTCGGCTGCAAATTCCAATCATGTCAATTCTAGAATGTCTCGCAGAGCAACTTTTTATGCCAGTTATAAAAAGGTCAAAGAATTAAAGGGCTACGCACAGAATGCAGCCAACGCTTATTGCCGTAGTGTTGTTCCTATGAACACCTGGGTCTGTGAGCATTGCTCCAGAGATGAAAGTCTTGTCTCTACATTTAAGTCCGGTAGTTTGGACACCAATGGCTATATTATTCGTAATGACAAGACCGGGATCATCAGCCTTGTGTTCAGAGGTATGTGAGAATTCAATCAAGTCTAGCTAATTATATGTACTAAAAAATTATTATTATTATTTTTATAAAAGGTACAAGTTCCTTCGCAAACGTGATTGCTGTGAGTGTTATAGTTCAAAAATATCGTAAGCTCTATGGGTATTAACTTCTTTTTTCTTTTAAAAAAAAGGATGCCGATTTTTCTCCCACAAGCTATCCTCCTGTCAAAGGCACTAATGTTCATAATGGTAAAATCTGAGAAGATCTATGAGATATATAATATAGCGTAAGCATACTAAGCATGTGAAATGTAAGACTAGGCTTCTACAATGCATACATGTCCGTTCAAAAAGATGTTCTCAGTGAAATGACACAGCAAATTACTGATTATCCTCACTATCGAGTCGTTGTTACTGGGTAATTAATTTAAACTACTAATCCAATACATTGAACAATCACTTATTTTTTATTTTATACCTTGATTTTCTTTCTATTTAGACATTCTCTCGGTGGTGCTCTTGCTATTCTTGGTGGATTGGATTTGTTCCAGCGTGATAGCCGCTTTGACGCCTGGAACCTTTCTATTGTAACATTCGGTAGGCCTACTGTAATAGTGGTATTTAAAAGCATTAGAATAACATCGTATTTGCCTATAAACTAGGTGGTCCTCGTGTTGGAGATCCTGCATTTGCCCACTATGTAGTTAGAACTGGAATCCCAATAACACGGGTCATACACAACCAAGATAGTAAGTGTTATCGCCCTTTTTCTCTTCTTTTTTCTTTTTGCCACTGTTACAATTGCTAATCCGAGCTTTAATTAGTTGTTCCCCATGTTCCTCCTCAGTATCTGGGTTTCTTACATCCTGGAACCGAGTATTGGATTACAGATGAAGACAGAGTTAGTAAGTATTCATAGGGCACTTTTTGTAAACAGTAATTATTACTTTAGAGAGCTTGCTGTAGAATTTGACATTTGACACTTGACATTTGGCATCTAACATTTTCTTTGGTTACCAGAAATTTGCCGCAGTGAACTTGACTCCTCACAATGTTCAAATTCTATTGTTCCATTTACCAAACTTCGCGATCACCTTACGTAAGACTTGATTTCGGATGGATCTTATATTAGAGCAAACGTATACTAACCCATTTATTTTAATTAGTTACTTTGGTATCGATACTGGCACCTGTACCTAATTTTTTTTGTCAATTCATTTTTTTGTTTTGTTTAGCAATCATTGTACATATTTTTATTCATTTAAGAAATAACCATTTTCTTTAAACAACAAAAAAGGCTTTTTTTTTAGAGAAAGCTCATAGATCCAGATTTCCCCCCTCCCTCACTCGCCCTCTTTTTATATATAAAATTTAAATTCGAGTTTTTATCATTATATTTCAATATATATATATATATTCTTATAAAAATAAATAAAGGCTATTGTTTTATACATTATAAAACTGAGTAACTATTAATGCATTTATAGGATTTCTGGAATTTTACAGAAATCCTAAAAACAAAAACAAAATGAAATGAGTGCCACAACTGGGTTTCAAATACAAAAAGAAGAAACTCACAAATCTCAAGCCACATTAGCTGTGGCGGGATATCCTAACTAAAGAGGATAGCTAAACATAAGGTTTGCCTTCAAGGTTAAAGTTCTATTGGAACACACATAATTGATATAATTATCAGCCTTAATATTTTGTTTTATTAAAGAGAGAGAAAGAGAGAAAGACAAAAAATATTTATACAGTGATATACTCTGATATGTATTACTCTGTATCTTTATAATTAAATTGCTCCTCAATAATATAATTTAGGCCTCATTGATTTGCATATTGCACAAAAGATTCAGGTTAGCTTCTAGGTGTCAATCACTGAAAATACCGACCGTCTTTTGTTTTAAGTTTGAAAAGGTGCAAAAAACATTAAAACTTACCCCTGCACAAATTGTAAGCTACAATATTAAATAATTTATTTATTTTTGGTAGTGAGTCCTAGAAAAAAAAGCTTAAAAAATAGCAAAGGAAAAACAAGACTTACTTCAAATAAAATAATAATAATAATAATACGCATATTTGTGGTAAAGCTTGTTTAAAATCAGACTATTATTCATGGAACTAGCCCAGTTCTAATAGCCATTATGGTTATGTGCTCATATTGGTTCATTTTTATCCCAAAATAAAATATATAGGCGATCGGCTATAAAGGTAAAGAAGCCTTTTTTTTTCTTTTTTTTCTTCTTCTATAAGTTCGGACTGTATGTTTTAGATTTTGCTATTTAATATTGATTCAAGCTTATATAAGATAATGAATTCAATAGCATGAATATTTTCAATATTAAATGTTCATATTTTTCATTATAAAATAGATTATTGTTATGGTAACAAAGTGTAGTATCTTGGTTACATATTTGTAATATAGACCGTTGATAAAAAAATATAGTTAAACGTGCAATATGTCAGCGTATGTCAGCGTATGTCGTAAATGTTGCTTATATATATATTCTTTATTTTAAGGGTGGGCAAAACTTACATTCGATATATAGCGATTATAGAACCCAAGAATCTGAACAAATAAAGTAGTATCTCCAGCAGTGACTTTTGAGCAGGAACTGTACTTATTATTAATCTATTGATTATATATATATAGAATTATAAAGAAGCATGGGAGAAATCATCGAAGTTCTAACAAAAGAAAAATGAAAAAGATTCTGAAAAGCTTCCCATATAAAGCAAACGCAAAAGTAACTGCTGCAGACGAATTCTTGGAAAAAAGAAACTTTTAGGCTTACTTTAGAATTTAAAGTAAAACCGGTTTTTAAAGTAACTGCTGCAGATTCTCTAGCAAATATATTGACAATTATTACAGATTATCTCTTATATTATGATTAGCTACTAGTTTTTTGCCATATTTCAATAAAAAGGTTAAATACAAATTCTTCTGGTTTGTGAATAATGCATAACACAGACTTATTTATCTATGCGTATTCAAAATACAAGTATACCTCTTTCTTCTTATTTTTTCTTTCAACGTCGAGACCTTTTTTAATGCTTTTTTTAATGCAAGATGTACTTCACAATTGAAAGGAATGGCATGGAGAATTCGATAAGGAATGCTAAATACCGGTATACATGATATAGACTTCAACCTCGGACTTTAGACCTCCAGATCAGTCGATTTATTGAGTGGGGGAGCAAGGCAGACATCAGTGTAACGCTTTCCGCTTATTCCGTACCCGCCAAAAAATAATTATTCAAGTTTCTTTTTAAATAATATGTAATATAAAAAAAAGAGGATCTCTCCCCACAATATATGAGTAAATCTATTATTAAATCTGTCAGGAAGACAGAGCTTGCAGAAGAAAATGCTCCTCCAAAAAAAATGTACATTATCCATCGGCTCAACTCTTTAAGTTTTATTTTAAAGGCGCTTCTTTATAGGTTAGAAACCTTAAAAAAGGCACCTCTGCTATGACCTGATACGGTGCCGAATCAAAGAGTGATTACATTTAAATTCGGGGGATCCTATTCACGTTCAAAAGAAAATTAAAAACTAAAATATATATATACTAGTGAGTCTTATTCATTTTATAATTATTATAATTATAATTATTTGTAGTACTTATTTATATACCTCTTTAATTCATTTTCCCATATATATATATATATATACTCCTAGTAATACTCAAGATGAAGTTCACTCCCTTATCTATCATAACAGTTGCTATATTGCTTGTTTCTTCTCCTGTGTCTTTAGCTATCCCCGCCGCCAAAAATACTTTTAATAATGTTACCCAACCTTTTTCTATCCCTCCACTTATTGCCGAGCGCGTAACAATGCCAACCATTCTCCCTGCAGTCAACCTATTCGCCGAAAAGATGGCTTTGATAGCCAATGGACTGCTCCCAGAAAATGTTGCACAGATACATGGATTGGGACTCAATTCTTCCCTTTTTGATTTTGATGCTGCCCACAGCGGAATTTCACGCAGAGCAAACGTGTATGCTACCGCTGCCAAGATTGATGAATTGACAAAATATGCACAGTTTTCTGCCAATTCTTACTGCCCTAGTGTCCAGGCTAGCAATTGGACATGTACGTATTGCTATAAAGATGATATTCTAGTCTCTGTATTCAAGTCGAGCAAATACGATATCAATGGCTATATTTCACGCAACGATAAGACCAAGGTTATCACCCTTGTGTTTAGAGGTAAGCTATTCAAGTGAATAAAGCTGACCAGAGAGGACTAATACAAAGATCTTTTAAAAGGCTCAATCACAAAGCCCAACTTTATTGCTGTAAGGGTTTAATTTTTTTTTAAAAAAAAGAAAAAGAACCAATACGCTCTATATGAATACTAACTTTATATTGTTACTCTAAAAAACAAAAACAACAACAGGATATTAAGCTGATTCAGCAGGACTACCCTCCTGTCCCTGGCACTAAGGTCCACACCGGTAAGATCAAGGAAGAATGCTATGGCAGATACTATTGGCACTATTGACATCTGAAACTCATCTAGGTTTTTATGAGGCATACATGGATGCCCAGAAGGAAATTCTCAAAGCCATGACTGAACAGATAACGAAGTACCCTGACTACAAAACTGTTGTCATTGGGTAATTAAACAAGCTTCCGGGTATTTGGAACAAAGTCTTATTATTGCATCTATTTTTCACCCCTTCTTAGACACTCTCTTGGTGCGGGTATTGCGGTACTTGCCGGATTAGATTTGTTCCAACGCGACTCTCGCTTCAATGCTAAAAACCTTTCTATTATAACTCTTGGTACGTTTAAAGCAATCATATTAATCATATTACTGTAGCAATAATTATAATTATAACATTTTTATCCACAAACATAATAATCAGGTGGTCCTCGTGTTGGAAATCCTTACTTTGCCTACTATGCCACTGGAACTGGAATTCCCCTTGAACGCATTGTAAACAAGCGTGATGGTGAGTACTGCGATCTCTTCAATTTTGTTTGGCTTACTTACTTGAAATACATTAATATATATATATATATTAGTTATTGCTCATATGCCTTCTCAGGCACTTAATTACTTGCACTTTGGCACTGAATACTGGAATAAATCGGACAACAGAATCAGTAAGTACTCGCCAGACGTTTTTTATAAATAACGGGTATTATGGATTCAATTAATTCACGTTGCTTTTTGATAGAAATTTGTGATGATGCGCTTGATTCTCCAGATTGCTCCAACTCCATTGTCCCATTCACTAGCTTTAGAGACCACTTTACGTAAGCTACAATTGGTTAGATCTTAATGCAAAGGCTAACATGTCTTGATGATTTGATAGATACCTTGGTATCTATTTTATTTGTAAAGCGGAGAATGTCCATATTCTTTAATTAGTATAAGTGAAAGGAACATGATTCGTTTTTGGTGTAGTTCTCTTTTTTTGTTTTGAGATACCTTGATATTGATACCGGCTTCCGTATTTAATATACCGTTTTTTAGAGGTATATTAAACCTGATATTTTACAGAACTTTGTCTATTTGATTGTTTCTTTTTGTCTCCTTGATGGCTTTGACTTTATTCAAGAATATCAAAAAGTTCCTTTTTTTCATTTACAAAGATTTTTATTCTAAATAAATATTACTCATAGTTTAATACTATATCTCATACACTGTGTGGATAAGATAAAGGCCGCGAATTCCAGAAATAGGAAGAAACCCTTTCAAAACACACAAAAAGTATTCTTATTTTAAGTCAAGTAACATACACAATGAATTATCATACCAGCCGGTATATATAAATTAAATTTAGCAGTAATTTTTAAGGTAAGAAAAAGAAGAAGAAAGAACAGGGATATAAGATTTACAGGAAGTTATGCATTAGTGTGTTGTAATTGACACCCATACAATTGCTATTTCTAGAAATCTCCACAATGATTTCCAATGTATTAATGTGTTTAGTACAGATAATTAGCTCATTTACATCGACTAGTAGATATGAAGAGATGTTTAAGATTAATGTGATCGTGTTATGTCCTAAAGGATGTTTCTAATGCTGAAATTAAAGAAAATCGTAAAATATCCTAGATTATAACTAAATCGTTTTACAAAAAAGCCCTCTAAAACTCCCCCAATTTCAACCTAAATGAACACATTTTGGATTATTTGAGCAAGACATTATAAGATAGATCTATATAGCTTCTGTAACACAAATAATGACTGGTGGGCTTTGAAATAGAATGGAAGCTGACAGATCTTTGTGTCTGTAAATAGTATATATGATAGAGATTTTCCAACAGAAAATAAAACAAGCATATTGTCGATCACTTCCTTGTGTACTAGAAATGGTCGGCTGAACATTAGATAATCGCTATGAATCAATCAAATACTCTGCTTACTAAAAGAAAAGTACATGAACACAAGGAATGTTTTCTTTCTTTCTTTCTTTCTTTTTGGGTACAGCTTTTCTTAGTAGTTTTTGTACTTGGGTCTTTGGTAAAACTTCAACGAGTTAATACTAGCTGCTCAGAACGAATTCATTAATAATAATTGCAGTAGAAACAAATGATTGGTTTGGGAGTGTTACTGAAACAGTTGATGTAAAAAAAGGGGTGTGCTTTATTTTATTCAACAGCTTTACGTTGGCAATATTGAAGTGCTTGGTCCGATATAAAATACTTGAATCCAGCCTTTTATTTTCCTATAGGTAAGAGTATACCATTATTAGCAAGTATCAAACGAGAATCTTGCCTACTGCTTTTAATAAACAACAAGTTTCTGACATGTAGAATGTCTGTGTATTTTTAGGTTTACTCTATCTGCAGCAATACTACTAGGGTCAATTAATATAAGAAGTGTATACTTAAAATACTCTCAATCCACTCAGCTAAGTCTATAGAATACAAACTTATATATCAATCATAATGGGATAAAGTTGATATTTACTTATATTATATAATTGATATCATTAATGTATTATTTCCCATATACTTTAGCTATAAATGCGTGCGAGAAATCTCCTTTAACCTTCCTTTAAAATACAATACAAAACACTAGAGATTATTAGTTAGTAATCAAGTTATTTCGAATCATATGAATTGCGCTTGTCGCAAAAGCTTCAATACAACGTCTTGGCCAATATAAGGATATTAAATGGAAAAAAAAGGTCTGTCAACCTTTTAAGTACTGTCTTAACTTCTGAACCAGACTTTAGCTCTAATATGTTACCAAATCTAAAAGGTTCCGATAACACAAGTTAAAACAGCTTTTCTACTATATACATTAAGATTTTAAAGAATAATAATAATATAAGATTTAAAACAGATTAATTATGTCAAGGATGTACTCTATGATTACGCAAATTTTTATTCCAGAATAAAGTATGCACATTAAACAATCTTTATATATATTTTTCTTTTATTTATTGATGAGCTATATATTCTTGGTATAATGCATTACTATTTAGTATATATGAAACATTTTGGAAGTAAAGTTATTTTTCAACCCATACTGATATGTGCTGGTAAAAGCATATATTAAAGCTATACCATCTCTACTGGTAAAATTAAAAGAGTATTTTATCAGTATCCAAAATTTTATACCACAGAGTCTTGTTTTCCATATTAATCCTTATATTTCCAAGCATAACCAACATGTTTCATATGTGTTTTTTTTTTAAATCAAATATTGTTTTAAAATTGTATAAAAATTTAATGAAATAAAAAAAATGTTTTTTTTTAATTCTCTAAAAAGAGGTCTTTATTTAAAGAAAATGATGTTATTTAAGCTAATAAATAAATAATGTTATTAGATGGATATAAATAAGGTATTAAAGGCAAAGGCCGGTGTTGATATCAAAGTAGCTATTAAATCATTGAGTATGTTAGTTTCATATATACTCTATGCGGATTTAGCTTACCTAAGATGGTCGGAAAGCTTGGTGAATGGAACGATGGAGTTTGAGCACTCTGCAGAATCGAGAACATCGTCGCAGATTCCTAGTAAAGCAACGTAAATTAACTGCTGTTATGCTATTGCTATTTGTAAGCCTTTTCTGACGAATACTTACTGACGTTGTCGTTATCTCTAATCCAGTATTCCACACCAGGGTGCAAGAAACCAAAGGATTGAGGAGGAAGATGGGGCACAACTAGTAAATTCTGGGTAAGTAATACAGTACTTCGAATTTAAATATTGTTAAAACTTACTATCCTGTCTGTCTACGGTACGCTCAAAGTCAATACCAGTTCCGGTAACATAGTAAGCAAAAGTGGGGTTTCCAACACGAGGTCCACCTAGTTTTACAAACAAAATGTTATTATAACAGTAGAGTTTTTTTATCTATTTATAATGTTACCATATGTTCTAATAGCAAGGTTTTTGGCGTTAAAACGAGAATCGCGCTGATACAAGTCCAATACACCAATAGTAGCAAGAGCACCACCAAGAGAATGTCTAAAGAAAATGTAAAGATAAATAAACATTTGCTCTTAATATTAAATTATGTATGTGAGTTACCCAGAGACAACAACTTGGTAGTTAGGGAAAGATGTGATCTGTTGGATCATGCTGGAGAGAACATCCTTCTGAACTTCCAAGTAAGCCTTGTAAAATCCTAATTTTGTATTATACAGTAATTAGATCAACATAATATATAGTACATTGCTCTTTCCAAAAATTACCAGTATGAACCTTAGCACCACTGACAGGAGGATAGCTCTGGGCAATGAATTCAAAATCCTTTTCAAAGTAACAAGATGAAATCAGTATATATACAAATCATACTATAGTCTCTTATAAGAATACTCACGGCAACAAAGTTTGGAAGTGAGCTTGTGCCTTTAATCGATAACAAAACATTAGTATCTAGTTAATCAAAGCCAAATGAAAGCATACCTCTGAAGACGAGGTTAATGACTTTGGTTTTGTCGTTACGGGCAACGTATCCATTGGTGTCGTACTTGGAAGACTTAAAAGTAGATACAAGAGTGTCATCCTTGGAGCAATGCTTACAGTCCCATTTATTTCCAGGAACGACACTTCGGCAGTAGGCGTTTGCAGCAAGTTGAGTATAAAGCTTCAATTCTTGAACTTTGGCAGCGCTAGCATAGACATCTGCTCTGCGAGAGATTCCAGATGGGGTGGCGCTAAAGTCAATGGTAGTAGAGTTGAGACCCATACCACCCTTCTGCTCAACATTTGCAGGAAGAGGGCCATTGGACTTCATTGCGGTCTTCTCGGCCGACAAATTGACATCAGGTAAGTTGTTTGGGACAGCTGTACGACCAGCAAGAATTGCAGGGATAGTAAATGGCTGAGTGACATTTGTGCTGAGGGTATTTTCACTAGTAGGAGCAGCCATGGAAACCGGGGAGGAAATAAAAAGCAAGGCAATTGCTACGGCAGACAAGGGAGTGAACTTCATGGCTGATAATACTGGAAGGATTGAAAGATAAATGGGAGATGTGTATAATGAAGAAAATGTAGACAACAGTTGCTAGTATATATACTTTTTTTTTAAAATATATATAAATATATCAAATGTCGATATAATCTCAGAAACTTCAAAGATATTAGACTTTAAGCACTGTACAACCCTACAGCAAAGATGCCCGATAAGATATATAGCTTGCTGTGTATTACAATTAAATATAAAGTCTAATGGAGCGAGTCTATGGATAATGGGAAAGCTTGGAGGGTCTCTTTTGCAATTTTGGTATATTAACATGCGAAATAAAACTTGAGTATCACTATAAATTTATAAGTTCTATTTACAGTTCAAATATTATTATTATTTGGGTATGGTATACACGATCAGTGCAACATCTAATAACTAACATTCTGTCCACCCAAAGCTACCTTGAACATCTTTTTAAAATCAGCAATCATATATAGAGTATATTTACATATATATGTTAATCACTATATAATTCATAATAGCATATTTCAAGATTGATTTTATTACTGGTTAATTCAGCTTATAAAAATTATAGCAAAAAGGATCTAAATCCCTTGATACAAAAAAATTGAATTGAGCGTCAAATACACACAAATGTATTCATTTACTTACATGGCAAATTACTTTACAAATTACAGCAGTAATTTAGGTGTAGGATTATAAATAAGAAATGGTAACGAATTAGTTGCTGCATATAGTGTGAAGAAATTATATAGTAGTGATCTGTCATCGATCAATGCGTTTAGACACTAGCATTTTCATATGTTGACCATATTTTCTGTTCAACCTTTCAGTAAGGAGTACAACAATTTTGTGTACTGCCAATGCTTAGAATAGACATTTACCAAATATTGCCCGACTTGCTGTTTTTTGGGTAAAGACGGTGCATTGCGGGGGGGGGGGGGGGGGGGAACATTCAGCTCAGTCTCGTTGCATAAACCAATGTTACACTGCCTTGACCTAAATAAGACGAGGTATGTTGTCAACCTCGCTATATGTTGTTAAAAAAGAAGTAGATATCGTACATTGAAAGTATTAGTGCTCTTAAAATTAGTACTTTCTTGGTGAGATATTTCGGATATAATTGAGCAAAGATTTCAAATCGTCGGCCTTACCATGAAATAGGAAGACCTTCTTTACGGTTTACCTGCTGTAAACTCACAGAAGAAAGGTTAGCAAATAAGGCACGTACAAATTGCTGCTATTTTAACTAGACTATATTTATGGATAATACCAAGAGTTTAAACATACACTTTTACATAACTTTACAGCAGTTTTTTTTTATTAGCATTTGATTGTATTCATTTCACCCTCCTATAATTCCCAGCTTTCCTTGTGCTCTCCGCCCTGTACCAAGATTTTAGTCGTCTAGTTTATCGGATATGCTCAGCTTTTTGTAAGCAATATAAAATGTAATATAGCCCAGATAATATCATTGAGTATCGCTTTGATTCTGAAGTACAGAGTACTGCATATTATCCTTTTGTAGTGCAAGTTCATTTTAAGTATTTCTGTTCATTAAATTCCATTATTCTTCATACGCCGTCAGTACCAGATTTCTATGGAATCCATCTATTTCAATTTCAATACAGAATTATACAAAAATAGCTCTCAATCAAATACAGTCAATGTTTGACGGGATGTCTGTAAGACGACTCTCATGTGTATTTTTGTATATTTCTATTCTCAAAGATAGTTATAGCTAGTTCTTGCTCACATTATATAAGTCTGTTCCAAAGAAGCTTTCTGTACTTTTACAATGCTAATAATAGATGTAACTGTAATATTAAAATCGAATTATTATATGTTCTTGTAATAAACTTGTTTATTATAGAATTTCTATCAACAGTCTCAAAATATATCTATAATCATAGTGGGTCATATAAAACTAAGCAATTGCTTTACTATTAAGAAACTTTCTCAATATACGCCCCTTCATATATATCTATTAAATAAAATAAATTACCAGAATAGTTAATATGCTACACAATAGCTTAGGAATGTCTTTCTGTGCTGTTTATTGAAAAAGAATGTCCATTCATAATAGTTCACAACTCTTAAGAGTGTGCCTTGTATAATGTAGTCTACTCTATTTGTTAACAAACTAGTCCATTAAATATAGCGTTTACTCCAATTTATGTAACTTACAATCGATAGAAATAATGTGTATTAATAATTTAGTGCATATAAATGAATGGTGAAAATAATTGGAGAGATAATTGTTTTCTTGTTCTTTTTTTTCCTATCTTTACCGTGGAGATACTCGGCAATCGAATGGCAAAAGTACATTAATGTCGTTAATTATGTCTGATCAATCAAATTCAACGGCATCACATGTGAATGGGAAACAATCCGCTATGATCTTTTTAATTGATTCATTTTCTCTATAAAAGTAATTAGTACTCACGAAAATGTACGCTTTTTTTTTTAAAAAAAAATTCACTCGATAAACTCAGAGATATTTGCATGGTCTGTTGATAGACCGCTATAGTCAATTACAACTAAGAATATTATTTTTGGCGAGAAGATGGCATTTAGCATGTCTATATATAATAATAAAATCAATACTTTTAAATGAACATGGAAATATACACATATAGTACCTTGGGTATTCCCATAAATGTTTTTTTTGTTTTCTTTGAATGTGTAATTAGTGCCTTTTTATGTACCTTGATTGTATCTTGCTTTGGGAATCAGAGGAATATGAAACAAAGCACTGATCTACTTTACATCTATTGAACAGGTTATCCACCATTCTTTGGATGTTTTTGCATCTCCAACAGACTTGCGAACATAACCGATTAAAAGAAGTTTGCTTTTAAATTAAGCATGGGTTGTTTAAAGCATACTAGCTTTGATATAATGTTTTGTCCAATTGGTTCTACAATAGAGAATAAGAAAAAAGCAAGTAGATGCTCATAATTTTCTTTTAATATTACCATGCAATATTGGTTTCAAAACATAAAGCATTCTATCTCTTGTGTATGTTCCAGATTATTGCCGTTTTCGACAAAAAGGCTCTTGGGTATAATTGACCTTGTACTTGGCTCAATTTATGAGCTGATTCTCGCTATCAAACTTGTTGGTGTACATCTTTACTGTAAAAGTTCAAAAAAAGGGGGTGAAACTGTAAGCTGTATGATTGGATGAAAGTTTTAAAAAAATCCCAAAAACATTTGAACTTTTTTTTTTCAAAGTTGAAATAACGGCAAAAAAGCAAAAATGTCGAATGACTCTGACTGGCTTAATCTTCTTTAATTACCACTTGGATTGAGAAGAAGAGCGTTTTTTTAGTGGAAAAGATGTGCCATAGGAATAAAGGCCTAAAAAACTTACAAGAAAATATTTTTGCATGATGGAATAGATGATATTATGAGCATTTGATTTTATTTAATATGCATTTGAACTAATTTGAACTTTTTTTTGCCCCTTTTTTTTTGTCTTTTTCGCTTTAACTTTTAGTCTGTCCACACCATAATTGATCATCTATACATTCATATTTATGATATGTTACTGTGAAAGATTTATAACAATTGATATTGTCAATTCTTAAATGCTATAATAATAACCTAATTAAGATTATTATAAGCGTTTAATTATTACATTTAAAAGTCTGACAATCGCTTTCTGGCTATATATACAAATACAGATACAGCTGTAAATCATCAATCGGTATATTTCTTTGATAAATAGACTTCTATTGTTATAAGCACTATATCATCTCTTTTGGAGAAAGCATAGATAGATCTGCCGCTAATGGTAAAGCACAAACTTGTAAGTATGCACTTTAATGTTCTATTTATGCACATGTATAACAAATGAATGGTGGACCAAATGATTAATACCATTGGATCAAGTTTGAAGTTGTGTAACTCTTAAAAATATATTCAGATCAATGATGTTACTGCTTTGGTTACTCAATCGATAATAAGTCTTACCTACAAATCTTCTATTACCGAGTACGCTTGCTGTGTACAACGAGAGACAGGTATACAAATTGAACATGTCATTTTCTTTTCTAATACACTCTCCCAATAGTGCTCTTGTCATGCGTATAGATATCAATTTGTACAAGCATAATTTATAGCTTATCCTATCGAATCTCTTTATTTATACATTCAGAAAATACGATTCATTTATTTTTTGTTTTCGAGGAGTTACTTTATCATAGATCTATATTTCGGGTTAACCTCATATTATAATAAATTATTTACTTTTTATCTCATAAATAATACTATTACTAACTTGTGGGCTTCCATTGTGCAATACAATTATAATGACGTTAATAGCAAGCAAGATTGTATCTTGTTAGCATTGCCGGATATTTTTATTTAATACTGTGGTGTGCTCTAACTGCTTTTCGTATTCTACCGCAATTATTAAATTATAACTACCTTGGGGATCAATATTTAATGAGTATTAAGTATTCAAGCTGTAATGCGCAGCCGTTATTTTAATGAAAGACAGTGCTCTACATTTTGAGATTCGTAGCTTTTGAGTATCATTAGCTCTGAGAGTTATTCAAAAGTATTAGTTTTATTTTTATAAAGATATTAATAATAACTCAACATAATTCTGTAAAGCAGTTAATGTGTAGCTCAATATTGATGATAATGTTTTTAATTTGAAAATGTTTTTAGAATTAGGGAGTAGTTGCTAAGAACCACAGTACTCGATTCATTTATTATTGTTGAAAATTAATTTTAGCGAATAAATGTTTTTAAAAGTATATGTCTAATTTATGCTTTGTGGTTTGTCTTATTTACTTGTCTGTGCTTATTATTAAGCAGTGAACCTTATAATGACTTTTGAATAGTAAAGCAATTGCTTAGTTTTATATGACCCACTATGATTATAGATATATTTTGAGACTGTTGATAGAAATTCTATAATAAACAAGTTTATTACAAGAACATATAATAATTCGATTTTAATATTACAGTTACATCTATTATTAGCATTGTAAAAGTACAGAAAGCTTCTTTGGAACAGACTTATATAATGTGAGCAAGAACTAGCTATAACTATCTTTGAGAATAGAAATATACAAAAATACACATGAGAGTCGTCTTACAGACATCCCGTCAAACATTGACTGTATTTGATTGAGAGCTATTTTTGTATAATTCTGTATTGAAATTGAAATAGATGGATTCCATAGAAATCTGGTACTGACGGCGTATGAAGAATAATGGAATTTAATGAACAGAAATACTTAAAATGAACTTGCACTACAAAAGGATAATATGCAGTACTCTGTACTTCAGAATCAAAGCGATACTCAATGATATTATCTGGGCTATATTACATTTTATATTGCTTACAAAAAGCTGAGCATATCCGATAAACTAGACGACTAAAATCTTGGTACAGGGCGGAGAGCACAAGGAAAGCTGGGAATTATAGGAGGGTGAAATGAATACAATCAAATGCTAATAAAAAAAAACTGCTGTAAAGTTATGTAAAAGTGTATGTTTAAACTCTTGGTATTATCCATAAATATAGCCTAGTTAAAAAGTAATTATCTGTATATGTTTTATCTGTTAAATTTTTCTCTGGAAGACTGATTTTTTACTGTATTGTTTATTGGAAAATCACGGTTGGTATAGTTAAGCAACTACTTCTTCCGCTTTTGTGGTTCTGATTTTGAATATATTATAGTCGTTATGCGGCTCGGTATGAAGCCCACTTCATCAAAGACCAGACAAAAGTGCGCTTCCCATATTCTTATAATTGGAAAACCTATAAAGTATAGCACACTAGTATCAGTATCGCGGATTGTGATTGTTGCAGAGGTGGTATGGATGAGGAAGCAAAATAACTGAAATCAGGTAGGGTATACAAAAAATAATGATGGAATTCTTGTCTTATCATCTTCTTGAATATGAAAAACCAGGAAAACTGCTCACTGTATTCTAGCAAGTCACACATAATACAATTGGGATCATCAACGTCTTTGATTTTTTCGGACAAATAACCGCCGTCTACAAGAAATCCTGTTGTGTATAAGCCGCCACTATATGAAGGTTTTTTAAGACAGACCGACATTCCCATATATTTTCCACTGAATATGACTTGCCTACGGAAATTGTAGTAGAATTGCCGTTACCAGGGTTTATAGAAAGATTTGAATCACTTGTGGGAAAAATGGTTTTAATAGGAGCACATCCAAGATGGGGTCTGGAAGATTATATCCCGTTAACCGTAAAGAATATCTTACTTTATGCTAGAGTAGGCATTGTGAGATTTATACTTAATTTTATCCGAGATATTTTACCAAGAACGTAATAATTCCAATGACGCTAATACTTCCAATATCCAATATCCACTTTTGTTTACCAATGTATGGTGATGCTGAGAACATATCTCGTCTTATTTAAGTCAAGCAGTGTAACATTGATTTATGCAATGTGACTCAGTTGAACGTTTCCCCGCAATGAACCGTCTTTACCCAAGAAACAGCAAGTCGGGCAATATGTGGTAAATGTCTGTTCTAAGAACTGATGGTACACAAGATGTTTGTACTCTTTACTGCAAGGTTGGACAGAAGTTATGATCAGCATATGAAAATTCCGGTATCTAAAAGTAGTGATCGATGACAGATCACTACTATAATTCTTTTATGCTATATACAGCAACTAATTCATCACCATTTATTATTCACAATTTTACATCTTAATTATTGCTTATTTTTTTACAAGCAACTCGCTGTGTAGAGGGATACATCTGAGCGTATTTGAGACTCAATTCGCTTTTTTTTTCATATCAAAGGATTTAGATCCTTCATGCTGCAACTTTTATGAACTAAATTAAACAGTAATAAAATCAATCTTGAAGGATATGAGTATGAATTTTAATGTACCGTATTTTAATGTATATTTTTTGTACCTAACTTCTAGACTTAAAAGCAACACCAAGGAAACCTTTTAAACGAGCGAAAATATGTCAGGCATGGATTGTTCCACTGATCGTGTATACCTTACCCAAGAAGAATTTGAGCCTTAATTGAAATTAATGAGTCTACTAGGTAGTACCTAAGCATTATTTTTGCATGTCACGATACCAAAATTGCCATTAGAAAAATCCTCAAAAGTTCCCACTATCCACGGACTAGCACCCATAGACTTTATTTTTTATTGTAATTTACGATAGGTTATATATCTTGTCAGACATCGCTATAGTGAAGTAGTACAGTGGTTAAAGTCTAATGCTTTGGACATTTCTAAGCTGTTATCCACATTTAATGGAGTAAAAAAAAGGTATATATACCAGCCAAGAATATCTTTATTTTTTTCATTATACACATCTCCCATTTATCTCTCAATCGTTCTATTACCATCAGCCATGAAGTTTACTCCCTTGTCTGCTGTAGCAATTGCTTTGCTTTTTATTTCCTCTCCTGTTTCCATGGCTGCTCCTACTAGTGAGAACACCCTCAAGACCAATGTTACCCGGCCATTCACTTTCCCTGCAATTCTTGCTGGCCGTACAGCGGTCCCAAGTAAATTGCCTCACGTCAATTTGTCGGCTGAGAAGAACGCAATGAAGTCCAATGGTCCTCTTCCTGCAAATGTTGAGCAGAAGGGTGGTATGGGCCTGAATTCTACTACTATCGACCTTAGTGCCGCCTCTTTTGGAATCTCTCGTAGGGCAGATGTCTATGCTACCGCTGCCAAGGTTCAGGAACTGAAGGTTTATACCACACTTTCTGCAAACGCCTACTGCCGCAGCGTTGTCCCCGGAAATGAATGGGATTGTAAGCATTGCTCCACGGATGACACTCTCGTATATACGTTTGATTCTTCCAAGTACGACACCAATGGATATATTGCTCGTAACGATAAGCTCAAGGTCATTAACCTTGTATTCAGAGGTAGGCTTTCAATTGACTTCAATTAACTATATAATAATATGTTTTTATTCCTAACAGGCACAAGCTCACTCGAAAACTTTGTTGCCGTGAGTATTCTTATAAGAGACCATAACATGATTTGCATATATACTTATTTTTTTTTATTACTCTGAAAAGGATTTTGAATTTATTGCCCAGAGCTATCCTCCTGTCAGCGGTGCTAAAGTTCACACTGGTAAGATTTTGAGAGACCAATCTATTGTGTATTATGTATATATAATTTCTATACGATACAAATATAGGGTTTTACAAGGCTTACTTGGATGTTCAGAAGGAAGTTCTTTCTAATATGATTGAGCAAATTGCAGCTTTCCCTAACTACCAAGTCGTGGCATCTGGGTAATTAACACATTCAATTTAATATTAAGAACAAATTCTTATTTGTTATTTTCTTTAGACATTCTCTTGGTGGTGCTCTTGCTACTCTTGGTGTATTGGACTTGTACCAGCGCGACTCTCGCTTTAACGCTAAAAACCTTGCTGTCAGAACATATGGTAACATTATAACGACATAATACCTTTACTGTTATAATAACATTCTGTTTTTAAAACTAGGCGGACCTCGTGTTGGAAACCCCACTTTTGCTTACTATGTTACCGGAACTGGTATCGACTTTGAGCGCACTGTACACAAACAAGATAGTAAGTCTTGACAAGATTTAAATTTGAAGCATTGTCTTACTCACTATGTATCTACAAGTTGTCCCTCACCTTCCTCCTCAATCGTTTGGTTTCTTGCACCCCGGTGTGGAATACTGGATTAAAGATGGAGACAACGTCAGTAAGTATTTGCCAGAAAAGGCTTACAAATAGCAATATTATAACAGCAGTTAATTTACGTTGTTTCACTAGAAATCTGTGGTGATACTCTCGATTCCGAAGAGTGTTCTAACTCCATAGTTCCCTTTACCAAGCTTACTGACCACCTTAGGTAAGCTAAATCCCCGTGCAGTCTATATGAAACTAACATATTTAACGATTTAATAGCTACTTTGATATCAACACCGGCCTTTGCCTTTAATACCTTATTTATATCCATTTAATCATTATTTATTTATTTATCAATTTATTTATTAGCTTAAATAGCATCATTTTCTTTAAATAAAAACCTCTTTTTAGAGAATTAATAAATCCACCTTTTTTATGAATTTAATTTTGTTAAATTAATTTCTTTGTAGATATCTATAAAATATCGTGAATATAATGTATTTACGGGTAAACTCTTTCAGTGTAACTAATTATGCTGCCAAGACAGCTAGAAACTCAAATATCTACTTTTACAGTCAATTTGATTAATATTTTATTGAAAGTATTACAATGTATATTTCTAAAATAACTTTTTTCAAATTTATCATAAAAAAAGATATAGTAATAGGTCCTGGCAAGAATATATACTTTAAAGTAAAGATCTTTTTTTTATCACTAAATGGTTAAGACCATTTAGAGTATTACAGTGGAAGAAGAATACACATACTCCAAGGTGACTTTTAAGTAAGCTTTGAGTTTTGTGCCAATGAATATACAATTCAACTGTACACTATTTATGTATGAGTGTATTTTGATGATTTATTATTTTCATTACAAATTCTTTCTATATCCTTCAGTTGAGTCTACATCACCAACTTGGTTTTATAAGCCTTTGAATTAATTGGCCAGTAAAGCAATAAAGTGTACCTGTGCCATGACACTATTTAGTCAGATTTTATTTTCTTAAAATTATCCGTTTGTTAAGGCACGAATATTAGGTATATTTTGGTGGAAGGATATCCAACTATAGTATACGCCATATCATAAGTTACTTATAGAACTTTTCAAACCATTAATAAGAATGTAAAGTAAACTATCTGACAAAATGATGGACTTAGCCGATGATTAACAGTTTTAAATAAGAGGAAATACATGTATAATATATATAGTGGAGAAAAGCTTCCTTTGGTAACACAGCTTTTTCTTTTTTTTTAGGAAAAAAACTTTGTGTGACAAGCATGATTTAATAGGAAGAATGAGGAGTACATTGGTTTGTATTGCTGATATGTATATTTAGATTATTTCACCATATATAAAATTAAACTTGAGCAAAAGTGAATAGTCTTAATTCATAAAAACACATGCACCATTTTCAAGGTGAAATACAGAAAGACACATTTCTATTCTTTGAATTAAAAAGTGCTTGGCTGTTATATGCCCTTGAATATACGCAACCCAGTGACAAACGGGCCTTTAACGAACGGAAAATAACCGTGTGAAATACAGTTGCAAACAAGCGAGCGATATTCAACTTGAGGACACTGAGTTACATTTAGATTTGATTTAAAGAAATGTTTAGTCGAATACTCTCAGCAGAATGCCAGCAGTTCTGAGTATTTGAAGTCAAGAGCCATTTATGAGCAATTCATTATCAAGAGGCCAAAACGGATAGTAGTTATAGTGTTTAAAAGCTAGCATGCCTTAATAATGATGAATTATAAACACTTTAACGATAGCCATAGAGTTTTGTATTGTCCTTTTTTTTAAGAAGCTTATGCTAATAGACAGATCTGTTATTAATAATATGTCATCAAACTAGTTCTATTGATGAGGAAATACCTTTTCTTAAGTTTGATACTCTATTAAATGGAACATGATAATTTATAGTCCCATCACGCTAAAGGCAATATGAAGTTTCAAAGCCATTAGATCTGCTTTAGATGCTTACTTTTTTTTCTTATATCTTTTCACATTTATAAAAAGTGAGTTAGCTCTTGCTGACATCGTTTATAGAATTTATTTTATTTCATTTTAAAGCCATATATATTAAACAGTAGTAAGTAGTGCTTATTTAAGTATTTAATTGATTAAAGAAAATGATAGTAAAATAACTGTATTTATAGAGGCTCTTACATTATCTTAAATTTGATTTACAAAAAAAAAGACATTAAAGAAAAGCCTTAGTAATTCTATAGCATTCGCTTACCTGTATGTCTTGCAAACGGGAGAGGAATTGCTTGGTATAACACTGGATACTACTTTAATATATTATTGTTCAAGCCTCGAGCTTACTTGTGCTATGTAACAATGAACGTCTCAGAGCCGGAGTGAATCTGGCGACTACTTGTAATCTCCCAACATCAGTTTGTGCTCATGGAATATTACCAAATGCGTTTTCCCCATCACACATCTTCTCCGCGTTTATTATATCTTTTAAGATCAATCCTAGCCCATCAAATTCCTTAATTGGAACTGCAAATAAAAAAAAACACAAGATGTGTACAATCAATATCTATTTACTGTTATTTTTTTTTATTTTTTTTGCTTTTTGCTCTTAGTAGCAAGAGTTGTACCCTTATTGTGATAATCATACTCGAGTGACTTCTATAAAACGCCACACTAGCTACTTATTTTTAGGCGTGTATGTGGGGAATTCTTTATCATACAAGAAGTTCTTTAGTTCTATTGAGAAGCCGTACCTCTCTTCCAAATAGATCACACACATTAGTTATAGTAATCTATACTTTAATGTTTAATAAATATAAAATAAAGTATATAATATTATATAATATCTATTAATTTAATGTAAATTGCGTTTATTAACATTTAAATAAAGACAAGGGAAAGAGTTCCTAGGGTTAAAATAAATAATTATAATAAATATTTGAACAACTGTATAAGGGTGTTCCACTGATCGTGTGTTTTGCACCTGTCAATGCATGTAAAGTCTTTGAAAAACCCACATCTATATTGAATCAAAAGTGGCTGTAATACGTGTGTTACCCTCTTGAATGACCAAAAAAAACGCTATCGTAAGGCATATTTCAGATTTACATATATTTTTTCTAGTGTATTCAAGACACAAAGCTCACATATGCAAGCACTTTTTCTGTGCAAGTAGTACACCATTTCTGTGGAATAACCGGTTCATAGACACAAATTCTATCAAATATCTCTGGTAAATTAGAGATGGTGTGTATGTGTCTGCGTGTCTGTATATAAAGAGAAGATAATCTTCTTCGTTTCTTTTTATCGACACTCTTTCTCATCCAACTTTGAAAAACAGTAATAGTAATGAAGACTTCTTCCTTTTCCGCAATTGCCATTTCTGTAATAGTGGCTTTATCCTCTTCAGTCATGGCCGCCCCTGTTCAGGCTGGTAGTGGATCACTTGTTGCCAGAGGCTATATTCTCCCGCCTGTAATTACCAGTCGCGCAACAATCCCAGGAACCGTACCTGAAATTGATTTTGATGCCGAAGTTTCAGCCGAGAAACTCAATGGTCCTCTTGCCGCGGGTACTGAGAGTAAAGAGGGTATAGCCATGAATGCAACTTCTGTCCCCTCCAGAGTACGGGTTATAACAGAAAGTAGCGATTCTGGTATTTTTGCTACCACTCAACAAATCAATGAGCTGAAGCTATATACAGCACTTGCCGCAAACTCCTACTGTCGTACTGTTGTTCCGCTTAATATATGGGCTTGCCCTCACTGTTCAAAGGATGATACTCTTGTCAAATCGTTTTCTTCATTAATATTCGATACGAGTGGCTTTATTGTAAGAAATGATAAGGCTAAAACAATTAACTTGTCTTTCAGAGGTTTGTGCAAATAAAATGCTTTCAGAAAGAAAAGACTACTAACACTATCTTTTGTTTAATAGGCACAAACTCAATTAGAAGCTTTATAACTGTAAGTAAAGAATGTATAAATCCAATACTGGTATTACATATGTATTTAAACATGAATGAAATAGGACATTGAATTGGTTTCTCAACCATATCCTCCTGTAAAAGGTGCTCGATTACATACAGGTACATAAAAAAGCTATATTATGAAAGTCATATCTTGGATTACTGATGCAATATAATTTCTTAGGCTTCTACAACTCGTACCTAGAGGTCCAAAATATTGTTGTATCATCAATGATTGACCAGATTACAAAATACTCAGGCTACAAGGTTACTGTATCAGGGTAAGCCATAAATATGCCGTTTTGCCGAAGAAAAATAATAACAATTACATTTTATTACTTATTACTAGGCACTCTCTTGGTGGTGCTGTTGCTGTAATTTCTGCTATGGATCTATACCAACGAGACACCCGCTTCACTTCAAGTAACCTTGTTGTTTACACATTTGGTAATTTAAGCTATTGGTAGCCTTGATTGTCTCAAACAAAATAGCTAACACACTATTGTAACCACAAAGGATCGCCTCGTATTGGAAATAAGGAATTTGCATACTACGCTGCTGGAACTGGTATCAAGATTCAGCGTGTAGTTAATAATCGTGATAGTAAGTATAAGTTCTTTAAGTATATGTAATGCCCTATTGTACTCAACTTTTATTTGTCCTTATTTTCGACAGTAATTCCCCATCTTCTTCCTCAAGCAATTGGATACTACCATAATGGTGATGAGTATTGGATTAAAAGCAACAAAGCTGTCAGTAAGTATTGAAAACTATTCTTGGATTAAAACACAGAATATTCAATACATATTCTAATAATTACTTGTTTGATAGAAATCTGCAACACAGTACTTGATTCCCGGGATTGCTCAAATTCGATTGTCCCTTTTACTTCTGTACTCGATCACCTATCGTAAGTTCCTATAATAAACACATTAATTTACTCTTTACCAACCCAATACTTATTTATTCTTACAGTTACTTTGGTGTAAACACAGGGCTGTGCCTTTAAAAAAATCTTGTTTTTAATACTAAGGATCACTTTAGCACGGTCTAGTGATTCTTTGAAAATCTTATTACATATTTCATATTAATTAGTATAAATAATTAAATAATAATAATAATAATAAATATATGAAAGCTTTGGAAAGCCTCGGAACTTTTGATTTATGTATATATTTTCCAGTCAATATACAATTAGTTATTAACTCCAATAATATTTCTAAAACAGTCAGCAAATTTTGTGTTTGTGCCAAGATAATATATAAAAATAAAAGCTGATAAATACGAATTGATCGTAAGACTGTACTTAATATTTGTAAATTACTTCTGACTTTCAGGAAGTACAAACGGCACAGAATTGGTGTGTACTGAGATGCTACCTACCTGAGTACACATAAAGCTTGATATAGTGGCAGTAGTATGCCTTTTCTTTCCCCATTATTTTCACTATATCGGGCTCTGACTATACTGTCTATCCAAAATGATCGAAAATTAGAAAATTTAAAGCTACCCCAACACTTATATACATGTATACTATTGTCAGCCCAGATTTTTTAGTAGATCCTGTTTACTATAAAGAATAGCATATATATATAATTTTATATTTTGGGCTCAATATTAAAAGGGTCAAAGGGAAGGATATACGGGATTAATATTTTATTCACTAAATAGAGCTCCATTCAATAATAAATTGTCCACTCTATATATCAGAGAAATGACATAATTTAATTATGTATATATGAGCTTTACTATGTTTTCAGTTTGAATCTGTACCTTGATCTTTCTGTGCATCAAAAAGGATACAGTCAAAGCTCGGTATAGTGATATTCGATATAGTGATAATCGCGATATAGTGATAATTTTTTGGAAAATTTGGGTCCGTGCCTCCTTATTATCACTGTATCGAGCTCTGAGTTTATTTTTGTACTATAAAAAAATAAATGTAGTATATATTTTATTTAGCATTTTAAAGCAAGCCCAGTTTCTTAGACAAAATACTATAAATCCTATTAGAAAACAGTAGTCACTCACAGCGGCATTAGAAATATCACTAAATAATGCGTGGAGTAAGAAAAAAACACGCTCGATATAGTGATAGTGATAAAATTTCTGTCCACCATCCATATCACTATATCGAGCTTTGACTGTATGATTTTTGCGGATGTTTGAAGACGAGAAGTAAATTCTTGTTTGCTAATTCAAATTAAAGACCCAGCTTATTGGTTACAGGAATTTATTCTTATAAAGAACTAATTTCACTTTTGGTACCTGAGTAACCCTGAAGGTCATGGGAGCTAGTGTACAAGTATTTACTGCTCTAAAATAAATAAGCACACGGTGTAAATAGAATAGAGAAGAGAGAAAAAACTTTCGAGAATCATTAGATTTACTAACATCTGTTAAGCTTTGTAGGCCAAAATCTTTAAATCTATCTATACACATTTCTTTACAGCCACACTAACTTCTTGTTCTTATTGTTTATACAGTTTTAATCTTTTATGGAAGAGCAGAAGAGAATAAATTGGACAGAAAAGCAATTGCTCTACAGGAACATCTAATACTTAGGCCAAAAACATATTCTCATTGTGGCTGCATAAAGTGGAGTTAAAATACAAAAAGAAACACTTTTCTTTTGCGCATGCTAATACTTATTTTTACCCTCCAGCAAATATTTTCACGTTACACTTAATTATACAAAAGCTAGAATGTAATGCCACAAGATTTTATTTATAAAATAGTATCAGAAGGCTTTGGGCAAAGTGTTGCTGTTCCCACTTCACATGCAGCAAACTCATCTCTAATTTGCATGATAGGCTATCTATTTTTCCGCTAAAGTGTTTCGTATTATAAAAAATAAGCTGTATAACTTTCTTTTTTTTTCTACGGCGTCAAATAACTATACTGGCTATTTTGATAACTACTGTTTCCCGAGAAACAATGAGCTCCATTTATATAGTGTTAGTATACCACTTCAAAAGTTTGTCAAGTATTTACTGCTGTGAGCTGACTTGTACGAAATCATAAATGAAAAAGAAGAAAAGTACAGAAAGAATATAGCTTAGAGAATATATATATATGAAAAAAAGGTCGGTAATATAAAGGTACCACAATTCACTCACAATCTAGATGAAGAAAAAGAACAGAGCAGAACTGTCAGCCATGAGCTGTAATAGGTCGATTGGCGTCATTGAGGCAAATATCATATTTATGGCTGCATCAAACATTGTGTGCTTTGAATATCAAGTCACCTCCATAAAATCCCGATCTTAGTATTAAGTGATCATTTAAATTTGGATAAATGATACCCGGTCTCTACTTAGCGACTACATATGCTTGAATATATATCATGTATATGTGTATATTGTTGTCTAAAAAATGCACTCTTGGAGTAAAGAAATAAAATATATATTTATTGAATAAATTAAATAGTGTTTAAATAAAAATTCCAGATCCAACCAAACACTCTGGTACACACTGTAACATTAAAGATTTAGAGACACAATCCTGTATTAATGTCGAAGTACCTATCGAAGTATAGATTGTCAGTTGTGTATGTACTCAATTAATAGAGTAGTTCAGCTTACGATAGATGATCGACAATAGTAGTAAAAGGAACGATCGAATTGGAGCACCCACTGGATTCAAAATTAGTGCAAATTTCTATTAAAAAATAAAAAAGAAATATTAATTAGATTAGTATTTCAACTCATTAACTCGAATAATATATTTCTGCTTGATACTTACTGACTGATCCATCGTCTCTTTTCCAGTGCTCAGTACCAACGTGCATGTAATCACTTGAGAGAGGAGGGAGATGAGGAACCACTATAAAACCAAGAATATAAGTATCATTAGACTGTGGACAAAGCAAGTTGTGAAGTAAATGTGCACTTACTGTCACGGTCATTGACTGTACGCTTGTATTCAATGCCAGTTCCGGCAAGGTAATAACCAAGGTCAGGGTTTCCGATACGAGGTTGACCTTAGGTAAACAAAAGAAAACCAAGTAAACAACCGAAACAGACAATGATAGTCAGTAAATACAAATAAATGAATATACCATATGTGCGGAGAAATAAATTATTCGAGTTGAAGCGAGTATCGCGCTGGTAAAGATCCATAGTAGCAATTACAGCAAGGGCACCACCAAGTGAATGTCTAATATGATATAGTAGACCCCTGGTTAATATTTCTATTGGTTCCAAGAGCTATGTGTTTTGCCTTTTATCTTACCCGGAAACTGCGACATTGTAGCTAGGATACTTGCTGATTTGCTCAATCATAGTAGAGATAACTGACTTCTGAACATCCAAGTAAGCAGTATAAAAGCCTATTTAAAAACAAAGATATATAAATATATTTTATTAACTTCTAAAGGACTCAAACTTTAGAAGCAGGCATTCCTTTTATTATTTGGATTTTTATACTTACCGACATGGATCCGGGCATTCTTTACGGGAGGATAGCTTTGAGTGATAAGAGTAATGTCCTAAAAAGGTGTATGAATGTATAAGATTAGTTGGTATTCGGTTTACGTATAAAAGCAAATATATCTTACAGTAAAGAAGTTTTGGAATGAGTTTGTTCCTAAATATTAAAAGCATTTTAGTCCAGATTCTTTTTAATGTGTATATATATTGATATATAATTACCCCTGAAGACAAGATTGATGGTCTTTGTCTTATCGTTTCTGGTAATAAAGCCATTTGTATCGATCAATACAGTAAAAAATGTACTGACAAGGGTTTCATCCGCAGAGCAATGGTCACAAGTCCACTGGTTGAGGGGAACAACGATGCGGCAGTAGGCATTGGCAGACAATTGGGTGAAAAGCTTTAAATCTTGAACCTGAGCTGCAGAGGCAACACTAACAGACTTGCTAACGGCTACTAAAGCTTGGACTTGGGATGGTCCTGAGGTTGCGTTGACACCAATGCCATTGGTTAGTTCAACATCTTTAGGGAGAGGACCATTGTTGGACCTTGCGGTATCTTCAGTAGTAAGATCAACGACTGGCACACTTCCAGAGACAGTGGTGCGAGAATCAATTACAGGTGGAAGAACATAATCTCTAGGTACAAGAGATACATGGTTATCTTTTACTGGAGCGGCTGCTGCTAATTGAGAAAAAGCCAAGACAATGGAGATGGAAAGAACAGACAATTTAGTGATCTTCATGACTAGGGCTGTTGATTGAAAAAGACAAGATGATTGTGATGAGGTAGATATAAAGCAAAATAGCTCGGAGTTTATATATGTTTTTTTTTGTAGAGCACAATAACATATTCAACAGCTTACTTGAATTGTAGACCCTGTAATGTCCATGTATTACCTTATTCAAAGAAGGCATTGCATACGTATTAATTATTCCATTCTTGAGTGCTTGGTAAAAATGTACTTTACCGAAATAAACTGTGATCCATGTAGCTTAAGTCTGTCATTCAAGCCGGCGTAGTACATACCATTTTATCTTTTGAAAAAGAGTCTAAATTTGGACTTTTATGGAGGACGATTTAGAAATTACAGTGTTTAATATGTATCGCCAGGTGAAATACACACGATCAGTGGAACCCTAGATAATAATGATAATTTAAGAACACACAAAGGTACTGTGCCTCAAATCTACAAGCATATGAATTTTTGTCTAAATTTGCGAGTTCATGTCGTGCACCTTGAATTGCAAGTACCAACTACAACTACACATCTAGTTTCATGAATCCTATTGGAAGACTCTAAAAATACTTGTATTTCTTAAGGATTTTAAAGGACATGTACAGTTCTTGGATTTGAGTAAAACTGTTATGGTATGACAAAAAACATATCCTAATCATAAGAATGACTGGAATGACTGGAATATAAGCAGGTACTATCATTGATAAGCTTGGATATCAATATAAGAGTATGTGTTTAATCTAGCTCAACATCTTGGTAACTTTGTATTCATATATAATATGGGTATGGTAATTAGTGCTGAACATCTGTAAATATCTGAGTGTCATTGGTTAACATCCAAACATTAGGAGACCCATTTTTGTCCGTGTGTGAAAGGATAGTGTGAGAGAAAAATTAGATTCAGATTCAAATTTACAAGTGTAGGCACTATAATTCTGTCTCAAAGTTTTGTATTAAAGGAACAGTTCTTGATCCACAAAACAAGTGAACAGGACACAGGTACCGGTAGTGTTATATTAATAGTCTTTATGTTCAACAACAAACTACTTTTAAGTTAATAGACTCAATATAATACATGCAGTAAAATTAGATGAGCTGTACGACTTGCCGTTTTGATTTGGATTACAAGATCATAAAAATGTATACATATATAGTCGAAAATGAAGTCTACAAGAGAAACCTTTTAGTTACCATCCCTGGTCTTTTGCTTACGTGTTTATTCTTCTGTAGCACACATTTAGTTTGCAATATTTGAGCCGTTTATATATGTAGATCAAGTATAGCAGTCAGTTCACTTGCAGATTATTTTTATTAATGGATATTGGATAAACGGATTCGATCCAATTAATGTTTCAATTGAATAATCAATAATTTGTTACTTTTTCTTTCAAAAAAAGAACCCTGGATCATTTAACTATCTATTTTTGCGATACATATGAAATTAGCTGTGTAAATTACTGCTAAGAGTTGATTAGAGTAGGTCATGAAGTGATCTCAACCTTGTACTCGATAATTTTCTAGGCTATAAAATTATCAAGAGACAAAGTATATGTGAGACAATGACTTTATGAGTAGTTAATATATTGACTCCCTTGGCATCAAACGATCTTGACACACAAACTCAATCCTTTAAGCCAGATGCTTTACCGCTAATATCTTCTTTTGTACTTTCTTGTTACACAATTTGAGGGTGAGAACATCTGCTAAGTTAAGAGCTGGATCATTTGTCTACCTCTTGCAAAAAGAAATACGAAATCGCCGTATTCATTTCATAAAGATATTTGTAAGCCTTTTCTTTATTTTCGTTTTCTTTCAATACATATTCTCACACTAATATTAAAAATAAATAAATATCCTTTGTTTGACAAATACATTTCACATTTAGAGAGGTGTGTCCAATATATCTCAAATAGTCAAGCCAATCTGGTATACATTCTCTCAACATCATTTAAGAAACTAAAGCAATTAACGTTTCCAGTGTGCCAAAAGCACAACGATACAGCTTGTGATTTTTCCACATTTTTCTGTTCTTTTGCTCTTTCTAGTCCTCGTACATATATGAATACAAATACAAGGCTGTTGTTGTTGCTGTTGTTGAATTAAAGCAAGTTGAGGAGTAGGTGGAAACATAGACTCTATTCACAGTATTATGAATAAACAATTTCTAGATAAAAAGTCTTTAGCTACATGATTTATCAAGCAAATCCTTATTATCCCAAATTGCGACTATAAACCATTATAGAGTATCTTGTAGTAATTATTAAATAGCTGTTCAAAAATTCTCAAGTTGAGCACAAAATAATTGCCAGTTTTACGACAACATTATGAGTTGTGTATTTGTATCAAAAGTGTCAGGAGTTTATTAAATACTCAAATACACCGGTCTTTTAACAATAGAGAGGGTGTCTTCGAGCCTGAATTGAAAATGTTTGCAATTTTTTATTTTACGCGGCGAATTAAATTCCAATACTTGTTTTGCAAATTTCATGGTGGAGGCCATTTAGTGAGCATTTTAAGCCAAAAGTTAGGTAATCCCTGATTTTTTACTTCAAATGCTCACTAAATTTCTAGTAAAAATTGGGCTTATTTTTCCCACTTCAAAACAAAATGTATGATAGCCAGTAGCCTCTTCTTCATACTTACTTAATAAAATAGGCCTTGGAAAGTCAAGTTTATTAAGGTCTATTTCCTCTAAATTTCTTAGTATCAATGTTTTCAACTTATAATATTCATAACTGTGTCTGAGCTTTATTCTTATTTTTGATTGGGTTTTACAAATAATTATTTTTTAGTCATCTTGAAATTATCATAACTCGACACCCTCTCTAATTTCCCGTCTACTTTATTATTTATTTAGACAACAATCATCCAAGAGTTTTAGATATCAGAGCAGAATAAATGCACTACAAATCGATATATACGCATACTTCTTGACAGCAGTACTTGATCATGAATTCCAAAATACATTTCTAAAATCAATTTCAAGACAATTTCAAAACTTCAGCATACATGTATGTATGTGTGTGTGTACGTGTGTGGACCAACTTTATTTGTTTAATGTTATAATGTATATCAATAAAAAATACTTGAATTCGGGAAAATTTCAATATAATTATATAATCATATTAACATACTGGTCATAATAAATACTGTGTATAATGTAAATTGATATCAAATTGGTCTGATTTTGTGCGAAACATAGAAACTATATCCAGGTTTGAGAAAGTATGAGTTGTTTGTCAGAACGAATGATGCTAGAAAAAAAAAGAAACAGACTGTCCCTAGCCTAATTACCTATTTTAAAGACTTGATGCTATCATTGTGTAATCCAAATAGTTCTAAAGTTGCTACTATCATAAGGTTCTTGTTAAAAAGATGCACCGTATCGGTGTACATAAGATATGGTTGCGGACCACAAACACTTTAATAGGATTTCCTGAATCAGATTTGTTTTGTATGTATGTATGCGTGTGGGTGTGTATGTATATATATGTGTGTGTGTATAGGTATTTAAAGAGTCCGTGCCATTTTACGCCTTTCCTCTGTATCATTCGAGACACTATTTCCTCTTTTCTGACTCGTATGGTTCTGGGGTTCTTCTTCATCTTCGTCGTCACTCAATAAACTAATCACATTAGCCTGGATCTCCTTGGGTGGTACTTTGGACTTTTCATTTTTATCGCCATCAGTATCATCGTCTTCCGCATAATCATCTTCATCTTCAGCCTCTGAAACCACCCATGCATCACTTGAATCGGTGAACTCGATTTGTCTTGCAGTTCTTGGAACCTTTTTGAGAAGAAACTCAAAAAACATGTCACGTAATAATTCAGTTGGCGGAGCATATTTGTTACAGTGTGGGCATTTCCATTTGAGGTTGTTTGAATTGGTAGCAAGATATGAAGCAAGATCGAAGCACTACACCAAAAGACAAGTAAGAATGACATATATATGCATGTGCATATAGCAATGGATAGAGTTCTTTTTCTTTTTCTTCTTCAAATCTAAGCTATCAAATATCTATGTATTTTGTTTGTTTGTTTGCTTACATCTGGGTGTTGACAATTGATGCCTTTGACTGGTAGTTCTATTCTTACAAAGGAAATGGGGCATCTCAAGTTGAGTTTTACATTCTCTTGTCTCATCAAAATCTCGTCATTTTCGTCTTCAAGTGCAACGGATCCAAGCAATCTATTGATGCTATTTTTTCCTTTATCTATAGCAAGATGTCTTGTGGATATTGCTTCTACAATACGGTTGGCATTGTTTCGAACTATAACTTGAATAGCAAACCTATAAGACTACATCCTCTAGTAAGCTTCTTTCTCTGTTCTTTCTTCTTTTCTTAAAAATCCTCGGTTTAATCCCATAATATACTTACACAAGCGCACTCAGTCTGAACTAATGTGATTGAATTGGGTCCGTTATTTAGACAATATGTGATATCGCAAGGATAATCCTTTCCGCTATACGAAGTAACTGATTCCCCAGCCCGGTTGTTTGAAACTATCTTTACACGCTAGAATACCAAGGTTAAATAGATTAGACCCTCCAGCCAAATAAGATTATTTATATGTGTGTATATAGCTCTTACCTTTATTATGGGGGGTTTCTGGTTGTTAACTGTAATGTTAACACATTGTGGCCATTCACATTTTTTATCCTTCTCGTCCGTGTCTGACGCCTTTTTTTGGTTTGATGAATCGTCTTCTCTCCACGATGTTAGTACGAATGCCACTGGCAAGTCTTTTTGCTTATCCGATGATCCATAGTAAGCATGAAGTATTTTTTTACGGAATTCTTCGGTGTTTTCAAACTCAAATTTACTCGATTTTTGATTGTGGGCCAGTTTGAATGGTTTTAGCGCATAATCAATTCTTTGATTATATGGGTATTCTTCATTATTGTTAATATTAGCTTTGCCTCTTGTCCGTGAACGCGACTCTGGCTGTACGGCAGATACACCTTGGGATCCAGTAGCATAATTGGCAGATCGAGTATTTTGCCCTGGCTTATTATTTATACTACTCTTTAATAAGTTTGTGTCAAGTGTCATCTGTACCCATTGAGCAGGAGTTGCCAACTGTTGGTTTTGCTGTTGTTTCTGTTTATTTCTCTGTTGTTGAGGTTGTTGTGCCTGTGCCTGTGCCTGTGCCTGTGCCTGTGCCTGTGCCTGTGCTTGTGCTTGTGCTTGTGCTTGTGCTTGTGCTTGTGCTTGTGCTTGTGCTTGTGCTTGTGCTTGTGCTTGTGCTTGCGCTTGTGCTTGCGCTTGTGCCTGAGCTTGCGCTTGAGTTCGCATTAAAGGTTGCATTATAGGCTGAATTTGAGTTTGTTGTAGCTGCTTATTTTGCTTTGATTGTTGCTGTTGTTTTAGTTGTTGTAAATGTTGTTGCTGTTGTTGCTGTTTCAATTGATTAAATTGCTGTTGTTGTTGCTGTATTTGCGTCAAGTGTAAAAGTGTCGTAGTGTTTTGATTGCTTAAAAGTGTACTTTGCATCGATTGGGACGTTCCTGTGTGCGGTGATAATTGCGGTGATTGAGATTGTCCACCGAGAAACTGAGATTGTATCTGCTGGGGTAAGTTCTGTTGGCTGACCAAAAGAGCTTGTTGTATTTGATGTTGGTGTGCGTTAAGAAGTGTCTGTTGCATTGGATTCGGTTGACTTGTGATGATTCCTGGTTCCATTGTGTGAGGTTGATTATGAATGAGTAGTTGCTGAATCTGTTGTGCGAGGTAAGGTTGGAAGGATTGGTTGATATGTTGTGCCTGAGTATTGTGAATAGTCTGGACCTGTTGTTGCGGAATTTGAGAGAAGTCTGCCGGTTGAGAAGAAGGGACAAAAGAAGAGACGGGATGTTGAAAAGGTACGGCCATTGATTGATAAATGGGTGAAATAGATGCTCCAGGCGAGATGGATGTGGGATTGCTTGGCCGGGGAACTACGCGTGAGTTCTGTTGGGGTGAAGTCGCGTGGGATATTGACCTAGGGCTATTGAGGGAGATCGGTGGCTCGTCAGGTTGTGGAGAGTTGAGTCCCTGCAGGATATTTTGAGTGGGCGTGTTTTTAAGTGTTTCTATTGATTGTTGTGGGAATGCAAACTGTGAAGTCAAGGCATTTGTATTTTTGTAGGAATCTGTCGCGCTAAGATTCAGTTCGCTTTGAATTGGTGTCTCTGCATAATTCTTCGGAAGTGAACTAACAGCTGCTTTTATATTGTCATTCAATTGAGTTATGATTACTGTAGTAAAAAAAAGCCAAGGTCAGTGTCAAAATCAAGGTCAATGTTCAGGTCATTTTTTTTTAAGTAATTCAAATAAAAAAAACTTACTTTGATGTTTTTCGGATAAACTTGATTTGAAATTAAGAATAGTGGAAAGGACATGAGTTGCTGTCCAGGGACCAAATGTCATTCCAACTTCCACAACAGCCTTGGGATATATATATATATATATATTATAATCAAAAATTCATTAGAATAATAATTAGTATTAGCATAATTATTATTATCAATAAAAAGTGAGCAAAATGATTATGTATACGGATTCCAATATTCGAATGAATTTTATTAAAATCTACCTCTGCGCATCTAACTAATGCATCTTCATTGTACTCATTGTAGGCTCTTGAATCTCTTAACCATTCGATGAATTCATCACAGCCCAATGCGTACGTATTAAAATCCTTTATCTCTTTTTCTAGCTGTTTAAGCCTAGAGTTGTTCCGATCGTACACTTCGTCTTTTTCTTCGTTCATGACCGAAACCAAGGCAACGAAAGGTAGATATGTGATTATGAATAGAAATACAGTCAATTGACCCAAAATTTTTACTTTATTTTATTTTCTATACTGATTCCTCTTTGTCTATTTACACCCTTTAGTTGAATGATCTTTTCGGTACCTAAAAAAGAAGAATAATAGGGAGGGGGATTCAACAACTCTTTAAGATTTTATGTTGACACCAATTAGTTTAAACTAAAGATATGATTGGATTACATTAATTTTGAAGAATAAAAGTAAGAAACAAAAAAAGTTCTGAAACAAAAGGTATGTAATCCAGCAATTGGATCATCTTTAACAGTTACTGGATCGTTTGCTGACGTAATCCAGCTCACAGTAAGTATTAATTAATTGACACAATTTTGTAATTGTCTAGAATGCTTAACATTAAGGATCATTATATATGGTCCCTTGCTCTGACACACATTATTCTTTTTAAGAGCACAGTCCCCATCTAAATCAATATAAGCATATATTAAACATGTGTATTGTTTTTGACAATATAAAGTGCTAATTTCATTGGAAAGAGATAGATAACGTGTTGAGCTTTGAAATAAATCACAATTCAACGCCCTCTCTAATCAATCAGGTACTTGTTGTCAATTTCCAGTTGCTAATTGTGGATAGATAAGATTGAATGGATTGGATTTGGTAGATACTTAGCTGAGAAGCTACGCATGAGCTCTGCTCTGGTGACGATGGATGTGTGGTGATCTAATGATTGCATATCGCAGTCATCATTGTTAAAACTAGGGAGAATTGACATGGAATTCTTGGGACACTTACCGGATATTCCATCCTTTTGTCTGAGCACGTAGTGACAAATTCTTTGCTTTCATATTTCATTTGAGTGACAATAATTGATGTCTATACCAATACTGCTTTTCTGAGTCAATGGTGTTCTTTAGCAAGCCAGATTACTGCCAATAATTGTATTTATATAGTAATGAGATATACTTAGGTACCCAACTGGACTGCATTAAGAAGAAAAAACAGTTTTTCCAAGTTTGTTTAAATATTTTGTACTAAAACAAAAATGAAAATGATCTATACAAAAGTTGAAAGCCTTGGTTTAAATAAAATAGCAATAACTGCACTTGTTGTTTAGTTTCTTTTTTCTTTATTTAATACATTCTATACTCATCTTCTAACATTTATGATAGTGCTTCTTCCTAAAGTTTCTTATGCACTTTTTATACTGTTATCAATTTACGTATTCACTACTCATTTTCACCATCTAAATGTCTAAAGTTATAAACCCTTTTCAAATTTCTAGAGCTGTCTTGATAGCCAGAAGTTCTCTTGTGTAAATTCAATTACTGTATGATGTGACATTTGATCACTATCGTTAGCTACTTCTCTACTGTTTATTTCACTTGAATAACCCTTATAACTCTTATAGCATCTAAAATCTCCTAATTCTCTAAAGTCTCTTAAGTCTCCAAGGTTTTCAATGTTACTAAGTTCTTTGAATTATCTGATGCTTTTGATACAGTCAGAGTTTTATTTAGTAGAACAATAAAATTTTCATCCATTTTTTTTTCGTTGATCTGATTTAAGAAACAAAGAAAATAGAAAATTAGAGAATCTACCTTTTCGAAAAAGGTCACCTTTAAAAATCATGATGGACTTTTTCTAAAAGGTGAAACTATTATTATCCAATCATATTAGCCAAAAATTACCGTTTTTAATTACCGACGATTATTTACGAATGATGACCCCTAATATGTATTATATGATTTATATAAAGTCATTTGGCCATATTTGTTTGTGACCTGGCTAATTGCAAATGTCTATTAATCTGTTTTGCTAAAGTACTATCCGCTTTTAGTGAAAAACGCTATTGCTGCTACTGGTCTTTTAGTAAAGTAAAAATAAAGATATTTAATTTTGTCATTTTGAAAAAAAAAATGGTATGCTTTACTCTAATAGCAATGAAAGATAAATATCAACCTTCAATTCCTCGTCTCTTATTGCAAATTTTGAAATAATAGGTGTATCATCCTTCAATCGCTTCTTGAATCCACACATAAAACTATCTAAGATAAAATAAAGAAAGAGGAAGCTGCGGAAAGAATGCAGTTTATTGGTGTCCTAATGATACTCTCTTTTTCTTTCTTTCTTACAAGAGCGTGGCTTTTAAATGGATATCAATCCCAATAATCTATCAAAACAAATAGAAGATGGATTACAACAAACACAATACATAAAATCATTGGTGCTGAGCTCGATACCTCTTTGTCTCCTAGTCTGATATTTGCTAATAATAAGGTACCAACTAAGGAAGTGAGGAAAGAGACTTGGGCACATCTTTTTTTTTATTGTGAGTTCAATTGGATTAATTAGTTAACTACTGGGCTGCAGTAAAAAAAAAGACATTTTATCTTTTTTGAGCAGTTGGATCTTCCTTTTCCTAGGGTCCCTAACAATTATCAAAAGCTTTTACAGCAACGTTGGTATTCATAATCAATAATTATTACATGAATTATAAATTAATATATAATGTATCGTGGCTAAGAATAAATATCAATATTCTTGATTCTTTGTTTTTAGAAATTTTAATATATATAATATATATATACTCTCTTTAGATGCATATACTAAAAGCTGATTGCTACAGATTGCGAAAAAATAATATTATAAATAAAATGTGTCATACCAAATGGTTATAGAGGGTGTGGATTATGTTCTATTATATAGACAAAGAAATGTACAAATATACAATGATCTCATTTGACCGCCCCACAAAATGTAAAAGGAAAGAAGTATAAAATTAAACGAAAACTCTATTTTAAAAGACCGAAAACCCTTTCCCCCGATGAGTTTATATACTACAAAATACAGGCAGTCATACTTTCCTGAACCTGAAAGAATTCAGCAAGTCCAGCACAAACTCGGTGTGGACAGACCAAAAATTCAAGAAAAAAGGTTAAAAAAAAAAGGCAAAACGAGCTCATCTTGAACTTGGCCAATCAGACTAATTTATGACTGACCACACCTTTCTTTAAAAAAGTGCAAAATTAGTCCAAGTACATATTAGATAAGATTGTGCTTATAAAGCTTTCCCTGTCATTACGTGAAAACCTATTTTGCGAGTTATTCTATATATCGCATTCTATGGCGCATTTCTCCTATAAAAATACTCTTTTTCTCAATTCTAGTGGCAATGGAAGAATTATAGCCAATCAGAGTCGTTTACAAATTGATCTTTTTTTTATCCTTACTTTGCCCTTACTTTGCCTTTTTTTTACCTTTTTTTTAACTTGAAACTATCACAACTCGACACCTTTATTACACGTACTACCTTATTAAACAACTTCTTCAATAAGCCGAATGTCATTTATACTGGGGCTCATATTCACCCAATATTCATCCAATATTCGGCTTGAAGAACAATTTATCAATTGATTATAACTTTTGATTACGTCAACTCCAGAACTACGTCTTGGATGTTTACCTCTTTGTTTTATTTTTCTTTACCCTAAAGTATTTTGGCAACTCACATATCCACTGAGCTGGTAAGATTAGCTGCATAAATATAAAACGAATCCACATTGTGAATAAATATATAATAATTGAAATGTATAGTACAAACAAACGTCATATTCACAAGTTTGAGAAAGAATAATCGAATGCGTCGAAAAAAAAACGCCGCAAGAAACTTTTTACCAAGGAGTGAACACCTTGCCACCATCCTTTCTACAAAGTAATACCAAACGAACCTTATCCGAAAGCTTTTCAGAAGAAAGTTTCAACAAAAAAAATCGTGTAGAAGGGCCGGTGAAAGACTTGGAGGAATGCTTCTTTACTTCGATGAGAGACCGCGTAGAAGAACTTGTCAAGCAAACTAAAACTCAAGATAAAACAAATGAACTGAAAAACAAGCTCCTAAATGTAAAGACTCTACCGGCAGCAATAATAACGAACGCAGCACAACTTGCCAAGTGTGACAGAAAAGTAATGCGCTCACATATGGAGCACCGCCCTGGGCTAAAAGATGTTGAAGAATGGAAGAAGTTCGTATCTCAAAACTTCGACAAAATAGCTGAGGCTGTCGTAGGTTCGGTCGTAAAAGACACAGCTAAAGTATACTCTTCTTCCACTCCAACAAATAAACAGCCGTATGAAAAAATGAGAACGTGCACGGTCCAGATAAACAGCCTCTTCAGATCGGATCTCCCCCCTATTGTAAAGACATTCGTGTGTACTAGATTACAAGATTCGATGGTTACCTCGACAGATTATACCCTTTGCTTTTCGGCACTCGTGAATATGATAATAAGTGAGCTGAGGACTAGCGAATTCTTCTTTGACAACAATGATATCAATATTAAGAAAGTTCCTGGATTCAACCTCGCCAAATTGCTGTCTTTTGTTACAACTAATGAGCCAAAACAGACCATCCAGCCATTGGACAAGGATTTAATTGCCTCTAAACGATTTGATACGGACTTCAAGTGTCTCTTCACAAGCCAACATCTGCAAGTTGTGCATAGTTATTTTTTTGGTGCCCGTGGTGCTAAAGAAGAAAATTTAAACTCCCACCCTGTGCAGAATAGTCTGTTTTGTTCTTTCAAAGAATCCGGCCTTGATAAACAGAGCTTCTGTCTTGAGAAAGCATCATCGTCGGCAATGTTGATGGCTCTTGAAACGTACCTGGTCAACTTCGAGAATATGTGGGACGGCAAAAAGATAATCAACAAGCTTTTGGACAAAGTGGTACTAGTGCTACTTCGCCACCATCTTGCCCGCAATAGAGACTCAAAGCGTATCTCGACTACAACAACAAGGAATCCACATGAAAAGAAGGATATAAGAAACCATGCGCGTTATGTTTGTTGTGCAGAGGATAAAAAGTGGAAAAAGTTGGTACAAAGAAAGGAAAAAGCAGGCGGATTAGAAAGAGAAAAGTTGGCCACTAAGATAAATAGTGCGAAGCAGCGTCTAGCAAATTTAAGGCATACTTTTAAAAAGGTAAGGTGAAAACATTTTTATTGGCTTGAAATTGCCAGCTAATGCTTCATTTTACTATAGAAGATAAGCCAAATGCTGAATGATAGAAAGGAAGCTTCTGTGGAACACAAGCTCGTTGTTCAGGATTTGAACATCGCGGAAGAACAGCAAGATTTTCTGGAAGAGGAGGGGACTTTGGATGGTGATGTTCCGGAAAGGAGGTTGAATCAACTCAAGTCCATAATCAAACACTTGGTCTTCAGCAATGATACGCCTGTATATTTAGAAGATGCCAAACATCAGTCTCCTGAGGCCACCACCACCGAAAAGTCAGTATGCTTGTTGATCTGCAATACGTTGATGAAGTTCTTGCCTCCGAAAAAGCAATATCATGTAATTGCGTATCAGATGTATTTCTGTATCTTTGCAAACGACGTTCTTAAATATGCACGTTATACAAAGTTTACTCGCGCATTATATCCTTCAACATTATTCTCGTCATTGAGTGCACTACACCTGGATTCAGTTGCATTATATCAGCTATTGACCCAGAATATAGATCAAGAAAAGTTAGAAGAACCATCATCACATACCAACCAGCAAGAGAAGAAAGGGTATAGTAGAATGATATTTTATGGGTATAATAGGGATGAGCTGATAGGGTCTCAAGACAAAGCGCGCCAAAACAAAGATGCCACATTTAATGCAGTATTTGATATGGGAGAGATTCAGAAAGCATGTGAATCGTATGGTCTATCTTTTGCACATCGGATGACATGTCTACCAGGAATAAAAACAGTACGATTATTGGGATCGAAAATAAAAACCCGTGGCACCGTAAAAGAGGGGACAAAACAGTCATATGAAGCACGGATTTTAAGAAACCCGAGCATTATGCAAGAAGGACGAAAAACAAAGGACATTCTTTTTTCTGAGCTTCAGAGCTTAACAGAAGAAGTCAAGACACTTGAATCTGTCCGTAAAAGAGAGCTAGATCTTCTGAAAGACAGTAACTTCCAAAGGAAAATCAAGGAATGTAAATCAAATTGGGGGACAACAGATGACAAGGATCAGTTATACCGGACGATTGAAAAATATAAAGAATCGAGATATAAATCTTATTTGATGGTTAACAAGATCAGAAACAAACTCGCCGAAAAAAGACAACAGCTATATTTCCGACAGATGGCAATTCGTTTCAAATCAAAGCTCCATAATGTTAAAAATGTCCCTTAAGATAGCAGAAGTCCAATTGAGAAATGTGACAAAGGTGTGACCAAGGCGGAGGACCGAACTGTTGTGAATCCTGGTTACTTTAACTATGCGGGTACTGACAATGGCCTGGTGAATATGACAACATCAATACCGATGTCGTTACAAAGAATGAAATTTCACCTAAAGTTTTTCAACTATTACACCGCGTTAAGAAAGGTCTCCAATGAAGACAGTATCGGCTTGAATCTATCCAAAGAAGAAGAATCATTCCTACATTTGCCATCAGTTACAAATACGAAGACTAGTGATGTTGATGTTAGCTGTGGGTATTTTCGGCAACGAAAATATTTAGAAAGACGAAAGTATACAGATTAAGGGGAAAAGGTCCGGTCAATAGAAGATTCAATGAGAGAAATGGAGTCGACCCCAATCACTTCTATCGGCATGACCATCAAAAACGTTCGTGATAAATGCGAACAACGACGAAGGCTGCGGAATTTCTATAATTCTCCAAAAATCATCAACCAAAAAAGACATGTAGAAATCCAACATCGTTATCGGCATCACCTCTGTCGGCGAGAGAGATTGAAATTGAAGCATTCAGAGAGTAATAATTTGTTACCAATATTAGTATTGTATTCGATTTTTATTAGCGCGCATTTTTTTTGGCTCAACAGATAAGTCGTCTTCTAAAAAGCCCTTGATACTCTTCATTGGTTATCGGGAGACCGGTGCCGGTTCTCGAATTAACGGCTTTAGAAAGTATGGTGGTAAGTGGAAGCAGAAGATACATGGGGAAGCAGTTACTGTCTACATCACGAATGAGTGCAAGACCTCCCAAACGTGTATATTCTGCTTTTCGCTTTTAACAAATCCTAGGATTCTTGGCGAAAAGGAAGGAAGTTACAAAGTCAACAAAGGCATCTTCCTTTGTATCAATCCTCGGTGCATAACTGTCAAGAATCGATGTGCAAGTAAGCCGAGAGATGGACTTTCAGCTCTCGCCATTGCGCTGGTAGGCCTAAGCTCAGTTATGTTTGGTGCCGCGCTACCTCCTTTTTACAACGTCAGCCAAATAACTGCTAAACATTATACAAAAAATAACATCTAAATTCTGTACACGAAGAGACGATTTGGCAGCTACGTTGTAGCTCTGGGGGGTAAATATCATTGTAAAGTACCAATGCTTATGAATTTTTAATTTATTAATTAATATTATCATTTCTTTTTTTTTAAAAAGAGTGACTGCCCATTTTTTGTGGGAAATAAAGGCACTCCCTTTCCCCCTGTATTCACTTTCCTCTCTCCTTCTTCCACCACAAGAACATAATAATAATAATAATAGTAGTAATATACTATAAAGAAATACTGCATTATCAATATATATATATAGATATATACCACCAAGTCAATAAAAAAGCAACCAAACTTTTTTTTTGTATTAAACCTATCTTCTAACCAGGATGAATTTCTACCCAGCTGTGAGTGCCTCGTCCGCATTTCCAAAAGACGGAATGAAAAACAAAGATGAGGTTGTTAATGTAATGAAAGCCTATGCCATTGAAAACAACTTTGTTCTTGTCACTGCCAGAAGTCAGGTTCCAATTCTACATCTCAAGTGCGCCAAGGGAGGCGCATACAAAACAAGGCGTGATGGAGACGAGAAAGCTAAACGAATCACTCAGACTTGCCGGGTTGGCTGCCCGTACTTGCTGAGATTTTCTTTTAGAAAGAAGGAGCAAAAGTACTATCTTTTGAAAAGCCTTCACGAGAAAGAAAAGTATCACAATCATCCTCTGTCTCCAAAAGAGCTATCGACCCTTCACGAGGGTCGAATGGCTACGGTTACCAAAGAAGACTTTATCATCGCCGGACAACTATTTACAGAAAATTCAAAGACTATCAAAATCCAAGATCTACTCAACGACGAGAGTGCTCCTGGAAAAATGTTGGCGTCACATATTATCGACGACTAGAGATATTTTCATTTGTTCAACAAAGTGACATCCGAAGATCGACAACTCCCGGATACAAGTAAATATTAATGAAGGCTAAAGAAAACTACGGTTGCTTCCGAACTTGAACCAAGAAAACCAAAACACACAAAAAGAAACAAATCGACAATAATGTACGGATTATTTTGGGTGTATATTAGCCAACAAGATAGACACTTGTGTGAAAAAAATATATAATAATTATAAGGAAATAGACACAAAATAAAGAAAGAGGTAAAAGGTTTGGGGGAAGTAGGAAGTAGACATCAAACAACGACAACAACAACAAAGAAAGAAGACTAAATTGGAAAATTGAGAGAGAAAGAGTAATGTTTTGTAAATATGGAAAGATAATTCTCATCGATGAGACATGCTTTTCATGTATAACCTGGATTACTTGGATATATTTTGGTTAAGCTAAGAAATCAGGATCATTGGTGGAACAAGACCAGATTCGACTATTTGTTACATATATACATACATACTCTCTCTCTTTAGGTGGTCAACAACAACAACAAAATACTACATTCCAGAAAAGAGAGAAAGAAATATGTTTCTTTTTCGGCTCAAAGAAAATTTCTTTTTCTTTTTTCTTGAAGGCTGTGGATCGCATTCTAATGAATTACTTTTTTGGTGAAAATTTTCTACAGAAATCACAACGTTTCAAAATTCCCAAAGCTCTATTGAGTATAATTCAATCCTCAGTAAGTATTTAATGATTCGAAACAATTTTTAAATAACTTGAATGTTCTCTGAAATCCTTTTCATTAAAAAAATATACATACATACATATATATATATATATTTGAACAGAAAATCTTTATATGAATTCCCACCGTACTATTGGCGTTCATTAATATAATCTACTCTATTTTATTTATCTCTTTCTCTTTCTCTTTCTTGTGGTTCTCACAGTAAAGTCAACTGTATTGAATTTTGTAGTATTTGGTATAAAAAAAAGTGGATAATATTGAAATCTAAAAACAGTATATTGTCTGGGTTTAAACCTTATTTTTCCATTTTGTTGTTAGGTGACACAAAGATGTTTTTTTTTTCTGAGCATCTCCCTCAAATCCAGTAACTGAAGAATGCGAAATGTAGCTCTATTTTTACTAAAAAACAAAGAAATAAAAATCACTTGGAATTGAAGCAAACATAAAATCTATTTTACTTGGATACAATATATATATATAAAAATTAATAATAGATATTAAGTTGATTTTTACTTTAATATTTGCAATATGTATACTTATGTATATTACATGTGTGTGTGGGTGGGTGCTCTATAATAATAAGTACAGGCAAATTTGAGCATTTCTTTTTGAAAGAAAAAATCTCAAAAGAAATTATACCAGTCAATTGTACCTTTCTTCTATGCGCAAGTTATTTTTCAAGACCTTTAAAGAAAATCTGAAATACATGATTTATGGTACTTTAAGATGAAATAGACGGCTAATTTTCCTTATGATTATTATCATAGTTGCGATGTAAAGATTAGCAAAGTGTGATTATTCAATTTTATAAGCTGACTATATCATGATATTTTGTAGTATTAAACATTCTTAACACATAATTACCATGGCAGGTGTTTTTTTTATCACCAAAAATGAGGCCGAGGTTTTATATACCACGGTTGTTTGTTTAAGTTTTTATTTATTTATTTGCACTGATTACATTAATCCGTTTATTTTGTTTTACCAATATATTACTATTTTTTCAGTTGTTGTTTTCAATTTCTAGGCCTTGTATAATATCCTACCCTGTTTTGTTTTTATTTTCATAAATAACGAAAGAAGTTTATTATACACCACATCAGATTATGATAGAGCAAACACTGTTATTCTTCTATGTACAATACCATATTATGTCATTGAACTATTATGGTTATTTAGATCTTGCTTCAATAGTTTATATTTTTCTTGATCTTGTAGAGTAATTATCCTTTATTAGTCCTGATGTTGAAAGTTTGGGGGGAGTCATATTGTATTCTTATTTTTTGAATTACAGGCTTTTCTTTTTTTGACCATCTTGATGGGGTATAGTCATGGGGTAAATTGCAATTTATTTGTATATCTTTTAACAAAAAAGAAATGAGAAAGAGGTTTACTGATTTACTGAATATTGGGATTTGAAATCTTGGAGGATTTCTAATTAGAGTAAGGTGTACAGTGGTTATTGGCTATCTCTTTTTCTTTCTCTGTGTGTGTGAGAGTATAAACTGTGTTTGTTTCCAATTATGGTTTGATGACCACTCTGGTAAACTCTAAGCTTATAAATAAATTTATAGATCTATAGATGTATATAAATATATAAATATACATGTATACAACATAACATAACATACATATAATACAGTGCGGTATGGGAATGTGGGAGTAGAATCTAGAAGATGCTTGTTTTGAATTTTGAAGGGCCATGTGAATGAGGATCTAAAAGAAGCGATAGTTGTAGGTGCAAGTTCTCTCTAGTGTACCACTATCATTCTGCTACAGAGCTCTGTTGGCCTAGTTGTTGGGTATTTGAATTACTATTATTTTTATTATTATTATTTTAGTCTTATAAGAAATTACAACCAGCCGATAAAACCAAACCCAGAGAGAGAGAGACAAAAAAAAAAGAGGGAAAATTCGGAGCCGAAATAACTATCTCGAGTTCAGCTTATGTACATAATTACATGCCTGGGAAATACGCTAACTAAGGGTAGAAAACTCACGGGATTTTATTGCAAGGGATCCCTTTACTGTTTTAGAAGGGAAATCAGGAGATAATTAGAAAACAAGGCAAGGCATGGCAAAATATAATAATAATAATAATAGCCTTGGTCTGAATATAAGATTACATCTGACTGACTGCATCACTAGGCGTGTTCCGATCATTGTGAAATAAGTTGTAATCTTTGGACACAATGATGAATAAGCTTGAGAAAAACATTGACTGTCACTGGGCTGTAACAAGCTCATACATTTGTAATTTTTGATTTATTACTTTTATGATCCTTTTCTTTCTTTCTTTCTTTCTTTCTTTATATTTCTTCTTTACGCAACAAGCACACAGACACAGAGAGAGAGGTTAAAGACCGATGGTTAGTTAGCTGTTACTTTGCAACCTTGTAAAGAAAATGGTCTCTATGGTGTAACCGTGTTTATCTTTGTGATAACCGAGCCTATGGTATAATATTTCGATAATCTGCAATACTTCTTTGTTTTTTCTGCTTCAAAGAATGAAAAGCAATACTATTTTGGCCAAGTACATCAATATTTATTTGTTTTTTTTACTGCAAGAATAGAACTATAGCTAACACTATGTTTGATAAAAATATAATATATATATAAAAGAAAACTACGTGTTTTAATAAAAACATCCCTTTGACTTTTTTTTTCTTTTCAAAAATATTCCAAATAAAGAAAATTCAAGCATAGTAGTATCTCCACATTAATCTTTAATATCGTATGGTGTTTTTCTCCACTATTGCAGAGTTCCAACCCCACTCCCCACAGTTTAGACAGTGAATTTTATGAAACGTGCTACCATATACCCCACATCCGACCATCTATCTATCTAATCAGTATAGTGTGGAGTTATATCTCGGTTATTGTTCACATTCAATTATTTGATCTTCTTTTTTTTTTCAAAAAGGCGCAGTACTGATTATCAAGCAATACTATGGAATTACGAACCAATCAGTCAGTCAATAGAAAGAAAAAACAAGTGCTAAGCAAAATAATAATATAGTAATTCTAAACAAATATACAGAAACGATCTGATAATTGTGCTGAGCGTCACAAAAAAAAAGAGACTTGAAATATATAAAAATCAAACGAGTTTATAAAATAAAATATTGGAACAAAAATACACACACACACACATATATATATATAAAAACACTAATATCAAATAACACGACCTCCCCTTTTTTTCCTTATTCTATAAAAAGTATTTAGTCCAGAAGTGATGCAATATATACCTCTGTATGACATACACACACACACACACACACACACACACAAGATGTGGAACTTGTTGAGCACTTTGATTCAAAAAGGCAAGAATATTGTAAAGTAAAAAAAAACAATTAGAAACGACAAAATGGTAAGTTTGATTGGGTGGTTGGAGTTACATGTTTAGATAAAGATAAGAATAAATAAATAGACTGAGAGAGAAAGAGATAGAAGGAATTAGAGAAAATATTTACAAGATTCTTCATGTACTTTTAAAAAAAGGTATTCAAAAACGTGTCAGTGCTGTCAGTTTCTTACTGACAAGTACAAGAACTACATAAGAGGCGAAGGGCTTTTTTTTTGTTTAATAGATATATGTATACAAAATATATTATCAATATATTTGCAATTACAAGGTACAGCTATAGACATCGAGTAACCTAAATATAAACACTAATTGAAGCCATGTTTTTATTCTTTTTTTATGATTATAGCTATAGATCACATCACGTTTGAAATAAAGATCAATAATGAAGAGAATTACTACTTGGTGTCTCTCTTAGGATAAGGAATTATTATTATTATTATTTTAAAAAAAAATAGACATCCTTTGTATTTCTATGTTATGTTTTCTGTTTTATGTGTTTGTAAAATGTATTTTGTTAAACACTGTTTTCTTTGATCTGGTTTGCCTTGAAGCACTATACCACAACAAACCTTACATTTTTATTCCTCGGAAAAGTCTCCACTCTGCCTTCCATTCTCTTACTTTTGTTATTGTAGTGCCCCGAGTATCGGATCAATTATAAATTCAAAACAGCAACAGCAACAGCAACAACAGCAATAATAATAATACAAAAAAATTACACGTATTATATGTATTATTAGAGTATTTCTTATATTGAACTTTACACGCTTTATATATATATATCATACTATATATAAATTAGAATAGTGGAGCAATCAAGCACAATTTAACATAAATGATTTGAATATATTTCTTTTTAAGGCCCTTGTACAATGAATTGAATTGAGTTGAGTTGATTTGATTTGATTTGATTTGAATAAAGACGAAGAAGAGGAAGGAAAAAGACATACGTTTGTTGGAAAGCACAATAGACTATAACGAGTAACAGTTGGCGAAACCACACTCCACTTTTATGCTTTCTTTTAAAAAAAAAAAACAAGAAAAAACAAGAAAAAACACTAAGAAATGTCTTATCAAGGTTTGTTGACTTTTTCTTGTTTGACCCTCTCAATTGAGACTAAAATCTCAAAGAAACCTTTGTTCTGTAAATAAATCAAGTAAAAATATATACTCCTCTCTTTTCCTTTTTGCTTCTATGGTGATTTTGGTTTATTTATATTCATATACTTTTGTACCTGTACCTGTCCTACGTTGTATTTGCCTTACCATCGCCAAGGCTTGAAAATAAAAAGGAAATCTCCTCCACTTGGATTTGCCTGACCAATCAGATCTAATGCATCTATTTTCTTTTTATCCCCCCTTTTTTGATCTTTCTCCACCTTCTCCCGCCAGCTCCAAGCTGAGTAACATAAATCTGAAATCTACGAAACTGTAACCAATAATTTTTTTTTGTTAATTGGATCCATTGCCTTTTCTTTATATATGTTGTAAGTATTCTTGATACAACTATAGATAACCTATTGCTGTGTTCTTGGTCATACCAAGAGCGTAACAATATATCTCCCCACTTAAACCCCACTATTCCCTCCACAATTTTTTTTTAAAAAAAAACTGAATATTCTGACGAAAGAAGTACACATTTCCAGAAGACGTTCTTTTCTTTCTTTCTTTCTTGTATTGATACTAATCAATTATAGCTTAGTTTTTATTTCTTTCTTTCTTTCTTCCTTTTGGTGTACATATGCACAAGTTAATAATTAACATCATCTATCATTTATTTTCTCTCTCTCTCTTTTATTAAAGCAAGAAAAGTATTATACTTGATTTTGGTAAGTTATTTTGTTAACACATGCACCAAAAACTTTCTTTTTTTTTGTTTTGCTTTATTTATTTTAGTATTGTCTTATCTTTGAAGTTTATGCTTATATTTGAGTTTTGTATTTATAAATAAATAAATAAATCAGTAAAGCATGGAAACCGAAATTTAATGCCTCTTATTTTTTTTTACTTGTGTGTCTGGATACTGTACAAAAGCATCCTGTGATACATCAGCCCATGAATATTGGTAGTAACTGTACACCTTTGAAATTTTTTTTTTCTGATCTATAACATTTTAAGCCAATTTATAAAGTGAAATATTAGAAAGAATGTATGTGTATCTTAATAGGTAGCTAGGTATGTATTCGACTTTTTTGCTTGTACAATATTTGTTACTTGTATCTTACTTTAACACAACTTTATTTTTATGGTCATTGTAATATCACCAAAATTTCGTTTTTTTTACAAATTGTTGTTCTTTTGAAATACTCAATAAACAAATTGACAAAAAAATTATCAAGTTTTCTACTGTATACAAAAGAATTGGAGATGAGGGAAAGATGTTTATCGTACCAAGTTCAATAAATTATTATGATCTTGAATGAGTAAAAATAACAATAATAATAATAATTGAGTTTTGCAGTTGTGTCAAATCAAACTATATACACAATATTCTGTATAATAATCTTCAAGTGTTTTCATAAAAAAAATCTGTTTGCCAGCCAGAAAAATCAACCAAAGCTTTATCTATCCCTATTACTATCACTATCAACCAAAAACACAAGAGTTGACGCTTGTCAATTGGATAGGAAAAGATCATAATTTCTTATGAAATATTTAAGAAATCAAATTGTTATTTTTTGGGATTTTAAAACAACGACTATTCATATTTGTATCGGTGTTTCATTATATATGCCCAGCTTACCAATATTTAGAATATCGAATTTATTTCTTTAAGCTTGATACACACCCAATCTCTTGATGGAATTTATATATATATATATATGTAAAGAAAAAAAAAGGGTCATGGTGCTACCATGATAGTAATAGGGCTCACAATAATCTATAAAAGGTAAGCGGTTCAAACTGGGAAATCCCATATGTTTCTCTTTCTATTTTTTTCTCAGATCAAATCTATATAGTACATTTTTAAATCACCAAAAGAAGACATCATTATTATTCTACAAAGCGCAGTCCGAAACCATCTTTACTTCCATAAATATATAATTTTATATATAAATGCCTATATACATATAAATGAACACATATATGTATATAAATATTTTATCAGCACATAAAATTTTCCACCCCCATTATTACTAGCAATTGAAGAAAGGGACACAATTACACACGTCTCTAACCAACTAACCAACTAACCAACCAATGTTTGTTAAATGTACTTATATATATTTATATTTATATTTATAAAAGAAATCAATTAGTTTCAGTTTATTATTTCCCACCATATCAAATCACATCACATCATATCTTGTCTAAATCTCATTATTTCTTTCTTTAGGTAAATGCATAAAGACAAGAATATTTGTAATATTTTTGGTCTGCTAGTAGAACAGTAATTGAATATCCTTGGTTGGTTTGCTACTAGAAACCAATAAGAGAGAGAGAGAGAGAGAAATTAAATAAAAATCCTAGTAGTTTTTTTTTGGTGCACAAGCAAAAAGGATTGTGGGGTATTTGTAATATATTGTATTGTGTAGGTTGGGTTCGTTCTATTACATAGACAAAATTGTATTGGTATCTTTTACTCCACTTTTTTTTTGTTACTGTTCCTTATTAATAATTATTTAATATTTTAAATAAATAAATAAAATGATTCTATTGTCAGCCGTGTGGGGAGAACTCGATTCTCCATGGTGACACTTTGGATTACATTCCGTTTAAGGCATGAAGCTGGATCACTATTTTGCTTTCTCTTGCACTCTGGGTAGGATAACTATATATATATTTATATATAATAGAAAGTAAAAGAAGCAAGAAAGTGTAGAGATATCAAAATTGATCTGGAAACTCTTTCAGACTGCATTAGATTCGCGTCATTAACACTTCTTTTTGTTTTTGACAAAGACATACTATATAGTATATATGAAATGACTTTTTATATATATATTTATTTATTAATGATTTGTGAGATTCTTTTCTGGCCTTGTTGTTTTATGCGAGGGAGAATAGTAGGAAGTGTTTAGGATTAGGTTGGGCGGGAAAACGCGGATGTGGTTTGGTTACAAGAAAAAAATGATTGGATATACAATACACTTCTTTTTCGGATTCACTGATTTGATTTGCTTTTTTTTTACGATCCCTTGTACTTTCTTTTCTTTGGTTGGTTTGTTTTTTGTTTTTTGTTTTTGTTCAACCCCCCCAGATTTGCGATATCTGGCGGGGAGAGAAGGGAGGAAAGGAAAAAAAAAAGGGGGGGGGGGGTGTTTTTTTTATGTATGTATTTTAGTTGGTTCAATTAAGCGATATCCCACAAACCTTATCTCACTATACAAAATAGTAAAATATTTAAAAGACAGACAGGGTTTGTGTAGTGGAGTGTATTGTAGTGTAGTGTAGCAATATAGCCTAGAATATGTACAGACATTGAGTGAGAAAATTAGTGGCAGGATAAAGTCTATTTAGAGTACAGCCTAGTAATACTGATACATTGGTCTATAATAGAAAAAAGAAAAAGAGTGAAATATCATTATCCTAAAGGCAGGCCATATGGCTTGTATATCTATCTATAGGTGTATCTATAGATACGGATAGTATTATTTTTTTTGCTGCTAATACAACTACTATTACTATTACTACTAGGTATTTGAACTCAATTGATCGTACCATCTTACCATATACTGGTAGGAGTTATTCCCCACCTTTTTATTCCCCCATTTTCCTGTGCATGGATACAAAAAATAAAAAAAAACTTGTTCTCGAAACAAAGAGAGAAAGAGATGTTTCACAGCCATAACTTACACCTGGATCCTTAATAGATTTTAATGGTCTTTATAAAAACAGAATAAAGATACATTCGATAGAATATAAATATTCAATGCTCAAAAAGAAAGACATTTGTGACATTTCAATAGTACAACCAAAACAAGAGGGCTACCGAGAATAACCTAATCAAAACTACGATAGTCTGTGTGTGTGGGGAAAATATCGACCTCCACAATAGGTCTCCTTTCTTTTCTTTTTTTCTTCTTTTTCTTTGGTTGTACTATTTTATCGGCGAATCTAACTATTGCGTGAGAAGCACAGTCGACAATATATATATTGATATACAAACTCTTTGTACACTCTGTGCTGATGAGAGAGCTACACAAGATCAAAATCGGGAAACTGTTTGACAAACGGGATCATGAGGGAATATATACTTTTTCTTTCTTTCAAAAGAGAAAGAAGACTTTGTATTCAAAATGACCAAAAGCAGGCAATTTGTGGTAGTATTATGTAAAGAATATTCTAAATTGTAGACTGCCAAACAACACCATGAGAAAAAACACAAAGAAAAAAAAATTGTATAGAAGGAGAATCAAATGGTAAAGACAAAAAGAGAAATATAGTTGATCTTGAACCATATATTGATAGATAGCCAGATAGCCAAATAGTCAAATAGTCAAATAGTCAAATAGAATTCAACAACCCAAAAAAAAATTCATAAATATATATATATATACCACAAATCCCAACTTCAAAATCCCAATTATTCGAAACCAAAAAAGCATCACTCACATTCACCTTTACCTTTACCTTTACCTTTACACCACAAACACCATACATACAACACACATCATCTTCATTTAATGGTGGCATTCGACATACCTGAGATTCCGGCGTATGTCTACGAACAAAATATGTTCATTCAAGAACTAAGCCCTATCGGAGGGAGCTTAGTCGGATCATTCTTTGTCGGTTTGATCCCTCTCTTGCTTGTCCTGGTTCTGTTGGGTGTATTCCGTGTACCGGCCTACATAGCATCCTTTTGTGGTCTTATCATCTGGTAAGCCAATCAATTATTATTAATATGTTGTATGAACAAAGCAACAACCGCAAGAAACAAGTATCAACTAAACCCCCCCTTACTTCTTTCTCGATATAGTATCTTTATATCTATATTTGCTTGGCACATGCCCGCTCAACAGGCATTCCAGGCTATTGGAAATGGCATTGTCTTTGCAAACTGGCCAATTATGTGGATCGTGGTCAATGCAATGTAAGATTACAATACACTATTAAAAGCTCTTTGATTTCTGTTTTATACTAATTTTGTCCCCTCTTTATTATCTTAGGTTCATTTATAATGTATCGGTAGAATCAGGAATCTTTGATATCTTCAGGCGCTGGATGATCACCAACACTCCTCCAGATACTCGCATCCTTTTGCTCATTGTCGGCTTCAGTTTCGGTGCTCTTCTGGAAGGTGTTGCTGGCTTTGGTACCCCTGGTGCCATTTGCTCATCCCTCATGGTCTCGCTTGGTTTTGAACCCGCAGATGCACTTGTCTTTACTCTCATCTTTGACACTACCCCAGTTGCCTTTGGTGCTCTTGGTATTCCTGTCACAACCCTTGCTTCTCTCACCGGTCTGGACGTCATGGATCTTTCGGCAATGATGGGTCGTCAGCTTCCCCTGCTTAGTTTGTTCTTGCCCCTTTATGCTCTTGGTTTCTATGCAGGTAATACATATAAACTTTTTGATTTTTATTATATATATATATATATACATAACAGCAACAATAACAAGGTATCATGATGATACATATGATGACACACACACACATGTGGTGTTGGAACATCCCCCCCCCCCCCCCCCCCCCCTTTAACATATATATATATATATATATATATACATTTATTTACAGTTATTAATATTATCATGCTTGCTTAATCTAGGCTTCCGTGCTGGTATCATGGAGTGCTGGCCTGCTGCTGCTGTTGCTGGTATCTCTTTCTCTGTTATTCAGGTAAGAATCCTATACACACACACATATATATATATATATCTTTGTGTGTGTGTGTGTGTGTGTGTTTAAATATTAATGTGTATTTTTTTGATTTGTAATAAATAATAATAGGCCGTCTTTGCCAACTTGGTCGGTCCTGAATTGCCAGATCTTATTGCTGGTTTGATCTCTCTGCTTTCCTTGATTATCTTTGTTCAGTTCTGGAAACCCCCTTATCGTGCCGAGTACGAGGCTACTGTCGGAAAGATGCGCACCCAAGGTGATATCGAGGCCTCTGCAGGTGTTGCACCCGCACCGGCTGAGAACCACGACCGTCCCTTGAGCATCAGCAGCGGTATTTCTGCTGCCCCCAACACTACCGAAAAGGCTGTTGGCGAAGTCAACAAGCAAGAGATCGAGACAACCGAGAATGTGATGTCCTATGTCAAGCCTACCTTCAGAGAAACCCTTTTGGCCTGGAGCCCTTGGATTATCATTGTCGTTATCGTCATCATCTGGTCCTTTGCCAAGGTTTCTGAAAAGGGACAAGTGCTCGTCCATTGGCCCCAGCTTGACCAAAGAGTAAGTATAATCAACTAAGACTTGTTAGTTGTAAATATTTATTAATCTTATAACAAATTATATAGGTTTGGTTGACTTTGTACGGAAAACCTTATGCCGCAATCTGGACATTCCAGCCACTTGCCACCGGAACTGCTATCTTAATTTCCTTTTTCCCCTTTGCAGCCATTGTCCTTTGGTACGGTGCCCACCCTCGCGTATTCTACCATGCTCTCAAGGCCACCTACAGACAGCTCCACATGCCTGTCCTGACCGTATCGTTCATTATGGCCTTTGCCTACCTCTTCAACTACTCGGGTATTGTCTACTCTATCGGTCTCACACTTGCTTCGGTCGGCAAGGCCTTCCCCTTCTTGTCTGCCTGGCTGGGCTGGCTGGGCTGCTTCTTGTCCGGCAGTGACACCTCGGCCAACTCTCTGTTCGGTAACCTGCAGGTAGTCGCAGCTCGTGAGATCGGTCTGTCGGCAGTCTTGATGGCTGCTACCAACTCTAGCGGTGCCATTACATCCAAGATGATCTCACCCCAGAACTTGACAACCGGTGTGTCTACGATCGGACTCCAGGGTCAGGAAGGCAGGATCCTTCGCCGCACAATCATTCACTCACTTATCATGGTATGTCTGATTGGTGCAATGGCCTGTGTACAGCAGTATGGTATTCCTGGTATCATTCCTCACTACGAACATTAAATTAATTGAAATTACTACTACTACTACTATTATTATTGTTGTTGTTTTATTATCTTTCTTTGAATAATTTGTATACCTTAATCCTTTCTTTCAAAAAAAAAACCCCCCCAACACAACACAACCCCTCCTCCTCTTTAATTATTTATTTATTTACTTGTTTTACTTGATTATTATTTTTAATATCCCTTTATTTTATTTTATTTTATTTTATTTTATTTTATTTTATTTTCTATACATATTTTTACTTCTTCTTCCTACTTCTTCTTTCTTTCTTTCTTTCGTTCTTATTATTATTTTCAAAAAAAATTAATAATTAATTAAATATTTAAATAAATAAATACATAACAAAATCAAAACACACAGAAAGATATTCATTTTACATTTACATTTACATTTACATATATATATATATATATATATTTAAAAAAAAGAAGTGTATTATAAAACAATCAAACAATCAAACAAACAAACAAAAATTATAGAAAAAAAAAAGAAACAGAGAGAAAAAGAAAGATAATTCGTCTATAAAGAAGTGTATGGGATAAGAATAAGTAAAGAAGTATATAAGACAATTTTTTTTCTTTTTCTTTTTCTTATTGGTTGTCCATGGCCTTCATTGCCATTTCATAGGCAAAGAAAGTTGCGGCATTTGCAGGGAAAGCTCTGGCCATTGTGGGACCAACACCGTTGAAGAAGGCCTTGAAACCACTCTGCTTCATCACATTACGGAAGGCTTGTACGATAGTCTGAGATCTAATTGAGAAAAGAAAGATATGGTTAATACATGGATATACTACATAGTCAATTCAATATATATATATATATATAAGTACTTACTTGGCTTCGTTTTGGATACGACTCTTGAGAACATCTTGAGGATAGGCTGGAATCCAGGCACCAAACCCAGCAAGACCACCGGCTACCAACAGATCAGTGGTGCTCAATTCAGCATTGGGATCAGATTTCAAAGATTTGAAGACACGCTTAAGTCCCTCATAAGTCACTTGATGATGATATCAAAATTAATGAATGAATGAATGAATAAGTGAATTTCAAATTTAACAAATATCTTTTTATGTATGTATTTGTTACACACGCATATACACAGCCTATTGATAATAAATCCCTAATTTGACTTACCAAAGTAAAATCCATAACTAGGGGAATCACGCAAGAGAGTGATACCCAAACCACGGTAAATACCCTTGGCACCATGTTCACGTACAGTTCTGATACCACAATCAATCACACCCTTGTACTGATACCATTCTATAAGTCTCACTTGTCCATACACAAACAAAAGAAATAGATGTCTTGACTTACGGGGGCTTCTAACTTTCCCATGGCATTAACAACACCTCTGGGATCCTGAGTCTGCAATTTGACCTTGAGAAGTTCGATAGGACAGTTGAAAAATGCCATGACAGTACCAGCCATGCTTCCGGCAATTCCAATTTCGAGGAGAGAGAGGGTCTTGTTGGGATCATTTCCCTGCAACATACGTCTGAATTCACCATTGCACATGAAAACCACAGCATTACTTTTTTTTTTTACAAGTGTTAGTGCACACCAATACATATACAAGATATTATAATGATAATGATTGAGATTAGATTAGATTATGTTGGAATTATAAACAACGATCTGATTTTGATGCTTTACCAGAAACCAATACCAGCCAAAGGAGATGCTACTCCGCGATAAAGACCTTTGGGCTAAAATATATGAGCAAATCTATCTATATATCTATATATATTCGTTTAATAGGTTGTACATACGCCTTCTTGCTTGACAAGAGATCTAAAACAGTCCATCGCATTCTTGTAGATAGGTGGCGAGGGTTGTGTCTGGAGACGGACCTTGAGTGTATCAAATGGATGTCCTATTAATTGTTTGATTAGTTGAATTGTATGTATATATATATGATTTTTTTTAAAATAAAGATTTTATATATAAAAAATAATGATAATAAAAAGATCGGAAAAACAAATTGTGTTTATAAAACTTCTCTTAATAATAATAATAATAATATAAAAACCATCAATCAAGAAAACCAGTTAAAATATATATGTAATGTATTATCAGGATGACTCATGCTGACAATACCCCACACACACACACACACACACATATATATATATATATATATATGATAGCATAATAGACGAATAAAAGTAGGAATTATCATAGTTTTGAAACAAAGATAATGATAATGATTGTTACAAGAATATTATATGTATCTATCGTCTCTTACCAACTACAACCTGAGCCCAACCACCAGCTGTACCAGCGATCAAATCCTGAGCAAGCTTGGGAATAGCAAATCCCTGACTTTCCTTGGCAGCCATAATATTTCTGGGTGGTCAAAAGAAAAAGAAAGAAAAAGAGAGAGAGAGAGAGAAATTATGGTGTATTGAAATTGAGAATAATAAATTAACCCAAAAAAAAATAAAAAAAATAAAATAAAAAAGGTACGATGATCAAGATTTTTTTTTTGCTGGTAATTTTGAAATCAAGATGAAACCCAGAGCGGGGAATTTGAGAAAATAAGAAAGGAAGGAGGGGGGATAAGTTAAAGAGGAAGATTCTTGTTTAGGATTTTATATATATGATTGGATATAAATCTGCAATGCAATGCAGAAACAACAACAAAAAAAGTTAAAGGTCTATTGAATAAAGAATAACACTAAAAAACAAAGGACAATTTGTTTTTTTTTATTGTAATGCCTTTTATATAATGGAACAATAATAAAAAGCTACCATCTTGGTAGATATGTTGGAATTGTACGATTATGACTATGATTATGAGGTTGGCTGTCTGGAGTGGGTTGGCTGTCGAGTCCAATAATCCAACCCAGCCGGTCAGTAAACTGCTGAATTGGTTTCTCAAATAATCCGTGCGTTTCCGTATCATGATATGAAAGTCTATTGTTATTATTATTATTATAAAGATACAAAAAAAGAGGGGGGTATTCAGATGTGAGTTTCTTCTTTATTTTTTCTTATTACTGTTTTACTTACTGTTTTGCCCACTCAGTAACCACCTGCTGTCCATAGATCTTTCCTTGCTGTAACTTTGAGGCTGCAATATCAATTGCTTTTTTCCAAAAGGTTAGCAATGTCTCATAGGCATCTTGTTTCAATTGGTTGTGTTCTATTTAATTGAAATCAAATCAAATCAAATCAAATTAGATTAGATTAGCTTATTCTTATAATATTTTATATTTTAATTTTTTATACCTTTGGAATTCCATTCTGGTAAGCGATGGATCACACAGGTAGCATAATGAAGATAGGAGAATATTGTACCAGGAAACTCGTCTGACCGATTACAAAAGTGGTCTGCATATTCCAACACTGCTGACTATAAAATAAAATAAAATAAAAAGACATATCGATTAACCGTTACAATTATAAGCATCATATATATAAGCGAAAACTTTGTACTTACCACAAGAGACGTAAGAGCCGGTTTTAGTCTCTCGTAATTCTTATCTTCTAGTCGATCGTCTGTTTTTGATTCTGCTGGAATCAGGTCTGTCAGTTTGCGTTCAAGCTCAGTAATGACCAATGTGACAGAATTGATAGTAGGTTCTGGTAATTGAGCATCGATTTCGGATTGAAGTTGTGGATTTGAATCGACAAGATTTGAGATTAGGTCAATAAGAGTTTCTTTATCAAGTGTAGCTATTCAAATAAAAATAATGGTCAAAAGTCATAATGAATTTATTGTTATTATTAATTTGGTTTGGTTTGGTTTGTGTTGGGTTGAGTTGAGTTTTCTTTACCTAGTAATTTTTGAATTGGGAATTCTTTGACTGTGTCTTGTCGATTACGTTTTATGCGTTCTTCGATAGGTAGAGATGCTGATACTGCGCTACCACTACCACTATTATTTCTACCTCTACTACTGCTACTGCTGCTACTACTACTGCTGCTGCTGCTGCTAGTGGTAATTGTATTGGTGTTTTCACTAAAGATCATATCTTCATCTTCGGATTGTCTTCTTTTACGGCCTAATACATATATACATACATGCATATACATATGTAAAAATAAATGGAAATATATAGATTTAGATTTCTTTTTCTTCTTCTTCTTCTTCTTCTTCTTGGGTGCATAAATACATAAATATATGTACATAGTTTTTGGATTGATTGTCATTACCATGGACTGTTGATGTGTCTTGTGGAGGTGTGTAATGAGCTGGTTGTTTTGGTTTGGAAAGGTAATGAGACGATCGATAGAGTTGTTGCTGTTGACGAAACAGACTGTTCTGACTATGTGACATTTATTGAAGAATTTGTTTTTTTTATAAAAAAAAGAAATATATAAAAGGTGTGAATATATAAAGAGAGAGAGAGAGAGAGAGAGAGAGAGAGAGATAGGCTTTGAAATAAGAAGAAGAAGAAAAGGGAAAAAGGGGAGAAAGAATAAAAAGAAATATAATATATATATATATATATGATGTTATGTATAAAGGACTACTGTACACGCACGTATATATATATATACTGTGTGTGTGTGTGTACTTGTATTTATATTGGATAGAATATGATCAATAGATAGTGTATCTTTATCTCTTTCTTATTGGACCCACTCCCACTCCCATTCATGGCCGGTCACGGACATTGCGTGGACTTCTTCTGGCCTGTCACACCAGTCCCACTGCGACTGTTTCCGCTTTTGCTTGGTGTGGGCCAACACTCGTTTCTGCGCAACAATTTCGATGCTCTTCTTGACAATCAAGTCTGTTTTCTCGAGTTCTTTTGTTTCTTTGCGCAAGGTAGCGATGGTCTGTCTAAGGTTGTCCGCCCGCTCTTCTTCGTCCACCCAGGCCCCCGGGAACCGGTGATGGTCTTGGACAGGCTGGGTCAAGAGGCCGTCGGTAGGGCAAAATACAGAGGAAATGGCGAGTGAAACAGGTATCGGCCAGTTTTGATTATTGTGATGGTTATGGTGATGATGGTGTTCATAGGCACCTGGAAGAGCATATTCAGATGACATTATTGAAACAAATCAAAAAGAAATAAATTTCAATATATAGACAGATAGATAAGCAGAAAGAGTAAAGAGGATAGTAAAAGAAGACGATAAAGAAGAAGAAGAAGAAGAAGAAGAACTAAATAAATAAATATAAAAAAAAGGAAAATAAACTAAAATAAAATAAATTAATAGAAAGAGAAAGAGATATAAAATAAAGAGAGAGAAAAAAAGAAAGAAATTTAATGCAAAAAAAAATATCCCCTGCTTATTTCTCTCTGTCTCTCTGTCTCTCTTTCTATTTTACTCATCAACTCAATCGCTCGATGATTAGCTTAGTTGGTTGGTTGGCTGGTTGGCTGGTTGGCTGGTTGAATGAATAAATGAATGAATAAATGATTGATTGATTGATTAAATGGCTGGCTGACTCGCTCAACTTGTGCTCACTGGACCTATTGAAATCGCTGACTCATTTGCTCACCTGTACCTTAACTCTGGGATCTCCAACTCAAAAACAAAATATACTTTTCTTTATTTCTTTGATGTCAGATAAATGTAAGTTGATGTATATGATGTATGTGTGTATGTGCATGAGTGTCCTTTTGTACTTTTTCTAATGAAAGCAAAATCCCGTGTTTCCCACAAGGGGGTAGAGGAGAAGGGGAATAGAAAACGAAACAAAAGGAAAGGGGTGGGGAAATACTACCTTGGAATCTAATAGGAGCAAGAAGAATCAAGAGTAAAGAGTGAATAGTGAAGATTAAAGGCTGGTGAGTAGGTTGAATTGAACTGAATTTGATACTATACTATACTATACTAAATGATATGATAGGATATGATTAAGTAAAGTGTAGTGTGTAGTGTGTAGTGTAGTAGAGTATAGTGCAGAGTATTTCTGGGTAAAAAGTTGGGGAGGGGAGGGGGGAAAGGGGAAAAAGGTTCATTTTCAACATTATCAAGTATACAATCACACACACAAAGTATATAAATATAGAGATTATTAGCAGCTGACTTGTGAGGCTGACTGTCATCTGTACAGAACCAGAGATAAACCCATCTACCTTATTGTTATTGCCTTTTGGGGGTTATGTATTGAATATTAAACTACAATAGTCTATTTAAGCAGGCACGTCAAGAAACACAATCAACTTCTTTATGACATACACATATTTCATTAATGGTCTTTGATTTTTTCTTTAAAATGTAAAAGTGTATCAATCAAGGAGACCTTTAATATTATATCGCTGGTTGTTTCTTTGTGTTTAATATTCAACAAAATTGACTCTTTTATTTATTTATATGTTGTATGGCACCTATAACATAACATACTTATTTACTTACTTAATATATATAATACTCGTGGAGTTCATTCTGTGACTGTTGCAAATGTCAATTTATTAACGAGTATTTATATAAAAATGTATATGTTTTGGAATTGCTATTTAACCAAATATATTAATCTTTTTATTAAAATTAAAACAAGAGAGATATAAACCTGATGTAATGAATAATAAAGTCAAGAAATTGAAACAAATACAAACAAAGCTACACACCAAAAAGCATTCAAGAACCCCGTCTAATTCCATATCTAATCTTTGAGCCTATTTTATTTGTCTATTGATCAATTCCTATCTTCTTATTTCTATTAGTGTATTATATTATTTGTATTCAACCAAGGTAACACTCAGGAAATGAAGTCAAGAAACGCGTGATGAAGTTTTTTTTTCTTTCGGTTTTTGAAATACAAAAAAATAACCAAGCCGATATAAAGCGCCTTTTTTTTTTTTTTTTTTTTGTATTGCTCTGTCATAACTCAAATATTTTTGCGCTATTTTAAAAGAAAAATTAAATTAAATAACCTCAACTTGTGCTTAAAGCGCACATTTTATCGCACCAACATGTAGCACCATGTCAGAAATGATATTTCTACTTTTTTCTTTCTTTCTTACATTTTTGTCAGTGATGAGGATGGGTGATTTGTGCGACATTCAATAATTTATTACGACACCAAAAAATTAAAATAATAATAAAAAAAAAAAGTTCTAGAGCCAAATCTATATAAAAAAAAGAAAAAAGAAAAAAAAAAAGCCAATCGGACGCTATTAAATCTATATAATTCATAAAAATTCCACTGTGTCCGCATGACCCGCATTTTTATCGTCCCTTATTTCACTCCCCCTTTTTCTCTTATTCTTATTCTTCTTTCTCTTCTGCCTCTCTCTTTATATATATATATTTCTATTTGTTAATTTTGACCTTTTTATTTTTATATTATATTTTTTTTTATATATTAATAATATATTATTTATTTATTTATTTTATTTATTCATTTCAACAACTTCTTCTTCTTCTTCTCTTTCTTCTTCTTTATCTTACTATTATACTCACTGCTATTATTTCTATTGTTTTGATTGTTCATTAACTTCATTTTTTTTTGGTCTTTTAAACAAGAAAAAAAAAGCAGAAAAAAATACCCAAGAAAATGTCACGATTACCCAGTGCGATGCCAGTCTCATCAGGCATCCTTCCTCCAAAGTCAAAACTCGCCCGACAACCGTCTATGGACTTTAGAAAAAAGAAACAGCAGGCCGAACACCAAAGTCATCCTCATCCTCCAACCACAGTAAAGTCGACTCGATCGACCAGAACTCCCTCCATCTCACGTGCATCACTCTCATCCTATGCCTCTCAAGAGGACAGCGACTCGCCATCTCTGTCAAGATACTCTATGAGCTCTGTTGGGTCAGTTCTGACTGCCATGACCTCTCCTCGATCCTCTCTCACATCACCCAAGCCAAACAATACCCGTCGTCCACTCTCAGTCCGACCTGTCTGCGAAAGCCCAACCCCAGCAGGAATCAGAGTAGGCGACAGAGTGGCTGTGGATTCAATGAGCATTGTCGGCACCCTCAAGTTCCTGGGCACGGCCCATTTCAAGGAAGGTCTCTGGGCTGGTATTCAACTCGACATTGTCGGCACCGGAAAGAATGACGGATCTGTAGGCGGGTAAGAATATTATATATCTATTTCTTCCCTTTTTTTTTTTATATTATAGAATATACAGAATTATATACTACTATATTATATAATATTTATTTGTTTGGCATTTAATCTACACACACAAAAAAAAAACAACAACAAACATAACCAAAATACATAATTATTATATACACAAGAATTGAACAACACTTAGCACTATATGAATAACAAACCATAACAATAATATTTACCTGTTCGTTTTATACTAATTTTGCTGTTGTTGTTGTTGTTGTTGTTAGGGCCCGATACTTCCAGTGTCCTCCAAACACTGGCCTTTTCGTCTTGGCCTCAAAGGTCGCCCCTCTTGACCGGGACTCGGATTCCGTGAGATCGCTCTCTCCTCCGTCCCCGCAGCAGCACCGCTCTTCTGTAAACCAGATTTCGGCTGGGTCGCGCGCAGCTCGATATATCGGTCTAACCGCCACTCAACTCACACAGTCTCAATCCTCCAGCCATCGTCCGACCCGTACCCCCCAAACATCAGTTCCACTCCAACGCAACAAATCTTATTCAATGGTATCACCACCACCTCAGCAGCAGCATCAGCAACAACAACAAAGTCAGAATCAAAATCTAAGTCTAAATCAGCGTAGGGCCACTACCATCGGAATGCCATCTCCCGCAACAACCCCAACATCTACTAGTGTCCACGACGACGAAGATCCTCATGACGGACTTTTGCTCGAAGAAGAAGAAGAGCACATGCTGACCGACACTCCAGTTCCGGCAAACCTGGCCCTTTCCAAATCAACCGATCCTTCCTCAATTGTCGAAACCGAATCTGCACATGCCCGTCTCGAAAGAGTTCTCGGAGAAGCTATCCAGCAGGCTCCCGACGAAACCGTCATTCACCTTCAACAGCTCCAACTCCGCGTCGAGGTCCTCGAGGCCGAAAACAAGTTTCTCAAACTCGAAAACGCCCAGAACAAGACGGCCCAGCAGATCCTCGAACGCTCCTTGCTGCTGCGTAAAAAAGACGGCGAAGACGAAAGCTACTTCACGCTCGAGGGCCACACGGCTGTGGTGCAGGAGATCCGGGACGAACACGCCACTGCGATTGCGGGCTGGGAAACCAAGGCGACCGACTGGCAGCAGGTCCGATCCGGCCTCGAGTCTCGCATTACGGCTTTGGAGCTAGAGCAGTCTGAACTCGTCCAGGAACGCGATCGGCTAGCCGAGCAGCTCAGCGAGTCCAAGCGCCAGACCCACCAGATGGAACACCGGGTCCATGAACTCGAGCAGCAGGTCGCTGTCGCAGAGGCCAATGCAGCCGCCTCCCAGGCCTCCAGGACCGCAAACACGACCACCAGCTTTTACTCGCAGGACCCCGAGGAGCTGCGCGAGCGCCAGACCCAGATGGAAGTCGAGATGGAGGAGGTCCACGAAAAGATGGGCTCGCTCATGGACGCCATGCGTGCCAAGGACATGTTCCTCGGCAAACTCTCCGAACAGGTCGAAAGCCACCGCAACATGATCGAAGAAAAAGAGCGCGAGGTCCGCCGTGTCAGAGCCGACACTGACCGCCACCAGAGAGAAAAAGAGCGGTACCGCTTGGAAGCAGACGAGCTGGAGAAGAAACTGCTGGAACACCAGGACTGTGCAACCAAGGAGCAGTTTGACAAGATCAAGCGCGACCTCGGACTTGCCCGTGACAGCCTGGCAAAGGAAAATCTGGCAGTCGAAGACTACCGCAAACGAATCGAGAGCTTGGACGCCTCGGTCGACGAACTCAAAAAGGCCGGCATGGAGAGCATCGAACTCTATGAGAGCTCGGTCGAGCTGCACAGAGTCGATATGGAGGCCATCAATGCCAGTCTGATGGACGAGCGCCGCAAGGTAACCGCACTTGAGGCCGAGCGTGAAGATCTGCGTAAAGCCGGTTTAGATGCCATCGAGGCATACGAAACCACAATTGAGGAACTTAAAAAGGAGCACACGAGTGGCCGCGAAGACGAGGCCTCGCAGCGCAAAGACATGCAGACAACGATCGCCAAACTCAAGCAGGAGATCGAA